GTATCAATTTTGTGTTGTACTAAATTGGTACGACCTCTCTGTCCTGCTTCTCCTTTATCAAACACATCTTGATACTTGATTATCAGGTTTCTCAATTTTCTTCTATTTTCGGGAGATAATCCTTTAACGTTTACTAACTCCTTCACCATTTTGTCCGGAATTTTTGAAGTCGAAACTTTGGAGGCTTCCACGCTTCGAACGACTGAGGAGACCGAACAACAGTACCCTAAGAGGGTTCCCTTCTTCAAGGATACAGAATAATAATTCGTGTTCATTACTCTCACCGGTACAGTTTTCTTCGCTCGTAGCAGGGCTTTTCCAACAGCGATCCCTCGTCCTATTTCGCTGTCATGGTTCCTTGGCTCCAACAGAATAATACTCCCATTATTCATTTTACCTTCTAGGCAACCATCCAAAAATATCTCACAGCGCTCAGGGATCGAAACATCTTCTGCTACCACCACGCGAAGCGTCTCCTCACATTTTCGATGCAGAACCACTTCTTCTTCATTTATTTTCAAAATTCCTTGTTTGAGGTTTAGCTCAAAACCTCTAGTGGTCATGATGTCCATTCCGAGAATAAGTTCATCTTCGATGTCTGCTACTAACACTCGATGATTAAAACAGGTGCTTCCGATAACAAAATTAAGATCTACCTCTCCATGGATGAGAGCGGAGCTTCCTGTAGCTGTACGTAGTCGCCATTGTGTTGTTTTAACCTTCTTCGATGTTTTAAGAATGTCCGGTCTGATGATAGTTTTTGTAGCGAGGCGACTTGAGCAGTTTTCGTTGGGGCATGTTGGGTACAGGTCGACGTGTGCCCCTTCATTTCGACCCTTAGTAGTTTTCCGACCTCGACGAAGCCGGTTCTTCGTTCTTCTCCTTACAACGGCTTCGCACGTATCCTACCTGTCCGCAGTTCCAGCAACGAATCGGTCCCTTCTTGCCCATGTACTGGTCCATTACTTTCCGAACAATCCCTTCCACGGATTGGTCGGAACATTCGTCGATAGCCCGTACTCTTCCTAAAGACCGAGAACTTTGTTTCGCGGCCTCGAATTCTAGGGCACGTGCTAAAGCATCCACCAAGTGCGTTGGGTGGGCTAGGAGAAGCGCTTGTCTTGTTTCGTTGTCACGTAAGCCGTCGGAGAATGCCTGTACTGCCAACCGCTCCATAACATTCTCGGGCGTAGCAGGGTACGCAAGGCGAACGAGACGGGCTACATCGGCTTCAAACTCCTGCAGAGATTCATTTGCTTTTTGAATGCGATTTTTTAGCTGGGAATGATAGACATGTTCCAAATGAGCTTGGCCGTACCTCATTTCTAAATGTCGTACCAATTGCTGATAATCTCCCTGTTCCGATGGTGACAGTGTCTGCAGGATATCAGTCGCATCTCTCGCAGTGCGACAGTCAAAGCGGTAGCCTTTTCAGCGATTGTCCATCCGTTCGCTCGCAGCGGCCTCAAACTGGCAAAAATAATTGGCCCAAGCGGTTTTCCGTCAAACTGTGGAGGCTTAATAACTGATTTTGAGATATACTTATTTTCGACTAGTTTCGGTGCCCGATGTTTCTTGACATTTTGGTGAATTTGCCTTTGCTATTTCTTGTTTTAAAATTTCGATTTTCTATTTACATCTTCCTCAATCTCTGTTATTTTATTGTTAAAACTTTCTTCCAAAATTACTATTTTATTATTAAAGCTGGCCTGTATATCTTTAGAATTTTCGATGATCTTATCTTCTAATGTATTGATTAAATCCTGGGAATTTTCCATAATTTTTTTATCACTGATTTTATTATTCAAATTGTCTTCTAATTTTTGTAAGGACGAGTCAAGGTCACCTTCCAGCTCAAAGCAAAAGGTGTCAGGATCCTCACCTTCTTCAATCAAAACGTCTCTCAGTCTGGCTTGCAGAATGCTTTTCTTTCCATCTGTCTCGCATTCCCTCTCTTCCAGTATGCATTTTAATTCGACACTTTCAAGTCTTTCAACAATTTCTTCGGAGCCATTGTTAGTCTTTTTATTTTTCTAGTCTATCACACACGCCACACTTGACACCAATTGTTACGTTTTTCGTCGGTTCCGTGTGGATAGAAAGTCACAATTTATTTAAACACTATTTATTTAACACTAATTAACAAAAATAATAACGATAAAAGACTTATAGAACTATTTACAAACGATTTATCACTAAGAATTTATTTTTAGTTTTAGCGCGTCAACTGTATATTTATAACTGCCTTCTCTAGGCCACTGCCGCCGGCTTTTATACCTACAGCAAAAGAAATCTAGAATAGTCCATAGATCGTTAGGCGCATAGAGAAGGTTTTCGAATGTTCTCGTATGTACTAGTCCATTCTAGTGGGTCTCGATTCTTCTCGAACGAATGAATCATTGTGGTGTCTATGCGATGTTAAGGTCATCCGAGGGCGGGCCATATTGTGAGGTTAGGTCGAGTCCACACCGGCTCGCAACATTACCAAAAAGACAGCGTATTTTAGTGGCTCTAAAAGTTTAAAAGTCTCTATTTTTTTATTTTCTTTGTTTAAAAAAAATAACTTAGTTTTTAATTTCATGTTGTATTTTTACTATAAAATGCCTCAAATTAGACAATGAAATACAAGTAAACTAGTAAACTAAAATTTCTTGTCCAATGTAATTTTAACCTTCCAACACCTAAATATTGTGATTAGTAAATAATAACTGTATTCTGTATTTGGTGTTTTTATGGATAGAAATGTAAAAACTTCTGCATTTTTTAATGCCGAACATGAAATTAAATTAATATCGAGAGAAGTGTTTACACTGAAATGATTAGTATTAGGGTTTATAGGTAGTAAGTCGTTGAGAACATGTGTCTTCAGCACTTTATATTTATCTAGTTGTTTTATTTAAAGTTTTATTTAACTTTCTCCTGAAGTTGTTTTTAGTGTTGTTAAAGTATTTTAAACAATGATTATTTCTAATTGATGCTGATTACAATGTGCCATTTTGGGGAATGAAAAGGAATTTCATTAGCAGATGTAAGTTTATATTAATAATTATTATTAATAAATAATTATTGATTTGCTGTGGCAGTGATGTTATGCGTAAATGAATTAAACTAGGGTGAAAATTAAAAATTGACAACAAATTGCAAACTATAAATACAGAACAGGTACAAATTGTACCTGTTCTGTGCTATAAAAATTGACATATTCAATGAAAATTGAAACGCTTTGTAAATTGTAGCAGAAGAACATTTTCAGAAATAAGTTGTCGAAATTCGAAATTAATAAATATGTTTTAATTATCAACATCGTGTAGCATCTAACTCAAATATAATTTCATATACAGGGTGGTCCGAACTGTATTCCGGAAACTTCGGGGGCATATTCTGCAGATAAAAATAAGTAAAAAAGTTCGTATAAATGTATGTCCTAAAATGCTTACTTTCAGAGATACAGGGTGTAGAAGTTTCATTTTTATTTCGATTTTATTTAAATCATTTCTGAAGTAACGTCAATATTTCGATGAAAATTTGTGTCTGGGGTTTTTTTGACATGAAAAATTTGATTTTGATGTCAATATGACTCCTACTTGTAGAGGGCGCAACCTACATGTGCTTTAACTGCTTTGAAGACTAATAACTTTTCGACCATACCTGTATAAAACTATAGAGTGAAAAAATATACATTTCCATGATACTTTACGTAAAAAATATGTCTTGGTAAAAATCGCTACGAGCAACCGTTCTCAAGATATTTAGAATGAAAATAGTCAATACATATCATTATAAACAAAAAATAAACACGTTGAGTGGATAGTTACTTGACTGAAATAATAGATTTGGGAAATTTTTATTTTTTTTTAAATTAATTATTAACTTTTCTGTGAAAAAATGATGATAAAACAGTTTCTGTTGAACATTTGGCACAAAAACATTTCAAATTTATGATTTCAGTTTAATAACTATTTAGTCGACATGTTTAATTTATGTCAGGTATTGATAATTTCGATTCCAAATATCTCGAGAACCATTAATCGTAGCGATTTTACTCAGTAGTCCCTAAACCCTTTTTTTACTCAGTAGTTTAATACAGGTACTGACACAAATGTATTACTCTTCAAACAAGTTAAAAAATATGTAGGTGGCGCCCTCTACACGTAGGAGTCATGTTGACATCAAAATCAAATTTCTCATGTCAAAAAATTCCCAGACACCAATATCCATCCAAATATTGACGTTACTTCAGAAATTATTTAGATAAAATCGAAATAAAAATGAAACTTCTACACCCTGTATCTCTGAAAGTAAACATTTTAGGACATACATTTATACGAACTTTTTTACTTATTTTTATCTGCAGAATATGCTGCCGAAGTTTCCGGAATACAATTCGGACCAACCTGTATACAGGGTGAGTCTTAAATAAGTGCAAATATGTTAAATATGATTAGGGGTGGTATATTTCGACCCTAGAAACACGTCTATTTAGTTTTTTTCGCAAAAAAAATTGAAATTGTGAATTTTTTTGAAAAAAACCTAATATCTTCATAATATGGCAACATAGGTAGTACATTAAATGTACAAGAAAGAAAACCCAGTAATGATCCAGCGGTTTTCAATTTTTCTTTTTTTTTTATCTCAAAAACTGCGACTTTGACTGATTTTGATGTTATTACAAATTTTGTTGCAAATATTATTCCTAATCTTAAATTGAAAACCACGTTTCGCTAGCTACTGTAATTTTGGAGTTACGATTTTTTAAAATTTTTAACCTCCTCCCATACCCCCTTACCAACCTCCCACCCCCACCAAAAACTAATGGCCAGAATTAAAAAAAATGTATTTTGTCGATCTTAATAGCCTACCATATCTGTTGGTATGATCGGCTAAAAATGATTTTTTATAATGCTAGATTGTTTGTATAATTGTATAGGTACTTGCATTTTTAATTATAAAATTTTTAAAACATTATAACATTATTTCAACATTTTCTATTGTTTTCGTAGGGCAGGAAGCCTACAAAGATGTCCACAAACACAAAAAAAGAAGAGAAGCAACATCTGCTGGATGCGGATTACCAGGCTGGTGGAACATCGGTGGTAGATATGGAGAATGTGGCTTCGGATACGGATGACCCATTTGGCAACAGGAATATCGAACATCCCACCTCGAATTTTGATACCATGGTCCACTTGCTCAAGGGGAATATTGGTACAGGGATACTGGCCATGCCAGACGCATTCAGGAATGCAGGATGGGTAAGTTTCATAGCCTTTTGTTAGTGTTTCGTAGTTTATAAATAAAATACTTTTTTTATTTTCGGAAAAGAGACCAACCCTATAATTTTTAAGGTGTAATAATAATTGCTGTCTTTGTAGGTAATTGGTCTTTTTGGTACAATGGCTATGGGCATAATATGTACTCATTGCATGCATATTCTACTTCGATGTTCCAGGGAATTAAGTAGAAGAACTCAAATACCAACTCTAAATTTCTCAGAAGTGGTGGAAATGGCATTTCGAACTGGTCCAGAATACATACAAAAGTATGCCAGTCTAGCAAAGTAAGTTTTTTTAATATTTTGTCACACTTTTGTTTATTTATTAATATACTTGTGATAGTTATAGTTTGTCCCTCCTGAACGCATATTATTTCGACAGACGACATGTCGAAAGCAATGTAGCTGTCTCCAAAAAATCCTATATGGGTATTTCGTCACTGCACTGCAAGAAAATCTACAAAATAAAATAGTTATTTTTTGTAAACACTTCTGCGTAAAACCCAAACAGAAACTACTTTAGAAAAATTAAAGAGGCTTTTTTAATACAATCTAATAAAAATAAATGTATTGCTCATGCATCTGTAGATGTTAGTAATGTATGGCAATCGCTTTTTTGATTTTAAAGAACATAACATAAATAAACAACATACAAAAAATTTAAAAATAATGATACAGAGAGTTTGGGGCTTTTTGGTTTTACCTTATTAAGTAATTGTTATCAGGTAGTAATTGTTAATTTTGAAGTTTAACTTGATATAGTGTCAATTTAACAGAACGTCAAGGGTTTCTTGTATGTTGTAGACGTATCTGTTTAAAAAAAACTAAAGTGTTCTCGAATAGTTGAATTTAAATATTTTAAGTAGTTTTTTTCTTTATATTTTGTATTTTTTTGCTTCCGACGACGGAAAGAGACAAACTTTCCGAAACGTTAAGCATTTTTTTCTTTGTTACGCAAATTTGTATAACTGAAAACATAACTTCAGACAAGTAGTTTCCGTTTGGGTTTAACGCAGAAGTGTTTACAAAAAATAACTATTTTATTTTGTAGATTTTCTTGCAGTGCAGTGGCGAAATACCTATATAGGATTTTTTTGGAGAAATGAATCCGTCACATATAGGTATAGACATTTTATACAATGTAACTGTCACGCTCTATAGTTTAAGAATTTTATTTTTGAATTGAAGGAGTGAACATTTAAAAAAATATTTATTTCTTTACAGATTATTGGTAAATATATTCTTATTTATAACACAAATCGGATTTTGCTGCGTATATTTTGTATTTGTTGCTGCCAATTTACAAGAAGTCGTCAAGCACTATTACGTAGATATATCTGTTCACTGGTAAGTTTATTATTATTTACATAACTCATCAAATACCGGGGGCGTCTCGAAAGTGGTTTATCCCTTGAACTTTTTTAATTTTTCAGATAAAAAAACGACATTTGATATGTTAGTATATGACATAAATTTTATTAGGATTGATTGACGTATTTTTGTTTTTGGTCACTTCCTGTTTCACCGGAAGTGGCTACAAGTTTTGATTTTTAAATGGCGCCCTCGGTATATTTTTACTTTATTCGATAGAAAATGATAATCTGAGTAGAATGATATATCATATATCAACTTTTCACATTTTAAAAAAATCGTATTTTAAATTTCTTTTTAAGAGTGCCATGGCAATGTTAAAAACACTAATTTTTAATCAAGAAGTCTTGGAAAAATAGATTTGGTCGTTTAATTTTTCTAAATGGAACAAGGGTGGCTTATTAGCATATTTGGAAAAAACATTTTTTATGAATAATTTGGTACCACACACTTTGTATTTCGAGTCAAATTGTCGTTATGAACCGCATTTTACAATTTCATATAAACCATATGCAAAAATGTCAAAAGTTGACATAGGATATGTCATTCTATTTAGAGTGTCATTTTCTACCCAATAACGTAGAAATACACGAGGCTGCCATTTAAAAATCAAAAGTGGTAGTCAATTCCGATGAAACAGGAAGTGACCAAAGACAATTGAATACGCCAATTAATCTTAATATACCCTGCTGGCAAGAGAAACCTTGGGTCGGCGTTTACATATGTATAGGAGTGAATCGCTATGGCAATCTAGTAAGTCGGAGAGAACAAAAATACGAACTATTTATTACATAATCACTTAATTTGACGCTAGATTCCATGCGCTTGGAAAAATACTTGTTTTTATCCAGTAGGTACATCTTATTTTACTAAGCGTGTCGACTGTACTCTTCGTACTCACGAAAATTGGCACCCAAGACCAGACATACCGACTCTTAGTATGTCGTATACTAACATAAACAATCTGGTTTTTGTCTGAAAAAATAAAAAAGTTATAGGGGTAAGTCACTTTTGAAACGCACCCGGTATAGGATGATATGCAAACTTCTCGACGACGCAACGCTCCCCCCCCCTCTTTAATTTGTAAATTATTCTTTTAATATGTATAAGTAGCTATATCTAGTTAGAAAATACTTCATTTATACAGGGTGAGTCTCAAATAAGTGCAAACATTTTCAGGGCTGGTAGATCTCGATAAAAGAAACATATTTTCTCTTAACCATTTTTCAAATATATCCAAAATAACCGAGTTATTTTACTTTGAAAATTTCCAAAAAAAATATTTTTGGCTTAAGTTTTGAGAACGATTGGATCTTTTCTTGTAAATTTACTCTACTACCTATATTACCATATTATCAGCAAGTTATGTTTTTTAACTAAAAACTAAAAAAAATTCCAAATTTCAAAAAAAGTTTTTCACGAAAAAAACCTCATAATGGTCTTTCTGGCTTCGAAATATACTACTCTACTAAAAATATTTGCACTTATTTAAGACTCACCCTGTATAAAGCCGGCCCCACACGGTGTGGCAAACACCTTCCAACGTTGGACACATAAACATTTGTCAATTAATTTAATTTATTTATTTATTTCTGCAAGGCTTTACATTTTCAAGGCTTTACAAGGCTCATTTGCAATAATTTACATTTGCAAGGCTTTACATTTGACATGCTGTATTTTTTTATCGAGAAAATTGAGGGGAAGCGAATTTTAAGATAATTTGAAGAGAAAAAAATTAATCAAAAATATTTTCAGGTATCTTTTTATTCTCTTGGTACCACTGATTCTACTAAATTGGGTGAAGAGTTTGAAATACCTTACGCCAGCTTCTCTTTTTGCGTCAATCGTGACCTGTACAGGCCTAGTGATAACCTTCTTCTACATGCTGCAAGGTCTTCCTGCTGTATCTAGTGTAAACGCGTTTTCGTCATGGGGACAGTTACCATTGTATTTTGGTACTGCAATATACGCTTTCGAAGGAATTGGTGTTGTAAGTATCATCAGAAATTTATTTATTCTAATATACAGGGTGTTCCAGAAATGAATGCATTTTTACTGGTAGTATAGTTCAACCCCAGAAACACGCCTATGAGGGGTTTTTCAAGAAAAAAAAAATTGAAAATTCGGAATTTTTTGAAAAAATTTTTGGAAATTTTTTTAGTTTTTAGTTAAAAAACATAATTTCTTGATAATATGGTATCATGGGTAGTAGATTAAATTTACAAAAAAGAAAATCCAGAAAAGATCCGAAAGTTCTCAAAATTTTAGCAAAAAAATTTTTTTTTATAAATTTTCAAAGTAAAGTAACTCCGTTATTTTGGACTTATTTGAAAAACGATAAAGAGAAAATATGTTTCTTTTATCGAGATCTACCACGCCTTAAAATACTTGCACTTATTTCTGGGACACCCTGTATAAGATTGAAGAGCATAAAATCAAGTTTTTGAGAATATATTAACCTTAAACATTATAAGCCACTAAACTCTTATTATTAAAATTTGGAAAAAATGCATTTATTATGAATCTTTTTGCCTGCACTAACATCCATTTGCCCATCTCTTTTATACCTACTTTCCCAAATGTCCATGCCGTTTTAGAGAAAAATGTAAAAAATATAAAAAATACGGTTGAATTTTTTTGTAAAAGTTCTATGGTAATTTATTTGAATTGTTGCGTTTTCATTTTTTGATAGATAGTTATTATTAGCCATATACAAACTAGCAGATATCAGTTATTATCGGGTTATTATTAATTTTGACCTATTTTGACCATAGAAAAAGGAAACAAGTTTAGATTGGAATGCTCAGCTTGCTGCTAAAACTTCTAATTGTTTTGGAGCGCATATATTGTAGAGCGCTGTTATAGCGGTGGCGATTGCTTGAGAATAACCGCCAAACAAGAACAGGAATAATTTTCTCTTGTCAAAGTCAGAATCTTCAAAAATTATAAAATCTTTTAAAATTTAAACCGCCCTCATTGAAAAAAATACTGTAAAGTGTTTAAAGCGTCCATTTTCAAAGTAATCATTGCTATCTTGTGAGTTTAATTTAAATTTTATTTACTCAAACCCGCGATAATTGTGAAAAAGTGGCATTAAAAACTTAAAAAGCTGTGTGAACTGTGAACTGCAAAAACCATCGTGGATCGTGGCATAATGTTGGTTGGTTTCCAATGTTTCATAAGTATTTCATACCATGTCCTTATATAAAATAAACTTTCTTAAATGGAACTAACTGTATTTTATTTAGAAAATTAAAGGAAAATAATAAATTTGGATAAATAGTATTTGGCGACATAATTCCGGAAAAAGCCGAACCGCTCCGAAATTATCAAAAGCTTTGGAGAGCAACCGTTGTAAGAATACAGCCTAATATTACGTTGTCCTTATGGACACTTTCCAATCTAAACTTGTTTCTTTTTCTATGATTTTGACTAACGTCATGTTTTTTGTAAAGAGCACAACATTTATTTAGTTCAATGTAACAGAAAAGGTGATATCTTGTAGTTAACGGAAAGTGTGATACTTTAACAACAATATAACCAAAATATTATTTTTTTAGTTACAAGTTGTAGTAGACAGGAGGGTAATATTTCATACGAAGATAGGAAATTTTATAAAACAGTACTTTAATTTCTTTGCTTTAGCTAAAAAAATATAGATTATACCCTTGTAAAACTTTTTATCATTGTAAAAATTGTTAATTATGTGTAATATAGTACAACAAATTATTTTGATCCACAATCCTATTAAAATTTATTAGTGCATCCGGAAAAATCAAAAGTTATATTCTGAAATTGATGGATCCTGCTGACTGCGCCAACATTTTTCTGTGCTTGAGCTTGTAAATTTGATTATTAAAAAACTTCAAATTATTCTTCTACTGTATTCTGAACTTGATTTCAGGTCTTGCCATTGGAGAACAACATGAAAAACCCTCAAGATTTCGGTGGATGGAATGGCGTACTCAACACAGGGATGGTTATCGTAGCAGCTCTGTACACCTCTGTTGGATTTTTTGGTTATTTAAAATATGGTGACAAAGCAAATTTAGGTAGTGTTACTTTACTACTGCCACCAGATGAAGTGTAAGGAATAATTTTAATCACCCTAAATATTACCGATTTAATACGTAATCTATAATCAACCGAAAATCAAGTAGATCACATTGAAACCCATTCGCTCTTACCAAATGTCCAAGTGTGTTGATATACTAATTCCTTATTTTTTATTTAATGATCTTTATTTGTAAATTGCCAGAAAGAAAGTTAAAAATAATATATTCTTTATTTCTAGGTTGGCACAATCAGTACGACTCATGATGGCCATAGCGATCTTACTATCATATAGTTTACAATTCTACGTACCCTTCAACATTATCTGGCCCAAAATAAAGAGCTGTTTTCCAGAAGACAAGTCCAGAAACTATGCCGAGTACATCACGCGTACCGTACTGGTTTTCATCACATTTATTTTTGCCGTAGCCATACCAAACCTGGGAGCTGTAATTTCATTGGTCGGAGCTTTCAGTAGCAGTGCTTTGGCATTGATCTTTCCACCACTAATTGAAATAGTTACATTCTGGCCTGATAAATTGAACAGAAGTTGGTGGATATTGGGTAAAGATTTGGCTATAGTGGTATTAGGATTCGTAGGGTTCCTTGTTGGGTCTTACGTTAGTATACTGAACATATTGTATCCAGAAACCACATCATAAATATGATTTATATCAAAAAGAATTTTAAGGAAAGATATCCTGACAAAATATGACGATATAAACGTTGTGACACAAATTGGTTGTGATGTTAGCTTTTCAGTTTGTTTCTTCATGAAACATGGAACAGCATCGTATTTTCAAGAGCTTTCACCTTTTGATGATGATAAATGATGTGACGTGACTGATAAATCAACATCACTTTGATGATGACTGGATTTCTTCAAATCAACTCAAAAACAAATTCATAATTTTGGAAAGTCAATTTAGGTTGGAACCCTTTGCGTTAGAATAATAAATTTTACTTAAATACATGGGTATTAAAGGCCAACCCTACAAAAATTACATCTGAAATTTGAAATCACAAATCATCAAGTTATTTATTAAGGGTATTTGAATACAAAAATGCTTAATATTTATTAGTGGGGCATTTGTTTCTTAGAGTTAATTTTTCTGTGATAGAAGCTATACATATTCAAAAAATATATGTATGTGATTAATATTTATATTTAGTCCAATGATTCTTCTCGTCAAAAATTACATAATATTTGTATTATATAAATATAGGTATAATCGAACAGTCAATGTTACACATGGCATGAAAATTTAAAGCCTAAAAATGAAACTCAAATGATATATTTTTATGCCTATTGTGACACTGTGTTCTTTAAATCGCAAGGTATATTTAAATATTAATTATACAAAATATTATATGTCTATTACTTCTCTTTCTAGAACTTTATTAAAATGATTAGATTTAATACGATTTCTCTCTGAAAATAAGTTTTACTCAACCCCTGAATAAGACAATAATTTTAAAAGGTAGAATCAATTCTTTTTGATACTCTATACAAAGTTATCAAATATTTTACTATCACTGTCTTAATATATGTACATCATCTCATGATATTTAATAAAAAACTATTTAGAATTTATTAGATTTAAGTATAAGTAACTAAAAAAAATGTCTAATGTATAAATGTCAATGAGATAATAAGAATAGCGTTCTTTATTTAAATACATAGGTACAGTAGATCATTTTATAAAAACTGTTTTGTTTAAATTCTGTAATTATATTCCTAAAAAGTATCGATGCATATTAAAACTAGTATGAAATATATATAATATATATAAAAAATATTTAAGTTTGTTTTTGTGGCTTATATTTATATACTGTACCTATTTAAAAAAAATCTTTAATGCACATCCTTGTTTATATATTGCCATATATTACCTAGTCAAGACTATTCTAATTTTCAAAGTTAATATTAAAAAGAAATTTTAAATTATGTATGTTTCTGCATTTATTAATAAATAAGATAAATTTGTGAATTAAATAATAGATTATTTATTTATTGAAATATAGAAAAAATTGCTTAATTATAATATATAAAAATATTTATTATTGTAAATGTTATAAAGATTAGGCACTTGCTTAGTTGCTTGTATGTCACAGTATTTATTCTAAGTTTTATTATGTATATGTTATTTATTTTTCTATATAAATATCAATGTTGAAGACATATAATTGTTTTAATTCACACAGTTGCGATTAATTATAAAAAAACAACGCAAAATTAATTTTATTTTAAACTCGTCTGTTTAATCCTACCGACTGTGCCATCTTTATTTTAGCATAAACCAGTGAATTTGGTTATTATAAAACCCCTTGACACAATATTTATTAATACAATACAAAAGTCGGTAAATAATATATACCATTGTGGCGAGTTTATTGTAATTTCTTAAAAAAATCCTGGATATCTCGCCACTGAAATAGAAATCTAAAAAATAAGTTATGTCTTGTTAAATGTCTAAATTCCAAACAAAAACCAGTTTTTCAATATTTTTTTTTTCTAATATAGTTCCCCCCATGTTTCCCCGTCCACAGAAGTAAAAAAACAATAAAAAGGTCTCAATGCAGCTACTTTGACATAGTGTTTTAGCAAACATATCTGACATTACATTAAAGCCAAACTTCAAATTAGCAAATACTACCAAACAAATTAACAATTATTACAGTCTAAAAGCTTAAAATATCTGTAAAGCAATTTTTGGTTTATTTACTAACTCTAACTTTATTACGAACTAAGATTTAGAGACAGCCTGACCTTTATATTTATTTATATTTGACTGGATTAGAAAATCCTCTTTTATTTTTTTTTGTTTTGGAGGCTATCAGAAAAGTTTGCAAGCATTTAAGAGTCCATTTCGCTAGTCCGAAAAAGTAGCAAAATAAGCGTTCGGCATTTAACGTTTTATGTAAAACTGGCTAGGTATTTTTACACAAATGAAGAAGGAAATTAAAGATAAAGGATTATGCTATATCCGTATTGTAGCATATTTTTAGACAACTTCTTTATTTTTAAGATTTTGATGGTCAAACATCAACAAAATAGTCCATATGTTTGGACTAAATTTTCTCGAAAATAAAGACATAATTTAAAACTCCGTTACAATACGGAAGTAGATTGAAGTTTTGTGATTACAGTGATATATAATTTATATGGTTTGGTAATAAATTGCTCGCTGTTTTATGGCAAATGCTGAAGCTCTGCAAACCTTAATGAAGCCTTAATGAAAGCACGTGTGTTTTGAATTTTGGGTGTGGCTTAACACGAAAGGATCGGGCTAAGCCTTAGGCATTTCTGAAATATAATATTGTATATATTTCCTTCGGCCACACACCCGACCCCTGAGAGCGACCCGAACAGTACAGCGTAATATACACTTAAACTTCAATAATACAGTCCTGCACGCTCCGTAATTCCTGGAGCAAGCGCGCTCCTTTGCCATAAACATCCAGATCAATACCCCAATGACACAATTCTCATCACAACAAACGGATTGAGGTTACCTCTGCTCCAAAAAGAATAAACACAGAAATACACCTTTCTAGTTTTATCGAACCAACGGTTGATAAAAAGCACGAAACTGCTTTACAAAGTGTACCCCAGTCCAGGCATAGCCCGCAGCGTCTGGGCTTTGCCACAGCCAACTTCCTGTAATATGGTGGCGGATGCCGAACACCCTGCCGCCTCTGATCAAGAAAAAGATGGGACCGATACGGCGGATATCGTGGAACAAACTCATAGGAACATATTTGATTTGGTCAAGACAGGGTATGATTATGTAGCATTGTCAATATTTATCACCTAAGTTGTCTACTTAGATGATAAACATTTCGCTATTACTATAATAACTGTTTTCATTGATAGCACGATATATTGTTTTATTAGGAGTAAAAATGACACTTTTCGTGGCGAGGCTGTACGTTTGCCATACAGCCGAGGTACAAAAAGTCATTTTTGCTCCGAATAGAACATGCAATTTTTTTCAAACGCCACAAATAATTTTTTAAACAATTTCAAACGTTCCAAATAATGTAAAAAGATTTAAAAGTCATATCTTGTATGTAATTATATATCGAGAAACTATGGCTACGCTAGTTGAATTTGACACTTTATGTCAGTTTAAGCATATTTTCGTACTTTCATGCTTAGGCGTTAAAGTGCTTTATTTTTAAGTTTTTTTATTCTTAGAGGTTAAATTGTGGGGTTCAAAAAGGGTTAAAACTTAAAATGACTTTTTTATATTGTCAATCACGTCGCAAAAATTAATATTTTTGTGACGTTTGAAAAAAAAGTATTTTTTCATAACTTACTTGTCTATGATACACCTTTCATATTATTTGAGCTATTAATACAGATTTTATGAAATATTTAACTAATATTTTATTGTAGAGATCTACCTGACGTAGAGGAATATGTAGAAAAATGCGGGGTGGAGGTCCTTAGAGCTAGAGATGAGTGGGGTTATACTCCTGCCCATTGGGCTGCTCTTGATGGCAACGTGCAAATTATGAGATTTTTTATAGATAAAGGAGCCCCAATAGACTTACCTTGTCTGGGTACTCAGGGACCTAGACCCATACATTGGGCTTGTAGGAAAGGTAAATATAGTTCATATCACAAATAAACTTTTAGTCACGTGCTTATAAGTTTGACCCATAGACTTAAAATAAAATATAGACTGAGCATCTCATTCATAAATAGCTGGAACATGCGGTCAGACACTGTCTTGTTATTGTTGTGTTATTGTTTTAGGTTATAACGAGTGCGACACGAGCGATAGATAGGTTGTCTCTGTCGTAACGGTCGTTCCCTGACGACTCTGCCGAGAAACACAACACTGTCTTTCGTTTCTCAAGTACACCTGAACTCTCCGTATCATAGCCGGGTAATTTTTTTATTTTAATGAAGCTATAAGTAAATTAAAAATATATCGTATTTAAACGTTTTTATATTTTATTAAGATTTAGGACAGGTTTTTTACATAAAAGTTTAGAAAAAACGTCTTAGAGTCCGAAAAGGATAAACATAATAAAATACACGTTATAGAAGAAATTTTATAATCGAAATTACGTAATTTTTGAAATTAATAATAAATTATTAATTTTAGTCAAACATTTACAACCCCTAATATTAATCAAAACCGGATCTATTCCACAGATATAATAGAATCGGCGACAGGGAGAGAAAAAAAAATGATTGTTGTAATTTTTTTTCTAGTTAAGTGATGTCTTATTATGTAAATTAGAGAAAACATAAATCTGTTCCATTAAAGCAAGGAAGGTGATAGGAAGTGGATAAAATAAAAACTACATTTATTTAACTCGGTACTGTCTTTATTATACCGGGTGCGGCTCAAAAGTGGCTCATCCCCATAATTTTTTTATATTTTCAAATAAAAAAACAAGATTTAGTATGTTAGTATATGAAATAAATTAGGATTGATTGACGCATTCAATTGTTTTTGGTCACTTCCTGTGTCACCGGAAATGACTATAACTTTTAATTTTTAAACGGCACCCTCGGTATATTTCTACTTTATTCGATAGAAAATGACACTCTGAATAGAATGAAATATCATATGTCAACTTTTGACATTTTCGCATATGGTTTAATTGTAATTGTAACACGCGGTTCATAACGACAATTTGACTCGAAATACCAAGTGTGTGGTATCAATATATTCATAAAAAAATGCTTTTTCCAAATATGCTAATGAGTCACCCTTGTTCCATTTGAAAAAATTGACATATGTATGATTAAAAATACGATTTGTACATCTTTTAACCGGCCTAGACAAGACACGAAACCTATTAGACGATCAAAACTATTTTTCCAAGGCTCCTTGATTAAAACTTAGTGGATTGAAAAAAACTGGATTGAAATTTAAAATAGGATATGTTTTTAAGCGACAATGTCAAAAGTTGGCATATGATATGTCATTCTATTCAGAGTGTCATTTTTTTATCGAATAAAGTAGCAATATACCGAGGGTGCCTTTAAAAATCAAAAGATGTAATCATTTCGGTGAAACAGGAAGAGACCAAAAACAATTAAATACGTCAATAAATCCTAATTTATGTCATATACCTACTAACATACAAATCTGTTTTTTTATCTGAAAAAATAAAAAAAGTTATAGGGTTGAGCCACTTTTGAGACGACCCGGTATATTAAAAAATAATGTTTCATAATGTAATATCATTTTAAAATTCTTGTATGTTATTTTAGATTCTGAAGATAATTTTAGAATAAACCGGAATATATTTTTAATAAGAACATTATTAATTATTAACAGGGTTATAATTATGATTTTGTTACAATGTAAGTAAGTAAATAATGTAATGTAAAGAAAAATTCAGATTTTACATTTTACTAAAATATTATCTAAATAAGCGCCTTTCTACAACAACGCCACTGACTGCCAATGGGTAAATTGAGAGTTGCCTACCGGTCAAAGTCGTTTCAAGACTTAAATGGATTATTTAAGTCAAATTTCTTGCAAATTTGGCACTGGCGAACCATATTTTATAGTTTTTGAACAGAAAAAGTCAATAAAATAAACACTTAAGGACTACAAGCTAAGAAAATGCGTTATTACAGCCGGGGAGATAGCGGCAACAAAACTTTACCGCACACGTGCGACACGTACTACAAGGTAATAAATGAATGAATAGGCTTCCTCGCCTCTAATCGGTGTTGTCATATTGTAAAGAACTTATCCTTATTAAACAGTATCCGACTTATAATTTAGTAGTATAAGGACTATTTAATACATCTATGGAATATTAAAACCTACTTTATTAAACTCTAGTATTAATATCTCAATATATGTGTATAACAAGAAAAAAAATATTGATAATATTAAAGACGTGACAACATAGGCTGGATGAGGAAGGCTCGGTCGACTGTACCCAGAAGTAAACATGTGTACAAAAAAGGTTGTTTGTCCGCGTTGAGATGTAAATAGTGTAGTCTATATTTTATTTTAAGTCTATGGTTTGACCGGTACATAGTTGCCCATTTTTACATATTTTCTTTTAATCAAAATATTTTAAGAAATAAAAATAAATCAATTATAAATACATAAACAGCTATTATTTACATCAACAAAACTCACCTCCTTAACAGAACTTAAGGGACATGAAGGGTCATTACTACCGCTTTCTCGTCCAAAATATTAGATATAATAAATAAGCAGCGATTATTTTTTAAGATTATTAAGCTATCTTGAACACTTCGAACTAAAAGAGGTTGTAAAAAGAACAATGCTCGACTACAAGGTCTGTGTGTCAAAAATGTTTAAGCTTAAAGTAAAAACACAATTCATTTAAACCTAAAACTCGCAATACAAAACTAAAATGTTAAAACAAATGACAAGGCTAGGAAATATATAAATAGATGTGGCAACTTGTCATTTTTTACAACAGAGCTACCACCTGAATCCCCAGCGGGAAATTTAAATTCCAGTTAGTTAGCCCGGCGCCGAATATGTTGTCCATGGTTGGCAACAATGAATTTAAAAATCGTTCTCTCGATTATGTAACTAAAAGTTTAATTGGTATGAAATATATGCATAGAGAGCAAAAGAGATTTTTTCGATCATCTGTAAAACGTAATTTGTAAAGCATAAAAAATTGTTTTATTTGTAGTTAATTATATTTCTTGACAAACATTCATAATAAATACATTATTATTTAACAAATTTCTAATATGTAGGTCATGCAGCTGTGGTTCAAGTTCTTCTACAAGCAGGTATAGCAGTAAATGGAGCAGACTTTAAGGGTTTAACACCCCTAATGACGGCTTGTATGTTCGGTCGAACAGCTACTGCAGCATACCTTCTAGGAATGGGTAAGTACCACCACAGATTCTTCACAACTATCCGGTCGACTTGCAATTATTTTCATGCAAATCTACATATTTCTTATATAATGCAACCAATCAAGTTCTAAGGTCGATAGAAACTTAGTTTAAAAGAATAATCGAGACTGGTAGTCAAATTGTTGCTACGTGTGCGAAAATAGATGTGGTACTTCTAGAAATCGCTGTCAATGTTAGAATTTCTTCAATAGACCAATATAGACACTAAATTGTGTAAAAATAGAGCTATACAGGATGGTCTATTTTAAATTTTGACATCAATCTACTTAATAATGTTAATTTCTTCTATTCAGGAGCCTTCAATCATCTGGTGGATGTTAACGGAGATACTGCGGTGCACTGGGCAGCCTACAAGGGCCATCCAGATCTTTTAAAGCTCCTCATGTACTCCGGAGCAAACTTACAGAAACCTGATCATTTCGGATCAACTCCTTTACATCTGGCCTGTCTATCCGGCAGCCTGAGTTGTGTGAAGTTACTTTGTGAGAAGGTAGATGCAATTTAAAAAAATGTGTGTGCACTATGTGCGCATACTTAAAGTGAAACTATTAAGTTGCAAGATTTGAAGGACATGTTTGAAAAAACAATAAATTAAAAATTAATAAATAATTTGATTCGTTTTCATAAAATTTGTATTAAAATGACCGTCTGTCCGTCTGAGAACTCCATTCGGGTACTCTATCCACGTGCCGAGTTTGATTCTAATCGAGGCATAATTAAGAGAAAAATGGTGATGAATTCGCCCATTTAGAGGCATCGGTTCGAAACGTCGAGGGCGTCATCCTGTAGTCCGTCCCCAATTATGCCGAAATCGAACCACATTTTTCCTCAATATCAAATTTTTAGTCCCACCCTGATGAAGGTTTAAACGAAACGTCGTATTCAACTTTGCAGGGAGGGATCGTGTGCACCGTCGCTCACATAGCCTACCGACGACATAAGCTTTTGACATTTCTTACGTCAAAACTAACTGTCACGGTGACACGTGTCGTACACGTTCAAGTAGGCCTTGGTCCAATCTATCGACATACCAAATTTCATTTAAATCGGACGATTTTTTCGCCATTGATGATGGAGTTTCATAGTGCACGAAACGTCGTGAAAATATTATGAAAATATGGAGCTCTTTGATCTCTACATTCCAGGTTTTTCAGCCCCCTAACTCACACAAGGTCCGAGTTACGACACTCCAAAGACCCATCTCAATTAGGCTTACCACACTTTTCGTAACCACTAGCTCGTATGTCACGGCCTTGAATTTTTACTCCCAGCGCGCGTACAGAAGTTTCACTTCAAAAATTATATTATAAACTAGTTATTACATTTTTTATTACATTACAGATTGAAACCATTAGTTCTATAATAGCAAAATAAAACACTAGACCATAACATGCGTTTCCTACTAAAAAAAGCGCTCAATGATTACCTAAACTTTATAGATCATATCACTATATAATTAACAAGATCTTCATCGATCGGTATAAAACATAGGTATGGTATGCCCAACTAAAATGTCTTTTTCTACAGCTACTCTAAAATTATTTGTAATTAATCAAAATGTGTTTAAATGCATTTTTGTGAAAGTTTTCGAAATTGACAGTTTTTGATATTTATTTGAGATTCGAAATGACATTCTTTTAGGCACTATTATCTCAAAGTGACACTTGTTTACGCACTAGTGCCTAAAAATAAAAAATGAAACGTTAGAAACAACGAAAATATTTATTTATTATAAATCTTAAAAGTACAATTATTATTTAAATTATTAAAGTGATATAAGAGGCATCCAACTTTTCGTCTCTAAGAGAAATGCAAGTTGTAGGAGTCGGAATAAGTAAATTTCTTGTACTGGCAATGATGGTATTGTATTTACTAAGAGTGAGTCCCAAGTGGGACCCTCCACTGAGGCCGCGAGAGCCTATTGTGGCTCAGTTTCTACAAGCTTTTTAATAGAAAAAGAGCATTAAAGTTCACCCTCAAGACCCAGCCTTTTAACATAGGCCGTTATGTCCGAGGGTGATATGTCTTCTAGGTCTGATAGGTCTAGCGTGGGTTTGCCAAACACCTTAAACCTGGTCCTGCCCCCAGCGGGGCAGGTACACATAACGTGCTTCATTGTTTCGTCATCTTCCATACAGAGTCGGCATTCGGCGTCTTCCACCAGTCCCATCCTCTGTAGGTGTGATCTCAGCCGGCAGTGGCCCGTGTATACTGCAGTAAGCGTACGCGCTCCGTTCCTACCAGCCTTTAGGAGTTCATCTGTTCTACGTTTGGATGGCCCTGCTAGGATTGTCTTGGCATGTTCCATTCCGGGACTGTCATACCAGTCCCAAAACGTCACACCCCTAACCCATTCACAGAGCCTGTCTCTTGCGAGATTTTTTGGTACGCTAAGTGTCGATTCTGGGCCCACGAATGGCGAGTCTGCACCAGTTTTGGCGAGGGAATCAGCACGTTCATTTCCCTCTAGGCCGACATGTCCCGGTATCCATATTAGCGACACTTTGTTTCCATCTCCTAATATATTGAGTAGTTTCTTACAATGAAGAATCGCCCTGGACGTACTTTTCGTTGCCTCAAGTGCTTTCAACGCCGCTTGACTATCCGAAAATATGCTTATTGTTTTCTGTTCTACCAGCAGTTGCACACAGGTTTCAATCGCATATAGCTCAGCTTGGAAAATACTGGGGTGTTTTCCAAGACTGTGGTAGATCTCAGTCTTTGGACTGCTGCAGTAAATTCCTGCGCCAGATCCATTATCGTTTTTGGATCCGTCCGTGTACCAACACATTTCCGCAAGTAATAAGCCGTTTCTCGGCTTATCCCATTCGTCCCTATTCGGAAACAGGACGTTGTAGGTGCGCGTCAAGAGTTGGATTGGTGGTGTGAGATCCGAGACCATTCCCAGAATCTCATCCGGCAATGATGGTAGCTTCTGCTTCTACGTGAACTGCTTTTAATTTCTTATTTGGAGGTAGATCATGGTGCGGAGAGAGCATCGAATATTTACTCCACAGAGTTGACGGCTTTAAGGTAGTGGACAACTTCAGGAAATAAGCTAGCAATACCTTTTCTGGGAAATCATCAACATGTCTTTCTTTGACCCAGGTTTCAAAGTTGTTGTAGGTGGTCTCGTATAAGTTTTTCGACTTCTCGGGCACTAACGTGGATACTGCAGTTTCAGCAGCTTGTTGAATATCCAAAGACTCGTCATTATCACTCATTTTTTCACAAAACTTTGTAGGAAATACGGCGACGTTTAAACCTCACAGAACTTTGTCATTAAACAATGTACAAACAATGCCTTAGAAACCCATTACCAGAACATTTTAAAAAATGTTTAAAAATAACTCGGCTTTCGCCTCGTTGAACAATTTTGCGTCCCGTGCTTAAAACACATTCATTTCGCAACTTGTTACATAAATAGCTATTTTAAACTTCCTTTCCTTGTAGAATGATATCGACTTAGAACCCAAAGACAAAAACGACAAGACCCCTCTAAATCTAGCCATAGGACACAGACACATGGATATCATAGACGTACTTCATGCGGCCATTAAACGTAGATCCGGATGGTTTCCTCCAGTCAGTGAAATATGGGGCTTGCTATTTGGTAGAGCAGGCAATTCCAAAGCGCCTCTACTGTTTTTTATGTCGTCGGTATTGCTATGGGGCTATCCTATGTATGTTATAAGAGTAAGTTATATTTTGCATGCAGAATTTACTACAGTTCATACCAACTAAACTTTTAGCTACGTGATTAAGCTTGACCGGCACAGCTGTTGCCCACTTTTAGATTTTTTCTTTTAATTAAAATATTTTAGGAAACAAAAATAAATTAATTATAAATATATGAACAGATATTATTTACATCAACAAAACTCACCTCCTTAACAGCAATTAAGGGACATAAAGGGCCATTACTACCGCTTTCCCATTCAAAATATTCTAATAAAGTTGCGATGAGTTTTTTTACGGCTATTAAGCTATCTTGTACACTTTGCACTAAAAGAGGTTCTAAAAAGAACAATGTTCGACTGGGAGGTTTGTTAGTAAAAATATTTATACTTAAAGTATCACAACATAATTCATTTAAACCAAGAACTAATACGTAAATAATACTAAAAATGTAAAGTATTATTAAAGTAATACAAAACTAAAGTGTCAAAACGAATGTCAGGAAATAAATAAATAAATGTGGCAACTTCATATTTTTTACAGCAGAGCTATCACCTGAATCCCCAGCGGGAAATTTAAATTCCAGTTAGTCAGCCCGGCGCTGAATATATCCATGGTTGGCAACAATGAATTTAAAAATGGCGCCCTCGATTACGTAACTTAAAGTTTAATTGGTATCGCTTATATGTATATTATACTATACAGGGTGGTCCGAACTGTATTAATCTAGCCAAACTTCTTTAACTTCGGTAATAACTCACTCCCCGTCATCAAAATTCTAAGGTACTTCTAGATGTGCCACAAATTCTCGAAATATCCTAATGGATTAAATTTTTTCCGTCAAAAGATATACCTAAATTTTCACCTCGATTTTTACTATTTAAACATTTTTAGTTAGAAGAAAAGAGTAACTTTGAATTGTGTACTCTTATAATACTAATTTTTACCTGATGTAGTTCAACTTACTATACTACTTTATTTTTTAAGATAAGAACATAAAATACAAAACACAAAAATTAGTTGACTGTAATACTTCTTTTGGATTGATCATTTTTTTCCTATTGTATAAATGTATGTCCTAAAATGCTTAGTTTCGGAGATACAGGGTGTAGAAGTTTCATTTAAATTTCGATTTTTTCCAAATAATTTCTGAAGTAACGTCAATATTTGAATGAAAATTGGTGACTGGAAGTTTTTGATATGAGAAATTCGATTTTGATGTCAATATGACTTCTACTTGTAGAGAGCGCCACTTACATATTTTTTAACTGGTTTGAAGAGTAATAACTTTTTGTCCGTACCTGTATAAAACTACTGAGTAAAAAATATACATTTACGACGTTTTTTAGGTAAAAAAGGTCTTGGTAAAAATCACTACCGGGTAATGGTTCTCGAAATATTTGGAATCGGAATTATCAATACCCGTCGTCATTGACTTTCAAAACGTTGCAAAAAGATCCTCATCTACGACAAATTACATCTGTTTTTTTTAGATCCTGCAGCACAAAAAGCTGAGCTAGTCGAAGCTGGAAATACATTTTATTTTCATTATATGGTCGACATAGGCTAGCAAAAGATTTAGATCAGTTGAGGTATTTTAAATATACAGCCCTTACATCTCGTCAGGTACTCATAGTAAAAAAATTGATTTAGCTACCTTACCTCCAACAACTAACGCAGCTGAAAATCATTATTGTAGGACCTATTTATAAATGCAGTCAGTATTGGCTAAATAACGGAGAAGAGGCAACAGAATGTGGATGGAGTAAAAAAACGGATACCTTAGTTCCAACAACAATTTCAAACGCAGTGGCACCAGAATTTGTATTGAAAATGATTTACTGTAATTGCAAATCTGGATGTAATAAACTATGTACCATTGCGATCAAAAAAAAGTAGTACAAGAATTAGTAGTCCCAGATGGAACTCCTGGTCTATAAGGATATTTGAATTATATTGAATTTTTTTTTGGATTTAGCCAACAACACTGTTTTTTTGTTTATAATGCATTTGAATGTCCCTTATGGGAACCCCCATCCCTTAATCGCGTAAATATAATCGATTTTTGCTCTGAAGTTAAAGGCATTTTTTAAAAATTATGTGACACTGATACAAGAATATAGACCAGCAGGTTAAATCATATTTTGTTGTACTATTTTTTTTAATCGCAATGGCACATGTTTAAAATCCAATATGCTATGTTCATGCTTGTGTAGTAACTGTAATGGTATTTCTTGCGAGAACAAACAAATATCGGTCGATGAAGAACAAATCGAATAAAATTGTAAATTTCATTTTTTTTCTAGAGATGACAGTTTGAAAAGTTAGGTTACAAGTTGGTAACACATTTTTATTAAAATGGTCATAATTTGAATTATTGTTATTCGATTTGTAGGGGTATGTTTATAATGTATTTATCATAATGATAAAGTGTTAAGATCGTAGATGATATTTATGTCAAAAAGATATTCTCAATTAGTTTATTACATTTTATTTTTTTCTTCCAACCTGTAGCCTAATTTTTCAAACTGTCACTGTATTTTTAAAAACAAGTTGTTTACAAAATGGTAACAAAAAGACCTTGGTTTAAGTGCAAATAGCCCCGACCGGAACAAGGTGGAGGCTGCTTTCGCACATTATTAGTACACATGTATTTAGTAAAGGATAGCTTTGAAAATTTTTGTTAATTTTGAAATATTATTAAACCATCAATAAATATTTCTTGAAAATGTCACAAGGACTGTATTTTAGTTGAATTGATGCTAAATATCCATGTTATTTGTTAATAAGCTTAAAAAAATAGTAATTTGCATTTCGATCATTCCTTTTAAAAAATGCTCGATTTTCAAAAAAAATTCAAAAGTCACTGCGTTAGGATAATAAACTATTCTTTATTCATTCTGATAGAGTTTTTTATTCTCATTAATTTTTACCTCTTGAAGTTTTTCGCTATAACGCACCGTTTTCGAGTTATTTACATTTTTCCCAAAAAGTACCAAAATTCAAGATGGCGGCCGATTTTTTTGATGACGCACACATCGGACAAATTGGGACTTTTAGTATGTTAATAAGGGTTACTAAGGCTAACTATTTTCAATGGTCGCAGCTTTCTAAAAATTTTTGCAAATTCAAAATTATTTGCACTGGCCTATTAGGTATATTAAACTGAAATCATAAATTTGAAATGATTTTGTGCCAAAAGTTCAACAGAAACTGATTATCATCATTTTTTCGAAGAACAAATTATGATTAATTTAAAAAAATAAAGTTATATTAAAGTTCCCAAATTTATCATTTCAATCAAATAACTATCTACTCAACATGTTTATTTTTTATCAGAAATTATCTGGAAAAAATCGAAATAAAAATGAAACTTCTACACCCTGTATCTCCGAAACTAAGCATTTTAGGACATACATTTATACGAACTTTTTTACTTATTTTTATCTGCAGAATATTTCCGGCATACATTTCGGACCACCCTGTATACAAAAACAGTTGATTTTATTACCTTGTTTAACTACCGCTTAAAGCATAAAATGTTACAAAATAACACGTTAAATGTTTTAGGTGATTCCCATAACCTGGAATATACTACGCGGTTCCCATTATTGTTTCATCTACTGGAACGTCGTAATGTGGATATGCTGGATCGTAGCCAACCGCAAGAATCCAGGATACATCCCTACCAATTCCGATTCTTACTACAGATGCATCAAACAAATTCCTTATTTCGACAAATGGAAGAAACGCAATTCCATGTTGAATAGGCTGTGTCACACTTGCCGAACACTGCGACCCATAAGGGCCAAACACTGTAGAGTGTGTAACAGATGCGTTTCCTACTTCGATCATCACTGTCCCTTTATTTACAACTGCGTTGGGTTGAAGAACAGGACTTGGTTCTTTCTGTTTGTAATGAGCGTCGCTATTAACTGTTCGTTCACGATTTATTTCGCTACTTACTGTATAGCGATAGAAGGGTTTGGGATTCTGTATATTCTGGGATTGGTAGAGGCGTTCGTTTTTTCGGGTCTGGGATGGATACTAACTTGTACTTCGGTAAGTAGTTCTTCACTTCTATCATTTTTTATGTAAAAAAGGTATCTTGGTTAAAATCGCAATGAGTAGTGGTTCTCAAGATATTTGGAATGGAAATGTTGACTGGATAGTTATTAGCCTGAAATAATAACTTTGAAATCTATTTGTGCCAAAGATTCAACAGAAACTGTTTTTTCGTATTTTTTTGCTAGAAAAATTATTGATTAGCTTAAAAAAATAAAAAATTCTAAATTTATTATTTCAGTCAAATAAGTTACTAGTCAACATGTTTATTTTTTGTCAATAATGGATTGTATTGATTATTTATATTCCAAATATCTTGAAAACGGTTGCTCGTAACGATTTTTACCAAGAGACATTTACGTAAAAAATTACGGAAATGTATATTTTTTCACTCAGTAGTTTCATACTGGTACGGCGATAAGCTATAACTCTTCAAATAAGTAAAAAATATGTAGGTGGAGCCCTCTACAAATAGCAGTCGTATCGAAATCAAATTTCTCATATTAAAAATACCCATACACCAGTTTTCACCCACACATCGAAATTAGTTCAAAAATTATTTGGAAAAATCCGAAATTAAAATGAAACTTCTACACGCTTCTCCAAAACAAAGGATTCTAAGACAGAAATTTATACTTTTTTACTTATTTTTATCGATAGAACATGCTGCCGAAGTTTCCCGAATATAATTAGAACCACCCTGTATATGGTGCTGTAGAAATCGAAAAAAAATGCTTCTCTACAGGCACAACTTTTATTTTACGAAGTACTGTAATTGTATCTATCACGGCATCAAGGAAGTAGGTACAGTACGTCTGTCCGTTCTGTAGCTACGGGGTATCCGTGAGAGGGGAAACGCTATTCTCTCCATGTTTTTCGTAAAAAATTAGACGACGCGTCCCATCAATAAAAATTCGACAAATTTGCAAGTAACCAATAAAATGAGTGGGCGGGGCGATTTGCGGTGACGTACTCGTCAAGTCGACGTATAAAATATATTGTTGTTTATTTAAATGTTTTTTGTCCGCATTCCTTTCATAGACACAGATCCAGCAGATGTACTGTAATAGTTCAGTACGTCTGTCCGTTCTGTAGCTAAGAGGTATCCGTGAGAGGGGAAACGATATTCTCTCGATGTTTTTCGTAAAAAATTAGACGACGCGTCCCATCAAGAAAAATTCGACAAATTTGCAAGTAGCCAATAAAATGAGTGGGCGGAGCGATTTGCGGTGACGTACTCGTCAAGTCGACGTATAAAATATATTGCTGTTTATTTAAATGTTTTTTGTCCGGATTTCTTTCATAGACACAGATCCAGCAGACGTACTGTACGTTTTTGTATGTATTACGGATTCCGTAGGTCTTCTAACTTCAAAACACTTGAACTTCCCAAACACACGATAAAACACTTAACGAATTTATTTTTCCCAACTATTATACACTGGACTACTTAAATATAACATACCAATAACTTTTTTGAAAAACCTTCGCCATGGTATAGGTATACAGGGTGGCGCCTCCCATACGCCGCGGAGGCTCCAAGGACAACGACAGTTTGTATTGAAATGAAATTTTGTGAGCATATGTAGGTTAATTCAGAGCACTTTTTAAAAATATAAAAAGTTCTACAGGGTGTCCTCAAAAAAAGTTACATATCAAAGTTGTGTTTTTTGTAATGGAACACCCTATATATTAATTGATTTTCGGATTTTGGGATAAAAATAAAGGTGAGTTTTATAAGAGAAGTATATGGCTAAAATGTAAGGTTTTTGACATATTTAACATTTTCTAGTTTTTAATGTTATATTTATAACATTTACTTCCACTTATATTTATAAGTGGTAGGTAAAAAGAACAATTTTTTCAATTACAATAAAAGCTACCTAAATTGGAATTTACCCGGTATAGCCTAATATGTAGTTAAATTAACTATTGTACTTTAAATCAAATTAAAACTTGATACAAAAAGTTATATAGGGTGAGACAAAATTAATATTGAATATTGGTCACTTCTAAAAGCAAGTTACTTTTTATTTTAAATGGAACACCCAGTATACTATTTCGATATACAATTGGGATTTCATGTCTCTTCAAATATACTATTAAGGTTGCCTAACCCTCAAACAAATATTTTCCTAGATATTTTCATTTATATGATTTGATCTGAGTAGATCTTTATTATTTGATAAAATCTAGGTGGCTGTGATATGGGTCTGACGTTACTTCAACATAGTTGTCTAATTAGTCCAACTTTAACAACTAGTTATCATTTTGTGTCAGTTAAAACAAAAAAAATTCTCAGAAATTTGCCCGAAAATACAAACTTATCCTACATCAGAAAGAATTAATTTGATAAGTCAATTAATAGAATACTTAAATGCTCTTGATTTTACCTAGTCTGGGTTTTTATGGGGATATGTTAAAGTCAGTGTTTACAAAACTCGGCGAAATTTCGAGGTAGAACTCCACATAAAAAAAATACCTTTTAAAATGACAAGATTATTTTGAAAAGACAGTCATTTTATGCAGTTAACAGGAAAGGAAGCATTTTGAGCATTTGATTTCATCTAGCTAATTTTTGTGACATAATTATGGGTTTATATCTAGTTTTAATTTTATAATAATTAAAATATGTTTTAATTACTCTCTACCCTAATGTAAAGTACCCTTCCAAGGCCGTTATGGCATTTTACACAGTCGCCATTCGCTTTGGCATTAAAATGTGTGTAAGAGTAGCAAATTTCAGGAAAAAAGGTTTACCAAAGTTTTAAAAATAAACAAAATTATTATTTTTATTTAACCTTTCGAGGGCTGTAACTTCTTCGGGAAGCATTTTAGGGCATATGTTTATACGAACTTTTTGTTTTATTTTTATCTGTAGAATCACCCACCAAAGTTAGATACACTTTTTTTGACACCCTGTATAGCTTTTACTCAATATACAATGTTTAAAATTTACATTTACGTGGGATTTCCTATGGTCATGTGCGTCGACGATGCAATACCCGTCATATACACCCATTAATCGGACAATCTTATTACTCTATCTAGAAATAAACAGGCAATTAGTTAGCTAAATAGTTATTTACCATAAAAATCGGTTTTTGATTCGGTAACAGGTCCCGAGGTAGTTTTTTATCCTATATTTTTTAGTGTATTAACAATCGGCTTTCACCGATGAGATTATTCAAGAATTTGATGATTTTTCCCATCAAATTTATCGAATTTGAACCGCTAGGTCGATGACATTTCGATGCCTATAGTCGAGATGGTGTAAAACCTACTGGTCAATTGGTCAAGAGCTGTATAAATTGATTTTTTTCCGAATTTGGTTTTATTTGAAAATCTTGTAGTAGACGCTACATTTTATTTTTTATCGTATAGTGTTAGCATTTTATTTTGTTCCACTTTTAACAGGTTTTAATTTTTTGAACTATAACACTTATTAAGAAGAAAATTATAGGGTATTAGCTTTAAGTACATACTCCCAAGAATGACATACTCTGCCCTCTGCACACATAGACATGCATATAAAATATAAACTAACCATAGACATTGATTTGTTGTATGTTGTGGTCCAATATATATGCAAGCAAATTGTAAAAAAAACTGTTTGTTTATTTACAGTTTGAATTAACTACAGAATTAATTATACAGGGTAGTCCGAACTGTATTCCGGAGACTTCGGCAGCATATTATGAAGATAAAAATAAGTAAAAAAGTTTGTATAAATGTATGTCCTAAAATGCTTAGTTTCAAAGATACAGTGTGTAGAAATTTCATTTTTATTTCGATTTTTTCCAAATAATTTCTGAAGTATCATCAATATTTGGATGAAAATTGGTGTCTGGGAGTTTTTTGACATGAGAAATTTGATTTTGATGTCAATATGACTCCTACTGGTAGAGGGCGTCACCTACATGTGTTTTACCTGTTTTGAAGCGTAATAACTTTTTGTCCGTGCCGGTAAGGAAACGAGGGAAAAAATATACATCTCTGTGAATTTTTACGTAAAAATTATCTCTGTAAAAATCGCTACGAGCAACCGTTCTCAAGATATTTAGAATGGAAATAGTCAGTACACGTCATTATTGACGAAAAATAAACACGTTGAGTAGATAGTTATTTCACTGAAATAATAAATTTGGGAATTTTTTTTTAAATAATCATAAATTTTTCTGCAAAAAAATGATGATAAAACAGTCTCTGTTGAACTTTTGACACAAAAACTTCCAAATTTATGATCTCAGTCTAATAATAATTTAGTCATCATGTTTAATTTATGTCAATGATGACAGGTATTGATAATTTCGATTCCAAATATCTCGAAAACCAATACTCATAGCGATTTTCACCAAGAGACATTTTTTAAGTAAAAAAAGTCGTAAATGTATATTTTTTTACTCAGTAGTTTTATACAGGTACCGACGAAAAGTTATTACTCTTCAAACCAGTTAAAAAATATGTAGGTGGCGCCCTCTACTAGTAGGAATCATATTGACATCAAAATCAAATTTCTCAAATCAAAAAACTCCCAGACACCAATTTTCATCCAAATATTGACGTTACTGCAGAAATTATTTGGAAAAAATCGAAATAAAAATGAAATTTCTACACCCTGTCTCCGAAACTAAGCCCATTTTAGGACATACATTTATACGAACTTTTTCACTTATTTTTATCTGCAGAATATGCTGTCGAAGTTTTCGGAATACAGTTCGGACCACCCTGCATATTTAGAATAATTAATAAGTCTTTTCTAAAAGGATTTAAATCTTTTTATTTACTTAAGCCTTTTCTAAAAAGTCTTCTAAAAAAGAAAACAAGACTTCTAAGACTTCTTCTAAAATATAAACTAACCAAGCCTTTTCTAAAAAGATATTAGTTGAATCAAAAAAATATTTAAGTTTTCTGTGAGCTTGCAGCTCTGGTTTCAACTTAGCCATATATCTTAGCCACATTTTTTTTTATTACAGATACTCCACGCTTGCATGAACTTAACTACCAACGAAATGGTTAACTACAAAAGATACCCTTACCTAAGAGATAAAAGAGGGCGATACTACAACCCTTTTTCCAGAGGTCCTATTCTGAATCTTATAGAATTTTTTTTCTGCACACCGGATGACTTGGAAGAAGAACCTTGCTACGACTACATTTGATACAGAGGAAAGTTGGAGAGGAGCTCAAACCACAAACCAAGCATTTGCGAAGTTAATAAACGGCCTATGAGTACGAGAACAGATAGTAAAATCGCAAATGAGCAAACAAAACGATAGCTTTTCGTACATATTTCATACCAATTAAACTTTTAGTTACGTAACCTTACGATTTTTAAATTCATTGTTGCCAACAATGGATATATTCGTCGCAGAGCTATGGCTAACTGGAATTTAAATTTCGCGCTGGGGATTCAGGTGGTAAAAAATGTCACTGCTGTAAAAAATGTCAAGTAGCCACATTTATTTATTTCCTGACATTGTCATTCGTTTTGACACTTTAGTTTCATGGCTTTAGTTTTGTATTACGAGTTTTTTGTTTAAATAAATAGTGTTTTGATACTTTAAGCTTAAAAATGTTTACTAGCGAACCTTGCAGTCGAACATTGTTCTTTTTTGAACCTCTTTTAGTGCGAAGTGTACAAGATAGCTTATATAATAGCCGTGAAAAACTCATCGCAACTTTATTAGAATATTTTGAACAAGAAAGCGGTAGTAATGTCCCTTAAGTGCTGTTAAGAAGGTGAGTTTTGTTGGTGTAAATAATAACTGGTTATATATTGCAAAATAAAAACCCTAAATAACCACAATACACCAAAACACTTTTACTTTTACACTGGACGCGCGTTTCGCTAACCATGTTAGCCTCATCTGCAGATGATCCTAACATTGTAGCATCATTGTAACACCAAAGGTTCCAACCCTCAACTGTAATCTGGTTATATATTCATAATTAATTTATTTTTGTTTCCTGTGCCATGCCGGTCAAGCTTAATCACGTGACTAAAAGTTTATTTGATATGAACTATAGCTTAGTAATTTTCGAAAAACAATTAGGGATTCGCAAATTTATCGATAAATCGAATTATCGATATTTGAAGAAAATATCGAAAATGTTTTTATAACTATCGAAGACTATATATTGAATATTTTTATTAGTTTCAGATTTTTAAAATTAATTAATTTACGAAAGTTTGTAAAAACATATTATGTAAAAGAAATGTATTTATTTTTAGCTTTGAATACAAATTATAGTCAAAAACAAAGGAAAAAATGATAAAGTAAAAATATGATTACAGGGAATTTATTAATTATTATAGTCTTGAACATAAAAAACTTGTTTTAGAACAAAAAGTTACGCACATTTAATTATACTACACAAAATACAACAAAAAAAAATCATTTTAAACTCTTTCAACTGAATTATACAGGGTGAGTTAAATAAGTGCAAATATTTTTAGGGTCTGTATATTTTGACCCCAGAAACACGATTATGAAGTTTTCTCGCGAAAAAAAAATTGTTACTTAATATTAATATTTTTTATAATTAAAAATAATATTAATATTTTTTTAGTTTTTAGTTAAAAAACATAATTTGTTGATAATATGGCAACAGAAAAGATCCAGTGGTTCTCAAAATTTTAGCAAAAAATATTTTTTTTTGGAATTTTTCAAAGTAAAATAACTCGGTTATTTTGAATTTATTTGTAAAACGGCAAAGAGAAAATATGTTTCTTTTATCGGCCTTGAAAATATTTGCATTTATTTAAACTCACCCTGTATATTTTAAGGTTTTCTTTATTTTTGATAAATCGGGAGATTTGGAATCATTAGCGTCACTGAGAGATTTGCCTTTTTGAATTCCCAGGTTGTAGCTTTTTGTACAAAACATATATTTTAGGTTTTAAGTGTTTTTTCTTCATTGGCGATATCACCCAGTAAAAGCAGTATTTTCATTCCTATATAGAATAGTTATTCCTCTTGTGCCTGTACTAAAATTTAACTATCTCCTTACTAATTACTAGTTATGTAATAAATGCTGTAATAATTGTGTTATTTTTAAAATACTTGCTTAGAAAATAGGTTCTATTATACTATTTATAAAAAAAAATCAGGCTGTAAAATGCGTTTTTTTTAAGAGCTACATGGTAATAATAATTGTTTCTTTTACAATTAAACTGTATTTGTTGTAATAATAAGATGTTTTATTTCTCCTAAAAAAAAATTATAATAACGTTCGACTACTTAGACAAATAAGACATAAATAAAATAAGGACATAAAAATCAGAGCTAAAAAACAAAAACCAGTCTTATTCAAAACTGACCCATGGCAAGCTTTTTGGTTGGAAAGGCTTTACACTGGGGTGTATGACCCGTCTATCGACATCAAAATTATAGAGATACTTAATACGCTACATTAATTAGTTACAAAGATTATAATTTATTATTATATTCTACTGGTTTTGAATTGAATTCGTATGAAAACTTATTTGTACAAACTCTTAAGTACGAGTGTGGTTATACTGAACGCGTTTTTCTACAAAATATTCGTTTTAGAATATTAATATAGATAATGTCAATATTTTTTTACTGTAAAAAGTATTAGAAAATGGGTTGAGGATTATTTTTTTAAATAGAACGTAGAAAAATAAAAGAAAAATTGAAAACGAAAATTGAAATCACTCTTAATAAAGTCGATATAACTGTGAAATGAATTTGCGTGTTGCATATATTCATTCAATTAGAAGAAACTCTGAAAAGCATTCAAAATATTATTCCCCCTTCAATAGGCTAATAAAACTACTTTTTCAAATTTGTCAAGCTTTCGAGAATTTTATTCCCATCATCAGGACAGTTTCTAAAATGTATAAATAAAAATGGCATTAACATTTTAAAAATGTATAACAGAAAAAACAATGTGTTGCATATATTTATTCAATTAGAAGAAACTCTGAAAAGTATTCAAATCATTATACGCCCTTCAATAAACAGATAATAACGGAGAAAAATCAAGAGCTGGCCTCTGTGGAGCCGTCTCAGATGCTTGCTTTTGTTAAAGCCCTGAGACTGTATGATGAGTTATAACTCGTTATAACTCAAGAAAGGGGAACACACAATAGATCTATAAGGTCGCGGTGATTAACTCCCCTCCTAAACATTCTACATTCTATACAAACAGATAATAGAAATATTGCAAAATTTGCGTGACATCCAAACTAGAGGTGGGCAAAGATTGGACGAATCGTTCAATCGATTCGATTGAGTCGTAGAAATGACTCGTAAGGATTGAGTCGGATCATTGCATGCTGAATCATGGCCAGCACGAATCCATAAAATTTGAACGAACGAGTTTCAAAAAAGAGTCATAAGAATTGAATCGGATAACAATGTAACTCGTTCGTGCCTATGGTTCGTTCGTTCAATGAATCGTGAGAATTGATTCACCGTTTACAATATGATTCGTTTAAAAAATGATTATTAGAATTATATACTATGAGGAGCCAAATCTTTTCATAATATCGTACACTATGAAACCCCATCATCAATGACGAAAAAACCGTCCGATTTAAATGAAAATTGGTATGTCGATAGATTGGACCAAGACCAACTTACGTGTACGATACTTTATCACTGTTACACAGTTAGTTTTGACGTAAGAAACGTCAAAAGTTGATGTCTTTCAATCGCGACCAAATCTGGTAGGTAGACTATGTTAGCGACGGCGACGGTGCACAGGTCCCACCGTGCAAACTTGGATACGACGTTTCGTTTACCTCTTCATCAGGGTGGGACTAAAGACTGAAAAAAAATGCGATTTCGGCATAATTGTGGACGGGCTACAGGATGACCCCCTCGACGTTTCGAACTGATGCCTTTAAATGGACGAAATCATCAGGATTTTTCTTACTTATGGGTCGATTGGAACCAAACTCGGCAAGTGGATAGAGGTACCCGAATGGAGTCCTCAGACGAACAGACGGTCATTTTAGTACAAATTTTATAAAAGTGAATCAAATTATTGATTAATTTTTACTTTTTCAACATTTCAAACTACACTTTTTCAAACATGTCGTTCAAATCCTTCAATTTAATAGCTGTTAGTAAGAAGTTTCACTTCAAATATGCGCACATAGTTTTTTATAATTTTGTTTCCTTCTATTAACATAATAGATGTTCTAAAAACTATGTAATAAACAAAAAAAAATACGAATCAAGTCATTATAATTATAATACTGCAAGCCTCGCTGTCTCTAGTCTTGAAACTCTATGGACTTTTTTGGAGTTTTCTTTTTTAGTAAAATTCGTGGGTCCTTAAACTGGTACATGTTAAACTGGTCAGTAAGTTGCTAACAATACTTTCGTTTTGAGCATCTTCGCAAGCAAAAAAAATAGAAAAAAAGTTTTTTTTGTTAAATCTAAATTAAAAGTTACTTTTCGCGCTTATCTGATATAACTTTTCGCATTGTGTTATTTCCGGCAGTTGCCAAAAATAAAATGTTTAAATATTTATGAAAAAAATGTATTGAAGAGAGCAGAGATTCACTTGAGTGTTTTGCGTATTTTCCCGGTTAAAGGTGACTATTTTTAAATAACAATTATAGGGATATCTACTTTGTGTTAAGGCTATTTATAACTAACGAATTTACAGTGGTGGTTTTTTAAGGTACTTAGAAAAGAAAAAAGTTACTATTTTTGTATTCTTATAATATTATTTTAAAAAATCAAAATTAGAAATATTCTTTTAATATCTGCATATTATTATACAGTATGTTCCCGGATTGTCTTTAGAAGAGGAAAAAAATAATATTGACATTTTTTGAGAAAAATGCATTTTGCTTGTTCTAAAATGGTTAATCCTGTTTATACTTTTCCAAATTTCCAAAACCGTTTTAAAGAAAATGAAAAAAAAACATATAGTTGAATAAAAACGCGTTTCTATGGTAATATAATTTCGTTTTCAATCTTTGATAGATTGATATTGAGAGAATTTTGATTAACGTCATATTTTTTGCTGTTTTAAAATGTTAAAGAAGCACAAAATGTGATGTTAATCAAAATTAACAAAGTATCGAAATTATTTTACCATAGAAACGTCTTTTCATTTTCAGGGTTTAGGAAAAAATTCAACCATATTTTCATGTTTTTTTAATTTTCTCTAAAACCGTATGAAAATTTGTTAAAGTATAAACGGGATTAACCCTTTTAGAAAAAGCAAAATATTTTATAAAGAATGTGTTTTTCTCAAAAAGTCAATAATAAAAAAAGTCTTTCTTCTTGTAAAGAAAATCCGGGACTTACACTTATATTACAGGGTAATCGATTAATCGAGTGTCCCAAAAATATTTTCACTTTTTACAAAAATGCAAGCAGTGGTAACGATCATTTCATAAATACAATTTTTCGGATATACACATTTTTTAGAAATAATTGCTCTATATTTTGAGCTATGTGGATTTGTCATATAGTTTTAATAATCTATAGCAGGCGATTTAAAAAAAATAATTGGAAGTATTTTATAATAGGTTTATTTTCAAAACTAATTATGAAATATCTACAGGTTGCGTCCAAAGTAGTAAAGATAGATTTTTTCTCTACTAAGTATTTCAAATGTATTTTTAAAGTAGATCCTAAAAACCTATAGTGGACCAGTTGAGAAAAAATATTTGTATACGTCTTTGTATACAGGGTGAGTCTTAAATAAGTGCAAATATTTTTAGAGCTGGTAGATCTCGATAAAAGAAACACATTTTCTCTTTACCGTTTTTCAAATAAGTCCAAAATAACCGATTTTATTTTGAAAATTCCAAAAAAAATGATCTTTCGCTTAAATTTTGAGAACCACTGGATATCTTCTGGATTTCTTTCTTGTAAATTTAATCCACTACCCATATTATGAAGATATTTTATGATTTAAAAAAAAATCTAGAAAAAAAAAACTCATTGACGTGTTTCTGGGGGTCGAAATACCGGGTGCGTCTCAAAAGTGGCTCACCCCCTATAACTTTTTTATTTTTTCAGATAAAACAACGATATTTGGTATGTTAGTATATGACATAAATTGGGATTGATTGACGTATTCAATTGTTTTCGGTCACTTCCGGTTTCACTAGAAATGACTACAACTTTTGATTTTTAAATGACACCCTCGGTATTTTTTTACTTTATTCGATAGAAAATGACACTCTGAATCGATTGACATATCATATTTCAACTTTTCACATTTTGGCATATGGTTTATTTGAAATTGTAACATGCGGTTCATAACGACAATTTGACTCAAAATACCAAGTGTGTGGTATCAAATTATTCGTAAAAAATGCTTTTTCCAAATATGCTAATGAGCCACCCTCGTTCCATTTGAAAAAATTGAGATATGATTAAAATTACGATTTGGGCATCTTTTAACCGGCCTGGGCAAGGCACATTAAAAACATTAAACGATCAAATCTATTTTTCCAAGGCTCCTTGATTAAAAATTAGTGTTTTTAACACAGCCATGGCACTCTAGATTGAAAATTAGAATAGAATTTGTTTTTGATTTGAGTAAAATTTTGAGTAAAAATGTCAAAAATTGACATATGATGTCATTCGATTCAGAATGTCATTTTCTATCGAATAAAGTAAAAAAATACCGAGGGTGCCATTTAAAAATCAAAAGTTGTAGTCATTTCCGGTGAAACCGGAAGTGACCGAAAACAATTGAATACGTCAGTCAATCCCAATTTATGTCATATACTAACATATACCAATAAATCTTGTTGTTTTATCTGAAAAAATAAAAAAGTTATAGGGGGTGAGCCATTTTTGAGACGCACCCGGTATACCACCCCTAAAAATATTTGCACTTATTTAAGACTCACCCTGTATAGTAGAAAGATACACAATCGATTTTTTTTACTTAATAAAAGTCCAATAATTTTTTAAACAGCAATTACCTCCTATATACATTCGTACTGATTTTTTTACATCTTATACCGGGTGCGTCTCATAGGTGGCTCACCCCTATTACTTTTTTATTATTTTGAGATAACAAATTTAGTATGTTGGTATATGACATAAATTAGGATTTATTGACGTATTCAACTGTTTTCGGTCACTTTTTATTTCACCGGAAATGACTACAACTTTTGATTTTTAAATGACACCCTCAGTATTTTATTACTTTATTCGATAGAAACTGACACTCTAAATAGAATGACATATCATATGTCAACTTCTGACATTTCCGAATATGGTTTATTTGAAGTTGCGACATGCGATTCCCCAGTGTGTGGTTCCAATCCCAAGTGTTCTCCAATCCCAAGTGTGTGGTATCAAATTATTCATAAAAAAATGTTTTTTCCAAATATGCTAATGAGCCACCCTCGTTCTATTTGAAAAAATTGTGTTATGATTAAAATTCAATTTGGGCATCTTTTAACAAGCCAGGACAAGACACTAAAAACATTAGACGGTCAAATCTATTTTCCCAGGCTTCTTGATTAAAAATTAGCGTTTTTAACACAATCATGGCACTCTAGATTGAAATTTAAAATACAATTTTGTTTAGAGTAAAAATGTCAAAAATTGACATATCATATGTCATTCTATTCAGAATACCATTTTCTATGAAATAAAGTAAAAAAATACTAAGGGCACCGTTTAAAAATCAAAAGTTGTAGTCATTTCTCGTGAAACAAGAAGTGGCCGAAAAGAATTGAATATGTCAATCAATCCTAATTTATGTCATATACTAACATACCTAAACTCGTTTTTTTTCTCTGAAAAAATAAAAAAAGTTATACTTTTGAGACGCATCTGGTATGTTTCAGTAAAATAAAATGCTTTTTAAATTTTAAGCAGATGCATAGAAGAAATAAGAGATGAAAATACAGAAAAGGACATACATTAAATGATATTGACTCGTCTATATAGCGAGTAGTACTTTTGAAAGATTTTCAATGAATCGTACCAGCTAATATCGACGAGTTTGAATTTTTGACAGTCACCGGTACAAACGCAATCGGTCACAACCGATATAAAGATACGTCCATTGAGGAATCGGATGCATTCGTTTGACACCGGTCAAGGTTTGAATGCGTGAAGGTGCGGGGTTTCCGCACAGACAGAAACCATGGACCAACCCCATCTCTACTCCAAGTACAAGGAGATGCAGACGCTGGACAACATCCACGTGGTGAAAACCTACTTGAACCTGATCAGATGGGACGGGGGTGACACGGAGAGTGTTCTGGATGTGGGATGCGGGGAGGGGTACACCACTTTGCAAGTCCTATTGCCCCAGCTGCCGGAAAATTGCCGAAAGGTGGTGGGGAGTGATATAAGCAATAAAATGGTGGAGTTTGCGAGGAAAGCCAGTGCGGGAAACCCCAGGGTGAAGTTTCGTCAGATGGACATTGGAAAGGAAATAAAATGGAACGTTACCGAAAAATTTGATCACGTTTTTTCTTTTTACTGTTTGCATTGGGTTCCGGCACAAAGGTATGTATTTTGATTTTTTTTTATTAAATAATGCCAAGAAATTTTTCGCGGCTAATGAACGAAAACTTTTTGTATACCTATGAGCTTTCTTAAATTTAAGTGTGAATCCACTTAAATCATAACTTTTATATTTATAATAATTTTTCCAAACAACAGAGAAATGGTAACCTCCAGGGCCTATTTTACCATAAGGCCCGGGCCTTGGGCCCGGTGGTCTGGGGGGCCCGTTAAAGGTTGTAAAATATTCATAATTTCAAATGTAAATTTACACAGCAGAGAAAAAAAACAGTTATTGATAAGGAAAATAGAATTAAATAAAATAAGCTTTAGATTGATATAATTAATGCATTTTTTAAAATTATTTATAAATTTATATCAAAGATACCGGCACCGGCGATTCCCCAATCTAAAAATAATGTTTTATTTTTTTAACCCAAACTAACAAAAGAATTTTTGAATTTTATTGGAAAAGAGGGCCCGAATTTGCTTGGGCCTTAGGGCCCGACCAGATGAAAAATAGGCCCTGGTAACCTCTGATGTTTGGAAACATGTTATACAGGGTGAGTCTTAAATATAAGTTCAAATATTTTCAGGACGAGTAGATCTCCATAAAAGAAACATATTTTCTCTTTACCGTTTTTCAAATAAATCCAAAATAATCGAGATATTTTACTTTGAAAATTTAAAAAAAAAGGATTTCTTGCTTACATTTTGAGAATCACTGGATGTTTTCTGTGTTTTCTTTCTTGTAAATTTAATCTATTATCTATGTTACCATATTCTGAAGATATAATGCTTTTCAACTAAAAGTTAAAAAAATGTTTTCAAAAGAATTTTAAATTTTCAATTTTTTTTGCGAAAGAAAATCATAGACGTGTTTCTGGGGTCGAGATACCCCTAAAAATATTTGCACTTATTTAAAACTCAACCTGTAGATATAAATAGTTATAAATATACTATACAGGGTGAGTCTTAAAAAAGTGCAAATATTTTCAGGTCTGGTAGATCTCGATAAAAAAAACATATTTTATCTTTAAAGTTTTTGAAATAAGTCCAAAATAACCGAGAGATATTTTACTTTGAAAATTTCCAAAAAGATTGATTTTTGACTTTTCTGGATTTTCTTGCTTCTGCTAATTTAATCCAGTTCCTGTGTTGCCATATTATCAAGATATTATGTTTTTTAACTGAAAATTAAAAAAAATTCTTCAAAAATTTTTTTTCGCGAAAAAAACCTGATAGACATTGGTGTCGAAAATATACCACCCCTAAAAATATTTGCCCTTATTTAAGACTCACCCTGTATAGTGGTTTTACACTTAAATTTAAGACTTTTCAAAAGTGGAGTTAATCTAATTTTGAAGTTAACGGCTCATAATATACAGGCTGTCCCAGGCTGGGCGTGCATTAGAACTTAGAACCTTCTAGAGAACAACAATATTTAGATCGGAGATTTTTTGCACATCGTTGTTTCTCCACGAGATATGTCGATTAAAAATATTTTCAATTTCACAGAAACTTTTTTATTTTAAATAGAAACCCTCATTTTTTATTACATATTTAAATTCACTGTAAAATTTTATGAATTTTGATATCAAACACTCTATATCTAACATTAACCGTTTTTCGAGAAAGAAATATTTAAAATTTTTAGAGGAAAAAAACTGCCTGTCAGAAAAAATTGTATAGCCTAAAGGTCAATTCTAGGGATTATCACAGCCACTGTGACTTAAAGGGAAGACGTGTGGTCACCTATTTTAAAAATTAAATTGTTCGCTTATTGGCCGTACTTGTCATGAACTTAGCGAAAAAAATTATCATAAATATTTTTTTTTCAATTAGAAACCTACCTTTTTTATTCCACTGAAAGGTTTTTTAATTCGTTATTTTTTGATTATACATGTTCCTCTACCTAAATTAAATCGTTTTAAAGTTTTTTGAGATTTAATAATTTAATAAATTAATTTTTTAAAACGTATATTTTATTTGATTTTATCTAGCATCCTTTGATATAAAGTGTCCAAATCAGACAATTGATTTCCTTCTGTCAGAAAACTATATAATTATTTGAATATCGTATATTATAAATAGGTACTTTAAAACTTAAAACTTTATAAAGCGTATTTATAAAATAAATACATATCTTAATTTCGCTCTTTAGTGTTATCTAATAGTTATATTATATCAATATAATACATATTATTATTAATATACCGTATGATCGCAAAACAAACTTGGCTTGGAAATGACATGGCCAGATATCTCGCCAGATATATTGTTTTACATCGCTTGACGTTTAAAGTTATAGGCTATTGGTTAAAATCAAGAAAAATATACGCTTTAAAACTAAATCTTAAATAACTTAAAAACGATTTATTTTAGGTACAGGGACAACACAGTAATCAAAAAGTAACGGATTGAAAATATTATTCAATGCCGAAATCATGTAACTGCATTTTTTTTTGTTTCAATTTATAATAAAAGCCTGTATTTATTGTATCTATATCTTTATTTTTTTAGGAAAGCTTTTGAAAATATTTTCAACCTACTAAAACCCGGTGGTGATATGCTAGTCAGCCTACTAATAACAGCGCCTATCTTTCAAGTTTACGAAAATATATCTAAAAACATAAGATGGGCTCCATATTTTATAAAAGAATCTGTGTCGCCCTATCACCACAGCAAAAAAGCCGACGAAGAAGTCAAAACAATACTGCAAGATGTTGGTTTTGAGAGTTGTAAATGTATAGTCGAAGATAAACAGTATACTTTCAGTAACTGGAATGTTCTTAAACGTAAGTACAAACAAAGTATCTAGAGTGCATATCAAATAAACTTTTAGTCACGGGATTAAACTTAACCGGCACAGCGTTGCCCACTTTTACATATTTTCTTTTAATCAAAATATTTTAGGAAACAAAAATAAATTAATTATAAATATATAACCAGTTATTATTTACATCAACAAAACTCACCTCCTTAACAGCACTTAAGGGGCATAAAGAGCCATTATTACCGCTTATATTCTAATAAAGTTGCGATGCGTTTTTTTACGGATATTAAGCTATTTTGTACACTTCGCACTAATGGAGGTTCTAAAAAGAACAATGTTCGACTGACAAGGTTTGGCAGGTTGTTATTGCAAGGACTGCAAGGTTGTTAATCTGAAAGTATCACAACATAATTCATTTAAACTAAAACCTCGTAATACAAAACTAAAGTGTCAAAACGAATGACAACGTCAGGAAATAAATAAATAAGTGTGGCAACTTGAGCTACCACCTGAACTCTCAGCGGGAAATTTAAATTCCAGTTAGTCAGCCCGGCGCCGGATATGTCCATGGTTGGCAACAATGAATTTAAAAATCGCGCCCTCGATTACGTAACTAAAAGTTTAATTGGTATCAAATATATATAGTATATTATTTATATTAGACCTAAAATAGCCGAATAGAAGAAAAATTTTATAAAGTTTTCATATTTTGAGATTAGACGCACCAAAAGGAGACTTCAAAATCAAAAGAGTTCTTAACTCTAAAGTGTGAGCCTCACCCCAAAAAAAAACACCCAATACGCCCTTCGATGATTTTTCGCTTTTTTCTCAGAACCCGTTGCTCCCAAAAAAAATTTATACTAACCGAAAATATTCCTTATAAAATTTGCTACAAAAAAGGTTCTATTCATTATTTTTGTTTATCTAATGCATTTCGAGCAATAACCGTTTGAAAAATAGAGTACAAAAAAAATACAGGTCGCCTTTCTAATTATAGTCTCCCAAGGTATTTTAACGTGCTAAATATACACGCAACAGATATAATACTGTATAATATAAACAAAAACATTGCCTATTCCACTAAAGTAACATTCATACTTTCATCTACATATTGTCATCGTCTATAGTTTCTAGAATGTGCTCAGTATTCGAACAACTTTGCCCACGACAGATTCCGCACATAGTTGTACATTTCATGCCGGCTTTAATGCAACTGCATCTTTTTACACAATCTTGTTTGCAGTTGTACGTTATTAATGACATAATTGAAGCAAGGGCGGGCGATTCTGTTGTATATAAAGGTGACAGGGTGTTGTTGATTTTCTTCAAGCCCCACTGGTCGGGTTTTATAGGTTGTTCTTGCCATATTTGTACTTGAAGATATGTTCTCCGGGAATGTTGCTTAGCTGCAGCAGATGTGGGAGGCAATTTTGATAAAAGTACTGTGCTGTTTGCTTGACCAACTAACTTATTGAAACAAGCGTATCTTTGCTCACTAAGGCTCCCTTCAGATGACGTTTGTATAATTTCACTATAAACGTCTCTCCAACTCTTTCTATTTCTTCAGGTGTTGACTTTGCGTTGTTAAAAATATCGACGATACTATCAAAATCTTTTTCTTTATTAAAAATTTGTACGTGTTGTTGTTTTCCTTTTCCAAAAAATCCTGATATTGTGTCACACCCGCTAATAGCGTGAATAAATAAAATTGATTTTTTTAAATTACGTATAATACTGGATGATTGCATACATTACATCTCTCTATTACATCTCCCAAACTATACATTCGTTGTTTCACATTACCTATGGCTTCTTTCAGAAAAAGAATGTCTTTTTCATCGGGGGAAAGTGCTGCTAATAAAACAAGATCGACATCTTGGCCAACAATTAGAACTTTTTCATTTTTCTCAGATATTTTGATGGCAGTACGAATAATTTGAACATCAGCAAACAAGATTGTGTAAAAAGATGCAGTTGCATTAAAGCCGGCATGAAATGTACAACTATATGCGGAACCTGTCGTGGGCAAAGTTGTTCGAATACTGAGCACATTCTAGAAACTATAGACGATGACAATGTGTAGATGAAAGTATGAATGTTAGTTTAGTGGAATAGGCAACGTTTTTGTTTATATTATACAGTATTATATCTGTTGTGTGTATATTTAGCACGTTAAAATACCTTGGGAGACTATAATTTGAAAGACGACCTGTATTTTTTTTGTACTCCATTTTTCAAACGGTTATTGCTCGAAATGCATTGGATAAATAAAAATAATGAATAGAACCTTTTTTGTAGCAAATTTTATAGGGAATATTTTTGACAAGAATAAAATTTTCTGTGCGACTATTGGTTTTCGAGAAAAACGAGAAAAACCACCGCAGTGCGTACTGGGGGTGGTTTTTGGAAGTGAAGCCTACACTTTACAGTTAGGAACCCTTTTGATTTTAAAAAGTCTCCTTTTAGTACGTATAACCTCAACATATCAAAACTTTATAATTTTGTTTTTCTAAATATGCTAATATCAACGTACTGATATAACTCTATTCAACGAGAGAATATGTGACAACGATAATGACAGTTACCTGTCATTTTAATTAAAAACTTTTGCCAATCAACTTTTGGTTGTCACTTGTCAAAATCATTCTTTCTCTGGAGAAATTTTTCCTAGTAGAAATGTTATTATGTAGTAATTTATGAATACTCTTTCTTGTAAACTAGATTCAATCATTGCTGTAAATCCTACAATTCCATTACTATCGTCCACCGACAGAATAAAATATACAGAGGATTTTATAGAAGAGGTGAAAAACATATATGGATACGACCTAACTGTAGCAAGCAACAATAACAACGGTATACCAGTCAATTACAAACTTCTGATAGTCTATGCTAGAAAACCCAAAAATATGAAGTCCTAAATCTACTAGCGTAGTCAGTCTACCCAGTGAAAAAAATATGACAATGACAGCTAGATATTTTACTTTAAAAGTGTATTATTTTATAGGCTTTCTAAATTATATAATATGTATTCTTTCGTGAGACAGACTATACTAATAATTTATGTAAAAATCAAGGTGCTTAATATATTTTAAATTAAATTATTGAAATTTTCTAGATTACTTAGTAGAAATAAGATGTGATTTGCTTAGATTATATTTAGCTTAGATATACTATCTTCCTTGCAGTAGTATACATGAAAGTTTATAAAATAGTTCATTTTTTTACACATATTTTCCTACAAACCAAAAGACCGGCAACATTGTACGCCGCTTTTTATTTTGTCTCTCTGTCTGTCAACCGGTCATTTAGATCTGTTTAGATTTGTCTCTGTCGCACGCATTAAAATACAGAACAACCAGATAGAATAGTATGTATGAATAATAAAAATGTCAATTTTTAAAATTGTAATGCCTGTAGATACCGTATGATCGAAAAAAAAAATGGCGTCCAGTTGGCTGGGAAATGACGATCGATGACATTTCCCATATAAATTTACATATAAAATGACAGCGATCTTCATTTCATAGCCATCGCTGACGCCGTTTTTTCTCGATCATACGGTATATATTATAAATACGTTAGTTTAATTTTTTGTTGTCTATGGGTCCTTGCAACAAAATTAGTATTCTGAAAGTTTAAATTTCTAATATCCTACTTCTCATTCTTCTTATTTCTTCCTTCATAAAAATGTTATTTTATATATAAATTATACCGTGCTGGCAACTGTTACTTTTGGGTCGGTATTTACATGTGTGGAAGTAAATCGCATAAGGATCTTATTAAGTCGGAGTGAGAGAAATGCGACGGTGTGCTGTTGCGGCGTTGCCGGTGCGCCTTTCTCTAACAGGTAAATTAAAATCACGATCGCAAACCGCTTATTTTTACATGACTTTTTTTCGAAAAGACAACTAGATAAAATCATTAGATATGTTTCTGAGCATCTGAAATGGAATTATAAGGGTATCGTTAGGGTGTTGTTTTTTTAGGATCTTTTACAAAATGTTTAAATAAGAAAAATTCGATTGGTCGCTTGTTTTTTTCAAGTCAAAACTTAAATAAAATATTTACTTTTAGTGTATATTAGCAATTTTCAGCAATCGTGTAACTTTTTTATTTATAAAGATTTTCACATACTGTTTGCGAAGAAAATATAGCAGAAATGTTAAGAAAGTTTTTGAAAAAACTACAATCAATAATTATTTATAATAGATTTTGAGATATCGATTCATTTTGAATTCAGAGTTTTAATAGCGCGACCACTGTCGAACACCAACCTAATTCCATTTATTTTTACCAAAAATGCAAGTGTTTCTAACTTGCACTTAAAAATTTTCAAGCTATAGGGAAAATCACGACTCGTTAATAAATAAACAAATAAAGTATCGCGAGACGTAAAAAAAGCTGAACGCGTGATGTACACCTTTCCCTAGAACTTTAAGCTACAACCCCTAACTGACAGAGGTAGTACTGATTGGGTCGACCGGTGGACTGCGACAAATCTGCTTATCCCTTTCCACTTCTCTTAGCAATGTGCGCAATTTCTCGGTTTATTTCGTACGTTTGGAAACGTGTTTACTGTTCTCTCTTTGTTCAGTACATTATACACATTGTACTCTTCTTACATACGGAACTCTCGACCCAAGACTAACCTTTGCCAGCCCTTAGTATGTTGAAAAAAAATCTAATTTGAGGGATTTATAAATAAAACACTAAAGTACAGAGGTAGTATTTTTATTTATTTTTTAATATCCATAAATACAGTCAAATTTAAGATATAGAATCTGTTATAGAATCTAAGACACACATAGAATTTTTATTATAATTATAAATTCTATTTTGAAGAGCAACTTGTGAAGAAAATTATATCAGAATAAAAACAACCTAGAAAAAATCTGATAAAATGAGTCTTATAAATTCATTTATAAAATATATAATTTTTTTTTTAATTTTGATAGTTCAAAACAAAATTATAGTGAGAAAAAAGTCACAAATATGACGTACGTACAAATACGTAAGATTTCAAACTATTTTTAAATAAGTAATGTCCAGTAGAAAAATATATGACATCTAAAAAGTGAGAGACGAAAGTCAATCTTAAAATAAAATAACAGGCTACAATTGTCACTGTCATATATAAATTTTTGCTGGAGAAACTATAGATGGTTACAACGGTTCTAACATCCTAAGTGCAAAAAATATCCATTTTCATGTTTTTAGGTGTAACAGTCATATTATCTACTATAAGCGATACCAATTAAACTTTTAGTTACGTAATCGAGGGCGCAATTTTTAGATTCATTGTTGCCAACCATGGACATATTGGACTAACTGGAATTTAAATTTTCCGCTGGGGATTCCCCAAGCAACACAGATAGTAGCAGGTACGTTCCTGGGACTACAAAAGCGACCATCAAGTAGACTGCCACTATCGACGGCTACGTTGCCGCCACGTAACTGTTACTAAAATGGGGAAGAATTTAGGGTAACTGGGTAGTATACCGGGTGGTCCCAGGGACTAACGCTGCCACTATATTTCGTAACTATAAAGTGAAAGGGTAGTAGCGGCCACTATCCTGCTACGTAGCCGCCTAGTCGCCCCTACGTAGCAGCCTGGTAACTGCTACTATACATATAGTAGCAAAATATTCTCCTAGCGACCTCTACTTTTAAAAAACGTTTTGAAATAAAATAATAATATGATAATATGACAGCCGCGGTGCACGGCCATGTTAAAGTTAAGTTAATAATGGCGTGTTATTTTTATGAGGAAAATGATGGTTTTTAATCGCGTATTTCGGACGCTTCCAGGACTAATATTATAAACGCACGTCACTTTACTGACAAATATTGCCGAGTTAGATGGAAATATTTTAACGCGCCCTCGAATTAATTCCATTTTGTAGATATTTAAGGACAAAAAATAATATCAAAAATATTAAAAATAATATTTCGTAATGCACCAAAGTGTGTTCGAGTTCTAATTGGAAAAATAAATGCTTAAAGCACTATGAAACTTGAGAAAATAAAGAAAAAATGAAAATATATTAACAAATAAATTTAATTAAAAAATTTCTGACAGTAAAAAATGGCTGACGCACACTTCGCTACGATAAAGTTAGGCTCTTCCCTATGAAGTAGCAGGGACTACCCATTTTTACTTTAAAAGATCCGCTACTTCCAGTGATTAAGTTGTTACTACCCAAAAGCTACTTTGTAGTCCCAGTTACTACTTTGGAACTTTATTATTCTTTAATGTATTTAAATTTTGTACGCTATGGTAACTACTGGAACTAGAAAGTTACTTTGAACACCGAAAAAGTCGGACAATCGGGCATTTTGTGGCAATATAGTTCCATATGTTTCTATAAAGTTCCGCCTACCTCTCATCTCAAAACAATATCCTAACATCAAATGTCAAATGTAATTTGTTTAATAAACGAGGCAGTTACTAGGTGCTGCAAAAAGCTCATCGCAACCTTATTAGAATATTTTGAACGGAAAAGCGGTAGTAATGGTTCTTTATGTCCCTTAAGTGCTGTTAAGGAGGTGAGTTTTGTCGATGTAAATAATAACTGTTTATATATTTATAATTAATTTATTCTTGTTTCCTAAAATATTTTGATTAAAAGAAAATATGTAAAATTGGGCAACGCTGTGCCGGTCAAACCTGACTGAAAACACGTGACTAAAAGTTTAATTGGTATGAACCTTAAGTATGAACTATACTTACTACTTACATTATACACACATTTTTAAAATAAGTTATTTTTTTAAATATCGCTTTGTAAATATAAACAGAATAAATAATAACACAGACATTGCAAAAAGCTTTGGAAAGATGTGAATTATACATAAATATACTTATAAAAATTTGACTAAAATATTATATTTGGCACTATCAGCAATGTGCAAATGAGTCTCAGTTCCAGAAATGCTTTAATATTCCTTTAATTCCCGTTTTTATTAATTCTCTAAAAATGTCAGAGAAATACGAAAATGCATACAGTCTAGATATAAACACTGGACCAAAATTTACGGAAAAAAAAAGAAAAATAGAGGGTTTCAAAAATACTTGTTGATACAACTAGCCGGAGAGCTGACGACATATTTAGAGAACATATTTTATGCAAGTTAGAATAACAAAAAAAATAAACTTTAATAACTTGTGAACCCAGGATCCTAAGTCTGGCTGGGGGGTTGGGGGTATTTCGCTACTGCGCAACCCATAACATTTGCAAAAAAATAAATCCAAAAAACATTCTTTAGGTAACTTGAAATTTGTTTATTCTTAAATTTTAGCATCTATTTAACCTAAAAATAAGTATGCCAGACTTTTTTTTCGGGTTTAAAGTGTAACCCGACCATTCCAAATATGTTTAATTATTATATCTGGAAAACATACTTTAAGCATTCTAAATTTTTTACAGCGTGTTTATTAGATGATATTAAAAAATATGTGTTAATTGCCAGACGAATTCAATGGGATTTAGTACTTGCCAGACGCGAATAAGGATTTTAAATGAGCGCGACAAAAAAGTCTTATGAGTATCTATAAGCGCGAGAAAGATAGTTTATTGAGACCCATGGGCAGCCGATGATGAGCCGATGCGGCTGACGTAACAGTATTTTGGAGTACTTCAAATTTTCATAAAAACTATTTTTTTTTCGGTTTCATTTCAATTATTTCCAGGCTTTTAATTCAGAGATTATTTTGTTGGAATTGAGTTACCATATACACATATGTATTTATAAATTAAATATTGACGTGCATAGTGTAAATAGTTTAGAATAATTACTGCAAATAAATCTTTTAGTAACTACTAATTTCGCTACTAACTACTAAATAACAATGGATAAAAAACATTTAAGTTGTTAGTTTGTAAAAAAGTTACTAGTGACAAAGTTATTATTTTTGATGAAGGCAGATTAAAAAATGCAAAGAATTTTTAAAAGTGCGTCAACAATATGGTTTAAAATTTAAAGAAGTAGTTCAGTCATTGAACTACGGAAGTTTTGAAATTTTGCAGGTTTATAGGTTTTGGGATCCCTAACTAAAATCCATAAAATGCACATTTCCAGACTTGCCGCCGGCGCGGCGCCGCCATCTTGCAAATAAATATCTCGAATACTATGCGTTTTTCGCAAAAAATTGAAGAGAGCGAAATTAAAGAGAATAAAATTTCCTATAAAAAAGGTTCTATAAAAATTTTCGCTAAAGTCAATCGTTTAGGCACAAAATCCTGGAAATAAATACTGGAAATTTTACAATTTTGCGTAAAATATGATTCCTATATGTATAGTCGATTTTCCGAAATCAAATGTCGATTAGGGTTCACTAAAACTAGTTTTAGTTTAGTTTCTTCAATTTTGTCATGAAACAGTGGCTTATCATTAATTCGCTCATTAATTTATGAATAATTAATTTTAATTATTGAAAATGTGTAGGTACTTGTTTCCACACCACCCAAGAGATAAAGTACATGGCGCGTTTATTTTAACGTGGTCTCCCCGGAGGCCTACTCTACCTTGTAAATTAAAAAACATATTTGGAACGGTCGGGTTACACTTTAAATCCGAAAAAAAGTCTGGCATACTTATTTCTAGGTTAAATAGATGCTAAAATTTAAGAATAAACAAATTTCAAGTTGCCTAAAGAATGTTTTTTGGATTTATTTTTTTGCAAATGTTATGGGTTGCGCAGTAGCGAAATACCCCCAACCCCCCAGCTAGACTTAGGATTCTGAGTTCACCAGTTAATAAACTATACATTTTTAGTTATTCTAGCTTGCCTAAAATATGTTCTCTAAATATGTCGTCAGCTCTTAGGCTAAACTGTGACGTTTCTGTTTACATCTTGTAATATTGCCATATTTTACAGGAATGTCAATTAAGAAAACTTTTTTTTTTAACTTCTACATTTACTTATCCCTCTTAGCTGAAAACTAATCATATTCTAGAAAATAATATTTTTAAAGGTTTAATATCAATATCATTAGAACAAAAACACACAAAAATATCACATTTACGAATATATTTAAATTGAAATAACTGAGTCACTTCAATTTTCTTTTCCCACCTTCTCAGAGGACTTCACTGATGACGTGGCAACCATAGTCTGATCGACAATCGTTTCTGGTGTTCTAAGGCATACTTCTTTTGCTTTTCTAAAATATAGAATTAATAACATGTTATACTATAAAAAAGGTTCCTTAAACTAAACCACACGGAGTCCAATTATTATAGTTCTATACACGGTGTGTTCCATATAAGATGATTAAAGCTTGATTTTCATGCATCCGTTGTCCGACGATACGTTGATACGATATCAATTTTATTGGTTGAATTTAAAGACTTCGATTGGTTAGAAACGATTAACCAATTGAAGCCTTTAAATTCAACTAATAAAATTAATATCGTATCATCGTATCGACGGACAACGGATGCATGAAAATCAAGCTTTAGGTTGTATTCCGTTGCTTGGTTATGGTTTTATGTTCCGTTTCTATCGGTTTCCTGAAAGTTTTCTTATTACGGAACACGGTTCCTGAAAAATTCGGTTATAAATGTCACCAAACTAACCAGCGCGAGAAAGCTGTTTTTTCTGGTTTTTGTTTGTCAATCAATGTCATTTATGTGACAGAAATCAAGCAAATATTGGAAGTTCGAGTGAAATTCTCATTTAATTTCTAAAATTTGTTATAAAATTTTTATATATATAATATTAAATTTAATTAATTAAAAGTAATTTAAATATTTTTATTTATATATGATCTGTTTTAATATTGGACCTGCAAATCGCCACTTGAGCTGTCCAAAGAGTTTAACAGTTTATTAATAAAGTACTTTTCAATATTAAACTCCATTGAAAAGAAGAAGCAAATGTAAAAGCAGAGAATAGGTACATTAAAAATGCATAAAAGATACATTTTATAACAGAGGTATTGAAATTTAGAAAACGTCAACATTTGACGTTTCCAGTATTTTACCAAACCGTTCCGTATCAAACCGATGTTTTTCAGGAACCGCTCTTTACCGTAGTTTACCGGTCTGGTTCGCCTGGTTTTGCAACGGAATACTAAAGATAAAAAAAATAATTAACTTACATGAAACATCTCTCAGGAAGATTTAACGCTATATAATACACAATGGCCGCCAGTACGAGCGACCATGTTCTCAGAGGACCCAAAATGAAGGCCAGAGTACCGTAGGCCAGCCAGAACAAATAAGCCATGACTACTTGTATAATAAATACTAGGGAGAATGGTAAATGGAGGAATAATTTGTGCTTTAAAGACAGTCTTTTTCCATTTTTATTGGATAATTCGTTAAACCTAAAATTTTATTATATAAATCAGCTGAAAAAGTGTATTTATTGATTTGATTACCTATGATTTACTGTATTAATCAGTATGAAATTCAAAGGTATTTGGAAAGTTATAAGCTGTAATTCGGTAAAGAAAAATCAGTTTTGTAACAATTCAGATAAAAAAAAACTTACTTGTATAAACCCATAAACATAAGTAAATGCACCCGGTAAAAAAGTTCCATTTACAAATATGCCCCATGAAAAAATAACCCCTATGTAATCCTCAATAATGTAGCCTACAGACCACGGGCCAAAAACGAGGTACAATGGGTAAAGTACCATAGGCCAGAACAGTCGATCGATAGTTGTAAACGTCCATGCTTTTCTAATCCATAGTTTTAAACAGTTGCCTCTTAAGTTTGGTTGAACTATATATCCAGCTATAACATGAAAATGTTAAAAGGTTTAATGTCTCCTAAATAAATGCTTTTAATTTTAGCAGTAGTAGTAGATATCAATAAAAGATGTAGACTAAATAATACAAGGACATGTAACGCCCATATGCAGAATGCAGCAGAATTTGTGATGTTAGACACCATTTTTTTGGTTGTAACGAATAAGTCATCAGCTGGTCATCAGCGGCAATTTTAGCGATTTTTAATAGTTTGTGTGTAGTGAACTTCGTGTAAACTTTATTACAATGGTGATTAGTGTTTCAGCTTTCAAGTCCACAAGCCGCGGCGATAAGAAAGAGCCAGGAGTTACGTTTCGCAGGTAAATAAACAGTCCACTCCACCTTTTTAGCGTTTTTTTTATTGAATTGGATCATTATTTTTCTGATATTATATGTACTTGATATGTGTTATACGTCGATACTCGTTTTGTACCTTTTGTTAAAATTCTAATACGTTTTTTTCGTAATTAATTAGTATGATACCACCACAGATTAGATATCCTATAAGTATACAGATAAAAATCTTGTCCCTAATTCATGGTACGAAAATTGTTTTTTATGACGATGTGCAAACGAGTAAAATTTCCTGTGCGCAAAAATAAACTCCCGTAAAATAACAATAAACAGCGTAATAGAGAGATATCGCTAAACCGAATAGCGTGCATGGACGTTAATAAGGCCAGGTATTATTTCCTTTACGTGAGGTGGTATTAACTCTCTTCATTTATAGTTATCGGATCGGAAAGAATTCTAATCGCGGCGCGTCCGCTATTTAAACTTAACCTAACTCTGAATTTAAAACTTTGAAATTGTTTTGTTTACTAGGTATTTTAAAACTAAAGGGCTGCTTATTCCCAGTGCTTTATTGTTCAACGTCTGCCAATGGGTTTAGGGCAACAAGCAACAAATTCTCTTAGAAGGGCTAAATCGTCATCTGCTGTAAACCTAAGACTCTTTATAGGTTTTTTAGTATTGGAAGAGGTGGAATCCATATTTTGGGCCATATTTATATAATTAAAACTAATCCCAGCTACTTAAATATCAAATTACCTAATAAAACTAAAGCAATAATTCAAAACAATTCAAACATAACCTAAAATAAAAGATCTCGCCGGCCGGCTCCGGTTGTCAAATACCCGCACATGCCCATTTAAGCAATTTTTAAACGTTATTTAGAAATAGCGCTTGGTGTAATTGATCCGCAAATTACGTCAGGCGGTAACGTTATTAGCGGGTGTTGCGTTAAAAATTGACTCGCGCATATCGTAACCATGATAAGGTACGCGTAAATACTGGATGACGCTATTCGGTTTTCCGATCTCTCTAATAACTGTGCCGGTCAGGCGCTGTGCACAATTTTAGAGGCCATAAGTGGGCGGGCTATGTGCGCAAACTAGTCATTCCGAAAATTGGAACCACGAAAAACAATAAAGAAAAAACAAAGATTATAATCTGTATAATCTGTGATACCACCGCATACACTAGAGGCGTAGTCAAAACATTTTGTTTGACGGCATGATAACAATTTGGTTGCAGGTGTTATTCGTTCTTGTATTCTTTAGTCATTGAATTTTTCCTTTTAAAATAACGACAAAATAGCCGATTTAATTAACTTTAAACCATGTTTAAACGTTAAAAGAAATAATCCCATTTTGAAGGCCGCTAGTTTATGAATGCTTTTTAACATAAAAGTATACAGGATGTCTTTTAAATACGTACAGGGTACAAGTATTTTAAGAGGTGGTTAGATCTGGTTAAATTACCATAGTATTTGTTTCGCATTATTTAGTGCTTACATTTTGAGAACCTTCGCAATCAATCGGCAATCAACCGGCTATCAGCTTATTCGACTTCCTGTGTTGCCACACAGTCCTATAAAAATTCTAGAATTATCAGTAACGTACACTGACACGATTAAAATTCATTTTCCTAAATGTTTGCATAGAAAATTTAAATTATTGTAAATTTATAAAAATACAAATATGGAGAATATGCGTAACGCAGGATGTGGCAACACTGCAAAACATCAATACATCGCAAGAAATTTCAGGATAATAAACCTGCGGCACTAAAAAGTTTTTTTAATTTTTCCGGAAAATATCAAGAAAAATTTTCAACAATATTTTTTCGCAAAAAAATATTCACTAGTAATACCACTAGAGGTCAAATTATTTCCGGAAATTTTTTTGAGCTCATGAATATTTTGAAAATTATTTTCTAAAAATATTCATGAGCGAGAAAAAATGTCCGGATTTAATTTGACCTCGTGTGGTATTCGGTATGAAAATTCCACACCAAATTGTGTTTGAAAATCAAATAATTAAAATTTGATTAAAATGAATTTTTCGATTTTTGGTCGAATTGATCATTTAGTTACTATGATAACTAAGTGACACCCAAACCTAAACACTATTGCAGTTTTGAAGCTGTCAAGCGGTACGGCTTAAAAAAATGTTTCGCTTCGGTCATGAAAGCAAAGAAAATATTCGCCAGGAGATTAAGCAGTTGACACCCGCGAATACTAGAAAATCGAAGTCAAGAGTATGAAAACAGTTTACAAACTTTCATCTCAGCTTTGTAATTGAAATGTATCAAAATTATCATGTAAACAAATAAAAACCAGACTCTCAAAAAGATATTCTGTCATCATAAACGTCAAAAAATTTCCAGTATAATTCGCTGTTGGGTGCCCACAAGGAAACAATTTTCACTAAAATTTATCCGTTGCCATGGTGATTTGTCAAAAAAACACGTTTTGATTGGTTAAAAATTACACGTGTGGAATTTACATGAGTATGTTTCTGTGATCGAAATACATATACGAACAGTTAAATTACTATACTTGAAATGAGACACCCTGTATAATTTAACTAAAAAATTATTTATCATTTATATACCGGGTGTCTCTCAAATGTGGCTCACCCCTATAACTTTTTTATTTTGTTTTCAGATAAAAAACGAGATTTGGTACGTCACTATAATATGGCATATAAATCATGACTGATTGACTTACTCAAATGTTTTCGGTATCTTTTTTACTTTATTCTATAGAAAATGACACTCTGAATAGATTGACATATCATATGTCAACTTTTGATATTTTCGCATATGATTTATTTGAAATAATTGTAACATGCGGTTCATAACGACAATTACTCGAAATACCAAGTATTTGGTACCAAATTATTCGTAAAAAATGCTTTTTTCAAATATGCTAACGAACCAACCCTCGTTCCATTTGAAAAAATTGAGATATTTATTTTATTGATCCAAAATATAATTTGGACATCTTTTAACCAACCAGGATAAGTCACGAAAAACATTAGACAATCAAATATATTTTTCCAGTGCTCCTTGATTAAAAATTTGTGCTTTTAACAAAGCCATGACCCTCCAGATTGAAATTTAAAATACGATTCTTTTGAGCGAAAATGTCAAAAGTTGACATATGATATGTCAACTTTTTGTCATTTTCACACTGCGAAATAAAAAAAATATAGAAATTATATAAATTCCTACTTACCCAACACTAAAAGATGTAAATACCTCAGAACAAATAAGGGTGTCAAGTAAATAAATAATGTTGATATAAACATTGACCAAAACTGCAAAAAAATATCTTAGCTAATAAAAGGTAATTAGCTTATCAATTATCAATAAGTTTTTATCTTACAATGCAACTTAAATTTGACATGAGCGCTATGCGAGGTAACAACCCAAACGACAACTTTGAACCATCCAGCGAAAAAGGAACTTTTTCAGTGTTTTCCCTACCATCACTATCTTTGGCATATATCTAAAAAAATTACATATACAGGGTGGCCCGATACTGTATTCCGGAAACTTCGGCAGCATATTGTGCAGATAAAAATAAGTAAAAAAGTTCGTATAAGTATATGTCCTAAAATGTTTAGTTTCGGAGATACAGGGTGTATTAATTTCATTTTTATTTCGATTTTTTCTAAATAATTTCTGAAGTAACGTCATTATTTGGATGAAAATTGGTATTTGGTGGTTTTTTGACACGAGAAATTCGATTTTGATGTCAACATGACTATTTTTAGAGGGCGCCACCTACATGCGTTTTAACTGTTTTGAAGAGTAATAACTTTTCGTCCGTACCTGTAAATACGGAGTGAAAAAATATTCCGTGACTTTTTACGTAAAAAATGTCTGTTGGTAAAAATCGTTACGAGTAACCGTTCTCAAGATATTTAGAATGGAAATAGTCAATACATGTCTTTATTGACAAAAAATAAACACGTTGAGTAGATAGTTATTTGACTGAAATAATAAATACCGGAAATTTTTATTTTTTTAAAGTAAGCATAAATTTTTCTGCGAAGAAATTATGATAAAACAGTTTCTGTTGAACTTTTGGCACAAAACATTTCAAATTTATGATTTTAGTCAAATAACTATTTAGTCAATGATGACTAATTTATGTCAATGATGACAGGTATTGATAATTTCGATTCCAAATATCCCGAGAACTATCACTCGTAGCGATTTTTCCCAAGAGACCTTTTTTCCCGTAAAGAAGTCGTAAATGTATATTTCTTACTCAGTAGTAACTTTTATACAGGTACGGACAAAAAGTTTTTACACTTCACTCTACAACCAAAAGTCATATTGACATCAAAATCAAATTTCTCATGTCAAAAAACTGCCAGATACCAATTTTCATCCACATATTTACGTTACTTCATAAATTATTTGGAAAAAATCGAAATAAAAATGAAACTTCTACACCCTGTATCTCCGAAACTAAGCATTTTAGGACATACATTTATACGAACTTTTTTACTTATTTTTATCTGCAGAATATGTTGCCAAAGTTTCCCGAATACAGTTCGGACCACCCTGTATATACTTAATATAATAAATTATTATAAACGTACTTAATATAGGTATACTTAAACCTAGCAAAATATTAAGCTTATTCTTACTTCTATATAATGAAGACCCTGTATATATTTTTCGGGATCCCATGTCGTCACATACAAAGGTCCTTTAACATGCTTAAGGTCAGTCCAAGCTTCCTGGTTTATTCGCATTCTCACTACTTTAATATGGGACAAACTGAATGCTAGAACCCTAACATAATAAACTAAATTACAAGAGTGGCATCTAAAAGTCACAGCATTTTACCTAATATGTGTAGATTTCCTTATATTTAGAAGATTTTCTTTAACTGGATTTATAAAAAGCGAATTTTTTGGATTGGTCAGAAGAAGTACAGGCCACTGCCTGTGATGGACATCAATAAAGGAAAACATACCATGGTCAATAGCCAATAATCTGTACCTATTAGAGCCATAAACGTAATTAACAATAAATCGTCATATACGAGGGTAGTATGAAAAGCCTCCTCCGACCTCACCATGTTTATGGCAATATTCATTCATTTCTTGAAATATTGTAATCGCAAAACATTTTCCGATGCACGTCATCAATCATATCGATATTGACACAAATTATAAACCTGTCTAAAAAATATACCTGACTATATGAAATTTTGGCAAAAATGTTTAAATTTGTTGTATAATTTAAAATACCAAGCAGCTCTTTATTTTACTTTATAGGGCAAATGATTGTAACAGATATTTTATTTAGATTAAAGCTGCAAAAATTAGTTTAAACCGAATTTTATTATCGCTGTGTTGGGCACGTTGCACCGTCTTCATCAATGTTGTCCTTTATTATTTGACAATTATCCTAGTGTCAGTCATTATTTGGTATAATATCGTGTTGTTGAATCTTTGTGAATAATTCTCGCTTTTTTGTCTACTAAAAAATATATACCTGACTATATGAAATTTTGGCAAAAATGTTTAAATTTGTTGTATAATTTAAAATACCAAGCAGCTCTTTATTTTACTTTATAGAACAAATGATTGTAAGAGATATTTTATTTAGATTAAAGCTGCAAAAATTAGTTTAAACCGAATTTTATTATCGCTGTGTTGGGCACGTTGCACCGTGTTCATCAATGTTGTCCTTTATTATTTGACAATAATCCTAGTGTCAGTCATTATTTGGTATAATATCGTGTTGTTGAATCTTTCTGAATAATTCTCGCTTTTTTGCCTATTTTCATAGTCGTTTTTAAAAAATGCACTTTAAGCACAAACAGTTCTTTTAAGAACTAAATTTTCGAGTTATTGTATTGCATTTCTTGAAATCGTGTGTTGAAAATATACCGAAGCATTTAAACAGTCGAAGCAAAGAGCTTGTAGCTTCCCCGTTTTTATAAAACTATTTTGAACGAGAACGTGACTATAAAGGTCCTTTACTACCCTTGACTACAGTCAGAAAAGTAAGTTTGATTGATAAGAATATTATACCACTTTCAAAGTTAGTTTTTATTAAATTCTGTGATTATTAGTTTGTGCATTAATAGCACCCTCTTACTTGTTATTACCACTTATGGCTTGTAAAATCACAGATTAGGTATACTATATGTACACAGATAAAAATCTTATCCCTAATTCGTGGTACGAAAATATTTTTTTATGACGATGTGCAAACGAGTAAAATTTCCTGTGCGCAAAAATAAACTCGCGTAAAATAACAATAAACAGCGTAATAGGGAGATATCGCTAAACCGAATAGCGTGCATGGACGTTAATAAGGGTGTTATTCCCTTTACGTGAGGTGGTATTAACTCTCTTCATTTATAGTTATCGGATCGGAAAGAATTCTGTTCTCGTCGGGTCCGCTATTTAAACTTAACCTAACTTTGAATTTAAAACTTTGAAATTGTTTTGTTTACTAGGTATTTTAAAACTAAAGGGCTGCTTATTTCCAGTGCTTTATTGTTCAACGTCTGCCAATAGGTTTAGGGCAACAAGCAACAAATTCTCTTAGAAGGGCTAAATTGTCATCTGCTGTAAACCAAAGACTCTTTATAGGTTCTTTAGTATTGGAAGAGGTGGAATCCATATTTTGGGCCATATTTATATAATTAAAACTAATCCCAGCTACTTAAATATCAAATTACTTAATAAAATTAACGTAATAATTCAAAACAATTCAAACTAACCTAAAATAAAAGATCTCGCCGGCCGGCCCCGGTTGTCAAATACCCGCACATGCCCATTTAAGTAATTTTTAAACGTTATTTAGAAATAGCGCTTGGTGCAATGCCCTCTATAAAAGATCAGCCTGCGGGCGAACTTTTGTTTACCTCATCAGCTGTTCATACTTAGATATTGGGTTAGATTCTGTATTCATATTTTGTCGGTTGATTTTTGGTATTATTTGTTATTGTAGTGCAAAAAACTAATTATTTTGGTGTTTAAGTGACATAAAGTACTACCAGATATATGGTCACTATGATGGTCACTCTGTTTCTCATAAAAAAACACGAAATATTACACGTTTTGTTAAGTGTGTTTTCATAACAGTAATGCTTCCATAAAATTTTATTAGTCTATCTCTTTTCGTTTTCAAGATAAAAAATAAAAACATTATTTTTCCACCATCTTTGTACCGCGATATCTCCCTAATGGTTGACTTTTGACCCAACGTTTATAAAGCAAACTACCCTTTATTTTGAACAAGGAATCACCCCCTAAAGTTTTTCGCATTTGTTTTGAAACAGCCTGTATATGTTGTAGTTATTAACTGTATATTATGTATATTTCATGTAAACTATATCATTTTTAAAATACAAACCAAAAATCTGAGGAATAATTATGTTTTCCATGTATTCTACAACATATTTATTAATGCGTAGTATCTAACTAGCGTGACGTCATAAATCTCGCCCCAAGGCTGTTCTATTAGAGACGGCTTTGCTTGGTGTAATTGATACGCAAATTCCGTCAGGGTGCATCCATACTATCCTAAAAACGGCGTATCGGCGTAACGGCGTAATGACCTTGAATAGAGGTATTGCGTTAAAAATTGACTCGCGCATATCGTAACCATGATAAGGTACGCGTAAATACTGCATGACACTATTCGGTTTTCCGATATCTCTCTAATAACTGTGCCGGTCAGGCGCTGTTCACAATTTTAGAGGCCATAAGTAGGCGTGCTATGTGCACAAACTAGTATCCTAACTAGTGCCCGATTCCGAAAATTGGAACCACGAAAAACTATAAAGAAAAAACAAAGTTTATAATCTGTATGATCTGTGGTAAAATGTACATCAATAAATAAATAATCCATAATAATGCTTATAATAATCTTCATAATGGACTAGTTTTTGCCAATATGTAAAAAGGAAAATAAGCTATAAAACAAATAAATCAATTAATCACTATAATATTGGTTATTAAATTAAAAATAAATTTATATAATATATGTTTGTCAATTTTAAATTATGATTCATCTCACAAATCTATCACAATCTGGCAGCGCTCAAAGTTGATCACGTGCATAGGAAATTGTTTTGCGATTACCATACGCTCATTAAAATTCCAACCTTTTTTAATGCTTAGTTGTAGTTGTTTTTTTATTGGCCATGCTAAAAGTTGCGATTCGGAAGTTCCGATTTTCTGGTATAAAATATGTCCGAGATGTTGATGGCGTTACCGTCAGACTGTCCGAGATTTAATTTAGCTCTGCCCCGCTGCGCGCTGGTAGTCATTTACAGCGCAGCGAATGAAGAATACTGTACCCTATGACTGTATCGTAGTTCTGCTTTCAGTCGACAGAGTGGGCGGTTGCCGGAGACAGTGTTGCCAGAACTACGGATCAATCCGTAGATTCACGGATTTTGCGTACAGTACATTAATAATACGGATTAAACAATTTAATATAATATGATATGAATAAACAAAGAACGGCGTCAGAGTTGGCTTGTATGCGCTCTGGCTTTTTTTACAAGAGGGAAAAAAATCGGTCGTCCCTTGAGTTGGAAAATATTTATACGAAAATGTATATAGGGGTGACGGTAGTTTTCACACATCCCATACTTTTTCGTGATTTTTGTGAAAGTCAAATGTTAAACCACTTAGCAAAATATAGAAACAAAATCTGATTCAAATCAGAATAACGGTTCTTAAAATATCTGAAAAAATGTATTAATTTTGTAAAATTTGATGCCCTCTAACGAACAAACAAAGGACTTTTGTATAGAGGTAAATTATGTCCAATGAATTTATTTTGGTTCCAAAAATACGTAGTAGTTCTATGTCCATGGAATATTGGGACACCCTGTATGTGATGACTTTTTTATGATTTTGTCTGGGGTAGGTTAAGTTGAATGAACAGAAATCAATTTTCCAAAAAAAAGGTTTGTATCATTGTGATCTCAGAAACTTTTCACATAACCCTCGTAGCAAAAATTCTCTTACATTCTATTATCCTTCCAGTCTCCTAATTCGAGTTCCAAAAACCCCTCTTTTTGCATAGTATACATTTTGGGCACCACACCACCCAAGGTGTGCAAGTGGCCACAAACATATACCAACCCATTTTTATCCTTTTTTATTAGGCTTCTCACATTTTCCAAACCGGAAGATAAAATACAAGAAGTAGGAAAGTGGCCGAACCATATTGTATAATTGCTTCCTTCGAAAATAAAATAATAATGTTGATTGAAGAAATAAGAAGTTGCGCAACCTTATGGGCGATTTCGTGGCACAAAACCTGTCCGAGATCTAGCTGGCGTTACCGTCAGCCTGTCCGAGAATTCCGAGATTTATTTTAGCTCTGCGCCACTGCGCGCTGATGATTATATGATTAAACAAAGAACGGCGTCAGAATTGGCTTGGAAATCAAGATCATGTAATTTCATATGTAACATATTATGGTAAATGTCAATAATCGTAATTTCCAAGCCAAATAAAGACTTTTTTTCGATCATACGACATATTCAGTACCTATAAAAGAATTTTTATTTTTGTTGTTTATTCTATCTTTAACACGAATATATTTTCAATACATAAACGCGGATTTTTCATCCAAAGATATTTTCGTCAAACATATTACAGATATTATAATGGTAATCACTATCTCTTTCAGATCCACACTGCCCTCAAGATGCCTTGTCACGAATTCGCCCATTAGGTTGCGTATCTTCCCAATTCTTTCAATCAACGGTAATAATAAAAATAATTCATCTAAAAATAACAATAACGAATCCTACCTGTGTCCTTAACTTTTTTTATCAAACGGTTTATTTCAGTTACTTCAGGCTGATCAATAATACCAACAAAATTAAACGGCCTTCTCGGTCCTAAAAATAGAATAATTAGGTACATATTTTATTATGATGAAAAATTGAGTAGCTATAAAACTATAAATACCTGGTTCAAGACAGGCATCAATTCCTAAAAACGAGTAAACGGCAGAACCTTTCCTGGTTTGAATTAAATAAGACCTGGGATGGGCCTTTCCTTGCATTGAGTAATTTGTAAAATAATTATGCTTCGAATTTATACTAATAACATTAAAATTATCTAAAATCACGTCGTTTTAAAGAAATCATAATAAAAATTTATGTACATAAGTCTGTCACTACAAACCATGATTTCCTCTAATATCAAGCCATAAAGTTTTATTTCCTATATCGTATTCTCTTAAAATATCTCGATAATGTCTCCATTCCGATTCAAATTGTTGTGATCCGATGGCATCCTTTGTTTTAGCGTCAGTCAGATCCCCCGATGCCAGAACCACAGTCGGTTTAATTCTATCTATTGTATAGTCACAGAATTCTTTAAATTCCGTTATTCTTGAGGGATCCCGAAATATACTTATATGTATATCAGAGATCTAAAATCATCAATTATTGCTTTGCTTAGAGCGAGAAAGAATTTAAATTACATTTTTTATATCAATAATTATTGCATTTCATATCCTATAATCCAAAATATAGTCAAAAAATATACAGACCTGCAAGAACCATATGATGTTATCAAACCTATCTCCAATTTTAAAAAAATTCTCTTTGGTGTGATCATCTGAACGAGGTGAATGTGTTGTTATTAGTGTTACAAAACTAGCAATAATAACCGATATAAAAATCATTGACAAAAACGCTCCTACCGCTACCGTAAATATCTTCATTGTTTTAAAAATCGTTTTTCCGTGTTAAACATAGTGACTCAGTATTTTAGTTCTCTTTTTTGGTATTCACCGATTACACACAGAATTTACATTTCAACCCGAACCGACTGGAATTTCTTTGTGGTTTAATTTTACTTTTTTCGATTAGTCTGACAATCAAAATGCATTCTGCATATAAACAGCTGATTGTTATTTAAGATTTAAAAGGCACATGTCAAAATTAAAATTTCTATATAAAGTTTTTTGGGTTGCATATATTCATTTTGGTATTCACTTTTAAAGGGATTAAAAATGACGCACAGCTGCCGGATCTTCAATAAAGTTTGAAATAATTTTATTCGTGAAGGTTTAATTATTGATTTGATAAACAAAATATAAAGTGTGAATGAGTAATTCTAGAGTACGCTCTGCTTAAAATCTTAAAACTCTTATTTTGTCTTTTGTATTGTGTAACTTTTAAAGTTTAACAATGGTTTAGCCAAAGTTTCAGCCCACTGGCACTGGTTTAACTACAGCATCTATTTCTTCTCACCTTCCCCTTTTAATTTTTTATTAGCTGTCCTGCCCTGATGATTGACGAATAAACTATTTGCATATGCCAGCAAGATTTTTTTTATTACTTTATGATTTAGTTGGCAATAAAGAATATTATTATTATATTAAACTGAACCTTGCTGGTTAGCCTGCTTTACTAGCAGGTGTGAAAGAGGACAACTCAAGATCATATTAGGATAAGATATAGATATTTTGGAAAGGACCTAATTTTCAACTAAATATCATTAAGTTAAAAATAAAAAAAAAGTTAGTTTTCGTTAGGCAAATTTGTATATCTGTAAACCTAACTTCTGACAAGTAGTTTCCGTTTGGGATTAACGCATAAGTGTTTATAAAAAATAACTATTTTATTTTGTAGATTTTCTTGCAGTAGCGAAATACCCATATAGGATTTTTTGGAGATGAATCCGCCACATAGGTATAGACATTTTTTATCATTAAGTTAATGATGCATTTATTACTTCATAAACAAATTTAATTATATAATAACTAAAGAATGAAATACAAATACAAAGTATAAAAATACACACATGAAAAAAATTCCAAAGTCTCCTATTTGAACTTATTTTAAACCGATATTTGTTTATATAAGTACCTAGAAAAATTCATACATATCACTAAATATACTGTGAAATTATAAATAATTTTTATACCTGCAAATATTAAAAATACTTACTTAAAATAAAGTACAAAAAAGATACGCAAATACAGAATAAAATATTCTACTCTGTTATTTCAAGTTGTCCATTCTTATTATGAATTGCAAGATGTTTTTTCAATCTGCTGCCAAAATGAAATGCTTTGCCGCATATTTCACAAATGTGTTTTTTCTTCTCTGCAGTATGGAGTCTCATGTGTTGTTTTAAGTTGGCTTCGTGAGCACACATTTTTCCACAAAAATTGCAGACAAAAGGTTTATCTCCAGTATGGATACGCAAGTGATTCTCTAAATTACGCTTAGTGGTACATATTTTAAGGCACTCTTTGCATTGATATTTTGTGTCGCCTACAAAAACCAATAGTTGTTACATCTCCCTGTCATATTATACAGGGTCCGGCAACAGTGCGTCGGCATGCTCTTTCAACGGTAAAATACGAGCGAAAAGTAATTGGGTGGTTTTAATAAAAAAAATTACTGTGGAAAATGCCATATGAAATATAAAACCGCGAATATTTGCGAAACCGTTAAAATTTTTGATTTACTGTAAATACAAAAATTATTCATTTTCCATCTATTGAAAAAAATGATATACTGGGTGTTACATTTAAAAAAACGAAGAAAAATTATTTTATATTTTAGAAATCTTGGCGTAAAATTTTGAACATCCTGTATGATTTACGATTGTCATATTTATTCAAAGTAAGTACAGATTATCTAAAGTAAATACCTAATATAGTTTTGATTTCAGAACATTTTATGTATTTTTAATAATTTTTTTAGGAAAGGCTGAAAAATATACAGGGTGGCGCACTTCATTCGCCTCGGTTGATTATACGAAAACGGGAAGATGTAGAAACAAAATATTTTATGGGTATATGTGGGAAGGCCATGTACACAATTTAAAATTATTTTAAAATATATAGGATGTTTCAGAACTAAGATCCATACGAAAGTTATATTTTTTCTTATGGAACACCCGGTATTTTATTCCATTTTTCGATTCTTGGGCCCAAAAAGAGGCACCTACTATCACGGTTAAATATGTTTAAAATCTATGGTTTTTGAGATATTTAAAGATAATGAAATATGCATGCTTCAATAGAATAGATTATTAACACCCTGTACATTACTTTTCATAATTAATTATTGTGCTGAGTTTAATGGTGGGGAAATAAACTTTACCGAAATATGTTATTGCTTCCTTTTAGACGATGAATCTCTAGGGCGTTAAACTCTAGGGCTTAAAAATTAAACAGTAAAAGGGGCTATTTGACGTAAATCGAGAACAAAATACAAAACAGCTGTTAATGCCTGGCGCACGCGGAACAAGTGAATGATCGGCGGCTGACAGGCTTCAGCGAGCGTTGCGGTGGCGCCCTCCCACCGATCGCCGCTGGTCACTTGCCGAACTACGGCCTAGACTCGCGATCCCAATATGCGAGCGGCCAGGAGCGCGAGTGTTGACTGGTGATGCTAACACTTCCTTAAATTTATACAGAGTTACCAAAAATTGCTGATCTATTTTAAGGATTTATTTTATATAAAAACTTCGTTATTTCAAATGAAAATGAAAATGAAAGCAGATTCAAATGCTCTTTCAAACTGTATTACGGTTTCATATACGTACCTATCTAGCTCAGATTTTGAATAAAAAGTGATTTTTCAATAAAATCCCTTTCAAGATGACAGGTGTCGCCATTGCAATTTTCTCGTGACATTTAGTAACTGTTTTTAAAATCGACATAGTTTCATGGACATTATTATTAAGATTTATAACAGTTTACTTAAATTTACCTACCATATTTTAATAAGTATTCATTATTTTATCAAGAAAAATAAAGCAGTATCTGCTAGCGGATGGATATGTTACTAGTGATTTTATTTTGTGAGGAAAATTGCTTCTTGGCCTCAAGGGCTTATGCGCAGAGATATCTAAATATGAACCTTCTTGATAAGCGTTTTTTTGAAAAGCTACTTGTCCTATTTCGCAGAGGTGGTTGTGTGGTTTATAAAAAAACCTATTAGGCAGAAACCTGTCGTTGAAAGTGAAGAAAATGAATGCTGTAATGCTGTAATTGGCTCTTTTATAGAAAATCTATATATCTACAAGTCATCGTAAAAGAAATCATAGAACTACTTCTTCATTTTTCTTGATAGATAAATACTTATTTAATAAATATTATTTATTAAACTATTATATAGGGCTATATAAATTAAATAAAAGTAAACTGGTATAAATTTATATTAAGTCCATAAACAAATTTCTATTTTGAAAATAGCTACTAACTGTCACTAGAAAATTGCCATTAGCCCTCGTTGCCATTTTATTGAAAAATTGCCCTTTATTCAAAATCTGAGCTAGATAGGTATAGGAAACCCTAATATAGTTTGAAAGAGCATTTGAATCCGCTTCGATTTATTTAAAAAAATACAGGGTGTTGTATTTGAAATAACGAAGTTTTTATGTAAAATAAATATTTAAAATAGATCAGCAATTTTTGATATTCCTGTATAAATTTAAGGAAGCAATAACATTATTTTTGTGTAAAGTTTATTTCTCTACCTTTAAACTCAGCACAAGAATTAAATCTGAAAAGTAATGTACAGGGTGTTAATAATCTATTCCATTGAAGCATGCATATTTAAATATCTCAAAAACCAAAGCTTGTAAATATATTTAACCCTTATAGTAAATGCCTTATTTTGTGTCCACGGATCCAAATATGAAATAAAATACCTGGTGTTCCATAAGAAAAAATATAACTTTGGGGGGGATCTTAGTTCTGACATATTCTGTACATTTCAAAATAAGTTTAAATTATGCACATTGCCTTCCCACATTTACCTTGCCACCTTGTATTTTTATCCTAGGAGCTATAAATGCCTTTCGCAGTATTGCCGTATCCTGTATAATAATTGTTAAATTTATAAATATGTAGATTCATTTCAATTCCTTACAGATCTTAAACACATTATAACTTTTAACACGCAATAATGTATTTTATCATTTTAATTTATATATTCTAATAAGACATGTTATATTTTTAAGACATAAATTTTACCTGTATGAATTCGCATATGTTGAGCTAAAGATCCTTTAAGTGAAAATGTTTTTTTACATATTTCACAAGGATAAATATTTGGCATATTGGCATGCGATTTAATATGAGTCTTCAAGTCATTTTCTCGTGTATATTCCTTGTTACATATATGACACAAATGTTTCATTCCTTAAAGTAAAAGATAATACATACCATATATGCATAATAAAAAGAGAAGGGTTAATTGTTGTAAAGAAATAAGCCCTTAAAAAATAAGAATAACAAAATAACAATGAAGACTATACCTGTATGAGCAATTTGAAAATGGTCTTCCAATTTTTTTTTAGTAATGTAAGCTCTTCCACATATTTCACAAGAAAAATCCCGTGATCCATGTAACAGTACATGCTCTTTTAATGATGTAATTGAATGTAATTCCTTTCCACATATATCACATTGAAATAATTTAACATTATATTTTTTTGGTTCCTTATTACATTTTTCCATCTCTTTATGAGCCTTTTCATGATGTGACAATACTAAATTTGATTGAAAACTTTTCCCACAAAATGAGCATATTAATTTTTCCCCTGTATGTTTTCTTTCATGGTCTATTAAATATGGTCCTCGTATAAACTGTTTAGTACAAAATCTACATTTAAATGGCTTGACTTCCATATGCGTCAGTATATGTCTACTTAAGACGCTCTGTAAATTAAAGCATTTGCCACATGTAGGGCATTTATTTGGCTTTTCTCCTGTATGGGTTCGAACATGTTCTAAATGCATACACCTATATGTATGTTCCTTTTTACAATAGGGACATATAAACTTTTTGTGTTTGGTCTTGTGTAACTTTTTGTGTTTGGTCTCAATTTGGTGCTTTGCTAGTTCCTCGTAGCTTTGGAAAGATGAATCACAGTTAATGCATTTGTATGGGGGACCTAATGGCAAACAAAGTTTAACAATAGTTAAATGTAAATATAGAACCTAACATCAACACACCTTCTAGAAAAGTATGTGACTTGTTTTTATTTTTTAATAAATTTACTTGATCAATTAACTGTGCCTTGTGTCTTTGTCTCATCATAACTTTCTTTATATCAATGTGATTAACTTCCGTTTTAACATTCACAATATCAGATATAGCAATTATAGCATCAGTATTCTCTTCTTTCTCAATGTCATCACCTAAACCGTTTTTCAATCCCGTAATATCACCAAGATCAGCTGGTTTATTATTCAGTATAATTTCTGTTTCAATATTATTTATAATCCTCAATGTAGTACTCTTTTCTTCTTTCCCACTGTCATAAAAAATATCATCATAAACTTCTTTAGCGTCAAGATCAGATAGATCATCTGTGTATTGAATATCTGAATAATTATCACCAACATCCTCACTTTCTGATTTCACTAAGTTATTTTTACCTCCATTAGTTTCATAAACCTCTGTTTCGGATATTTTTCTGTCTAATACTTGTTTGTTTAGTTCATCCTGACTTTCTTGATGAATAATTCCTAGTAAAGTTTCTTCTGATGTCTTACACTTAAGAAAAAAGTGATATATTTGATACATAGCTTTAATACAATATTTGCACATCATTCTTGGAAGTTTGTCATTTTCTTTCAACTAAAATAGAATATCTAAACTGCTTAATTAATTTGGACTTGAATTTATGTAATAAAAAATATATCACTTTCCTACCTCAAGAGGGATATAATTTTGTATGATTTCTGTAAGATTAAGGTCTTCCCAGTTAACTTCATCAATTAAATAGAGCTCGTTTTGAATTAAGCATGTGCGGCATATTTTAGAGAATGAATTTCGTGATAACATTTTGTAATCTTCAGATATTTTAACAGAAAACCATCACAAAACAAAAATTTTAGCTGCTAATATTTTTAGCCATTTTTAGGGTTATGTTCACAAACCATATGTTTGTTCGGAATTTGGAACTGTGATTTGGAAGAGGAAGCCTAAAGCCTAAAGTCATCCTAAAGTCCACTAAAGTCCCTAGGAAGCTCTGGAAGCGGGGCCCAATGTTGCCAAATCAGCCAAAGAGTTCGACCAGGGTTGGCCATTAAACTCATATTAAACTTATAAACTACTTATGGTACAAAGAATACAAGGTATGATCGATAGCGGCTCCAATTTCGTTCAGTTCGCGCATACCACCTGTGACGTCACTATGAAAATAATGAATAAATAAAAAATAAAGAAAGTTGACAGGAGATCTGCATTTTTTGGGGTTATGGTTGTCTCCGACTCCTTATGCACTGCTCCACAGTAACTTGCTTAGCGATAATTCAATGACGGTATATAAACAAAAAACCAGGTTTATAACAATATCTTGACGATTTGAACTGGCGCGCGGAGCGTGCTGACCAATAGCGCCTGTTATCACCTGTGACGTAGCGACCAACCTGCGCAATATCATACCTTGTATTCTTTGTACCATGCAAACTACTAATTATGAAATTATTACACAGAACCTTTACTCCGCGAATTTGGCGGCCTCCATAGCATACACATTGGATCAATTAATTGTATGGGTAATAGGTAAATTGATAAATAAATTATTGTGTTATAACAATTTATTATAGTCAAAAATAAACATTGTTTTCTTTAAAAAAACAGTTACTTAAAACAATAAATTAAAAATAAAGCTCTTATTCGAAAAATATGTAAATATATTAAGTACTTATTAAATTTCAATTCAGTGCTTTCAATCAACAAATCCCTCGTTGTATTGTTTACATATAATAAGTATTTAAGTAATTTAAACAATTTATATATTTCTGCGTTTAAGTTCAAAACACTGGTGGTAACTAATTATTAATACTAAATAAATTCATTACTAGCCCTAAGAATTTATATCACAATTATTTATTATTACTTTTTAATTCGAATTTACAAAAATACAATTTTATTTGCCTATTAAATAAGATGAGTTCCTAAAAAATTTCTACAGATTTATTTAAAAAAATATAAACATTTCAAACACCATCATATTATCGAAAAAAAAGTGCCGGAATAGCCTCTGAAAAAAAAAATCGATAATTTTAGTCGGGAAGACCTCTATGAAGCTTATTAAAAGCTGTGTTTGATAATAGTTTCCAGATAAATATACAGGGTGGTCCGAATTGTATTGGGGAAACTCCGGCAGCATATTCTGCAGATAAAAATAAGTAAAAAAGTTCTTATAAATTGATGTCTTCAAATGTTTCGTTTCGGAGATACAGGGTGTAGAAGTTTCATTTTTATTTCGTTTTTTTTCCAAATAATTTATTAACTATAGTTGATGTTTGGCTAAGAGTTATAAATTTTCGTCCATACTTGTATGAAACTACAGAGTGAAAAATTTCCGTATTTTTTACGTAAAAAATATCTGACGTAAAATTTTTAATTGAGATTATCATCGATTATCAATTCAAAGGTTACTCAGACGCAGTTTTCCTTCAATATATAATGTTATTAAGTTTTATTCAGATAACTGCATTAGCATGTCTTATATAACTAAAAATTGAGTTATTTTTCCTTGTTTATCACTTAATAGCTTATTAACTAAGGGTATACATATTTTTTAATAGTCGCAAATAAATATCACTGGTAAAAAAAATATATTAAGTTTAATCTATTGGAAAATTTAGTTCTAGCCTAATAACTATGTATATGTAGGTTAAATTTTCAAAATTTATCATAGTCTAGTTTATTTCAAAAAAATGATTTATTCTAAAAATATTTCAAAATTGGGTACATTAATAGGAATGATCATAAATAAATACCGTATGATCGAAAAAAAAACGGCGACCGGTTGGCTTGGAAATGACGATCGATGACATTTTCCATATAATTTTACATATAAAATAACAGCGATCTTCATTTCATAGCCATCGCTGACGCCGTTTTTTTCAATCGTACAGTATAATTAAGTATTGAACAAAATATCGATTTATTTCAAATTTCCTCTATACCGGGTGCGACTCAAAAGAGACCCACCCCTATAACTTTTTTATTTTTTTCAGGTAAAAAATCAAAATTTGGTATGTTAGTATATTATGACATAAATTAGTATTTTATTTATTTTTTACAAGTTATTATATATTTTTACTTTATTCGATAGAAAATTGTACTCTGGATAGAATGACATATCATATGTCAACTTTTGACATTTTCGCATATAGTTTATTTGAAATTGTAACATGCGTTTGCAACGACAGTTTGACTCGAGATAACAAGTGTATGGTACCAAATTATTCGTAAAAAAATGCCTTTTCCAAATATGTTAATGAGCCACCCTTGTTCCATTTGAAAAAATTGAGATATGATTAAAAATACGATTTGTGGATCTTAAGTACTTGACATATGATATGTTATTCTATCCAGAGTGTCATTTTCTATTGAATAAAGTAAAAATATACCGAGGGTGCCATTTAAAAATAAAAAGTTGTAGTCATTCCCGGTGAAACAAGAAGTGACCAAAAACAATTGAATACGTCAATCAATCCTAATTTATATCATATAATAACATGCCAAATCTCGTTCTTTAATCTGAAAGAATAAAAAAGTTATAGGGATGAGCCACTTGAGACCACACGGTATTTAGTTATTATCAATATACATTTTTAAAGCTTTTTATATTATTATCAAATTTTTATTACTTCGATATACTCACGTGTTGTTGGTATACCTATGTAAAAATTACTTACTCTAATATAAGTGCTAAAATTCAATGTATAGTCTGTACAGCCAAGGAATATTTGATTTCGACAGATTACTTTTGAATTAAAATACTTTAAACAACTGTCACTGTCAAACATTCTTCTGCTGGACGGACTATATTGATAAACAATTGCATACATAAAATATAGCTAAAAATACTGTTTTCGAGTTTGACTGATTATCTTTGTTAGAGTTTATTGAAATTAATTTTTCTGGGAATATCACCATTAAAACATATTTATTCTGAAGTACATTATGAGTGAAAAAAAATTCTGTCAAGTTGACTTGGAAATGAGTTGAAACAACTGATGGTATTCCTATAATTTTACATACCGATTTGGTCATTTTAGAAGTGTGGTCTGGACTTTAACGTCTAAGACAGAGATGTAGACAACTTAATGGAAAATCAAATGTATTAAAAAGAGATAAAAGTTGGGTTGATACATTTCTTATATGCGGTATTGCCGGATTTTGCATCAAAAATTCAAATCACACGAGTAGGCGTTTATGGAAAACGTTGCATGTAAGGTTGGAACGTTATTTTTCACAATTAGTTACTCATTTTACTACAGCTCTGTAATAGATTATATTTAGTTCAGATATATTCTCGTACTTCAGTAGTACACATGAAAGTTTTTAAAAACCGGCAACACTGTATGCCGCTTTTTATTTTCTCCCTCTGTCTGTCAACTGATCATTTATGTTTATCTCTGTCGCAAAAAATGATATTAAATACAATTTACCTTTCCACTAGATAACTTTAAGACTATTAGATGAGTGGCTTTAAAAAAAGATAAGATCTTATTTATGTATTTATTTTAGTGGATTTATCCCAGAAGAAAAATCTAAAATTCACTTTTTATAGTAGAAAATCATTAATAAATAGTAAAATTAATTGGTCTACGCATTCTATAAAATCGTATATAACTACGCTTGAAATCAACTGAACGATTTTCCTATCGTCAATATCATTTTACAAGCATAGTTATTTATAACATTGAAGTCGAGTATTTTATCCTTAAATTTAAGTTCTTGCCTAATAAGTAGAAAACTAATAAATTAAATTATTTATTTATTTTTTTTAAGCGTTATAAAGGCGTCAAAGGTGGTGAAGATGTGTAAACTGAAGTCTGTCGTCTCAGTAGTAATTGTCTTTCAGGATCCTCGTCTTTTTGAATGCTCAACGATCTTGCCATATTTTTTAACCTTTATGAAAGGGTAAAGAAATTGTAAACATCTTGTCATCATCAATTGTTTTGATTCACATTCATTATAAATTTGTTTTCAAAACGTGTAAAAATTATTTTTTAAGCTGTGGTATAAGTCTCCCGTATACAGCGTTTAACGCCTTGAGTATTTGTAAAAATAGTAAAGCATACTAAAGGCTGGCAAAGGTTAGTCTTGGGTCGAGATTTCCGTATGTAAGAAGAGTACAATGCGTTTATAATGTACTGAACAAAGAGAGAACAGTAAACACGTTGCCAAACGTACTAAATAAACCGAGAAATTGCGCACATTGCTACGAGACGTGAAAAAAGGATACCTATACTACACAGTGCTACGAGACGTGGAAGGGGATATAGCAGATTTGTCGCAGTCCACCGGTCGACCCAATCAGTACCTCTGTTAGTACTTAAAGTTCTAGGGATGGGTGTACATCATTCGTTCAGTTTCACGATTTAATTACGTCTCGCGATACTTTATTTGTTTATTTACTAACGTGTCGTAATTTTCCCTATAGCTTCAAAAATTTCTTAGTGCAAGCTAGAAACACTTGCATTTTTGGTAAAAATAAGTGGAATTGAGTTGGTGTTGGACAGTGGTCGCGCTATTAGAACTCTCGAGTTCGAAATGAATCGATATCTCAAAATCTATTAAAAAGTTTTTTCAAAAACTTTCTTAACATTCCTGGTATATTTTCTTCGCAGACAATATATGTGAAATTCTTTATAAATAAAAAAGTTACACGATTGTTAAAAATTGCTATGCACTACAAGTAAATAGACGGGTTGTTTAAAATTTTTGAATGGAAAGAAACAACCTTATCGAATTTTTCTTATCTAAATATATTGTAAAAGATCTGATCTTCGAAATAAAACAAAGTTTCAATATCTAAAGTGGTTCTGAAGTTATGGTGTGTTATGTGTTAAAAAGTTGAGTTTTTGAATTATCGCGATTACTGACGTTTTATCGTTATAAAAAAAATGGACACCCTAACGATATCCTTGTAATTTCAGATGCTCAGAAACATATCTAATAATTTTATCTAGTTATCTTTTCGAAAAAAAAGTCGTTTAAAAATAGCGGTTTGCGATGTGATTTTACTCTACTTGATAGGGAAAGGCGTACCGGCAACGCCGCAACAGCACACCGTCGCATTTCGCTCACTCCGACTTAATAAGATCCCTATGCGATTTACTTCCACACACCGACCCAAAAGTAACAGTTGCCAGCACGGTATAATAATTGATTCTTACCGAAGCGTAAAGCTACCATCGCAACATTGAATATTTTAACAAAATTTACACTTTTTGTGTAAATTTGTACTTTTTCTGTAAATTTACATTTCGACAGGTCGTTGGGATTTTGACCAGCTTTTAACCAGACAATGTAACGTGAAAACAAAAAGGAAAAGTGCAAATTTACAGAAAAACTGTAAATTTAGAATTTACAGAAAATTTGTAAATTTACAGAAAAAGTGTAAATTTACAGGAAAACTGTACGTTTACAGGAAAACTGTACGTTTACAGGAAAACTGTAAATTTATTTTGCTACATACATTTTTCAGCTCTATATACACTTTTGTAGATTCAAAATACAGTATGATCAAATAAAAATGGAGTAGGCGAAAAATAATATTTCTCTCAGTGTGAGGTTTACTATATCTATCACTAAAGTTCTAAATAATGACAGCTGACATGAGTCAACTGTTTAGTTTATTTGATCATACATTTTTGATAAGATAAAAAATTAATTCAACTACTACAAGGTGCTAGTATTAAATTGATATCTATATACATTTGAGTCATGACAGGTCAAAACGAGAAAAAGTTATGTAAAAAACTATATATTAATAAAAATAACGCTTTAATGCAAATGTAGTTCTACGCAAAATTATTAATAAAAATTTGAACATCACCAAAAAGTTACTGTGTACGTATTTGTTTTAATAGTTATATCAATTTAATATTCACAACACTAACTTTTCTATATTAGTTAAGCATAATTATTCTAAATTCGTGCAAGCATGCTTATTATTCATAGAGTATTGTAAAGAAACAATTTATTTTATTTACATTATTTATTACTTCCACTATAAAATAATATTAAATAAAACAAGAGCGTAAATAACATTTTCCGACAATACTCTATTACTTACTATTTTTTGAAGCAAAATTAATTCTATTAAGCTAGTAAGCGTGGCTATTAATAATGTAATGTTTTTACCCAAAAATGTACTATCCTTCATCACATGCTTTAGGACTAGCACCCATAAGAAGGTTTAGTCTTAAAACAAATAAAAAAACGTATTAGACATCAAAAATCCAAACCGAGTATCACACTCACAAACAAACACGGTGTGATTGAATGAAAAAGGATGTCAGAGTAGGTGTAGAAATATCATTTCATTTAGAGCTCTGTTTTGTTATCACATAAGATGTCACTGAATTAATACCTTCACTAACAGACAGCAGAATTTGAAGTGATTGTCATCTCTATATCTACTATGTCATCGCATTATCATTTGATAAAATTCTGAACTATAATGAACACAAACCAGTTTATCATAATAGAGATAATTTTTAAAACATGTTTTAAGACTTTATAAAAACAGCAACAACCATTTTAGTGCCTTAATGATTGTGTGATACTATAATTAATATAAATAATATAAATTAATATAATTAATAAATAATAAATTATGTATATTATTATAATATGGTATTGAACATGCACAAAACATATGTGAGTAAATTAAGTAAGTTGTTAAATATGAAATATTAGAGGGAAACTAAGAAAAAGTATAAAATATCATTTATATTGTTTATTTAAGATTAACGTAAATGTTTAAAGATGTAAAAAGTAGAGTTAGCTGACAATGTTTCAATACAGTATGTCCCCAGTCTTTGCAAAAGGAAAAATATTTTTTATTATAACATTTTGAGAAAAATTCATTCTTCGTTAAACCTTTTGCTTGTTCCAAAATGGTTAATGTAGAGTATGCTTTTTCAAATTTCCATACCGTTTTAGAGAAAATTAAAAAATAAACGCGTTTCTATGGTAATATAATTTCGATAACATTCTTTGAATAGATGGTTGTTATTAATTTTGATCAACGTCGTATTTTTTTGCTGTTGTTAAAATATCACATTTCCGATAACTATTATTATCCCTTTCCATAGCACTGAACTCTTTGAATAAGAAGACTAAGGAAGGAGCATAATGATATCCATGTATTCATGCATGGTGGGCGGAAAAAGGACTCTAGGGTGGGGTTCCTTGACAGTTCTGTTTGACGATTCATTTGACACATTTGAATTTGATTTGAAATTTTGTGGATTTGTCAGTCTTTACGGGAGCTTATTTTATGTTATTTATTATTTATTCTACTACTGATAATTGTATAAAGGTAGTAAATCTAGATGGAAATTGTGGCAGAACTTAAATTAAGAGTGACACTATAGCGATTTATCGAAAAAGACGCTAAAATAGTTGGTTGTGTAGCCTGCGGCAGATCTCGGCAAAAATCGAGTGAAATAATGGAACAACTTTTCGCTAGTAAGTGACTATACATATAACATACACATACGTGTAGTAAACCGATCATTTATGAAATTCACTTAAATTAACTAATTATATATTTTTTCTTGCATTTATGCTTTTATTTACTACTTGTCAAAGATTAGATGTCAAAGAATTTAGATACGTCAATTTGACTTACCTGCTTCAGTAGCGTATCGGATGTTTGTGTTAATAAATAATTATTAAAACTTATCTATTTTTATTATAATAATATGTTTTTATAACAATTTTGATAACTACTAACATTTATTCACAACGTAAAATAAAAAAAAATATTGAGTCTACCCCACATCTACCCTACATCATAGTTTTACATTTTTTAAATAAAATTAGAACGGCACTGATAAACCGGAATTTAAGTCGGCCATATTTGAGGCCCATCGCGGTAGTCCAAAGATTTTTGATATGCTCCTCCTTAGTCTTCTTATTCAAAGACTGAACTAAATAAATTTTGTGCTTCTTTAACATTTTAAAACAGCAAAAAATATGACGTTAATTGAAATTCTACCAATAGTAATCCATCAAAGAATGAAAACGAAATTATATCACCATAGCAACGCGTTTTGATTTATAGGACTTCAAACTTCTAGAAAAATTCAACCATATTTTCTTCTTTTTTTTTTTAATTTTCTCTAAAACGGTATGGAAATTATGGAAATTTGGAAAAGTATCAATAGGATTACCCATTTTAGAAGAAGCAATAATTTTTACGAAGAATACATTTTTCTCGAAATGTTAATAATAAAAAAAAATTCTCTTGTAAAGACAATCCGTGGGCATATTGTATAGTCCAATAAAAAATAATAAAAAAAAAACAACTTATTTTTTGCAGCATTGTGTTTTAATGCAAAGGGCATTTTTGTAAACTGTCTCTACATCAGTTGACATATGCCATATACAGGGTGTCCCAGAAATAAGTGCAAGTATTTTAACTGGTAGTATAGTTCAACTTCAGAAACACGCCTATGAGGTTTTTTCGCGAATTTTTTTTTTAAATTTGAAATTTTCTGAAATTTTTTTTTGGAAATTTTTTTAGTTCTTATTTAAAAAAAAATATTTCTTGATAATATGGCAGTAGATTAATGGTAAGGTAATAATGGTAATGGGTAGTAGATTAAATTTACAAGAAAGAAAATCCAGAAAAGATCCAATGGTTCTCAAAATTTGAGCAAAAAATATTTTTTTTGGAAATTTTCAAAGTAAAATAACTCCGATATTTTAGATTTATTTGAAAAACGGTAAAAGAAAAAATAATTATGTTCCTTTTATCGAGATCTACCACCCCTTAAAATACTGCATTTATTCCTGGGACACCCTGTACGTCAAAACAGATTTTTTGGGTATTCTAAATTGATTGTTCAATTTTCCTTACAAAAAATTAATAATAATAAGGTTTCTAACTTGTTAAACACTTTTTGCCAAACAATGTACGTATCTGTTAATCAATTTCTTCAGTCATAAACACAATGTATGAGATATCACAGTAAAATTAACTTAATTTAAAATTATTTCAACTTAACAACTTCTCTGGGTTAATAAATTATCTCTCTATATTAGATTTTAAAAAAATCACCATTAAAAATATTTAGTAGTTGTGCTTCACCCAAAATAAACCAACAAATTAAAAAAAAAACAAATTCAATACTATACCTGCTGAGTCGTTCTTCGTCTCGTTGTTTCTTCAACATTTCGAACTCATCCTCGTCATCAGTCTCTGAACCTATGCTGACGTTGTCAGTTGCATCATCAACCCCGTCGCCGCTAGGTGCAGATCTGGAGATGGGAGGGTAGGGTTCATAAACATCTGTATTGCTAAAGCTAAAAACATTACAAAAGTATATTTTATCTAAGGGAACAATATAGATATATAGGTTATACCAAATAAACTTTTAGTCGGACTTTTAGTTACTTTTACATATTTTTTTTTAATTGAAATATTTTAGAAAACAAAAATAAATTAATTATAAATATATAAACAGTAATTATTTACATCAACAAAACTCATCCTCCTTAAGAGCTCTTAAGGGACATAAAGGGCCAATACTACCGTTTTTTACAACGGCTATTAAGCTATCTTGTACACTTCGTAATAAAGAGGTTCTAAAAAGAACAATGTTCGACTCTGCAAGGTTTGCTAGTAAATATTTTTAAGCTTAAAGTATCACAATACAATTATTAATTTAAAACAAAAACTCGTAATACAAAACTAAAGTGTCAAAACGAATGACAATATCAGGAAATAAATAAATAAATGTGGCAACTTGACATTTTTTACAGCAGAGCTACCACTTGAATCCACAGCGGGAAATTTAAATTTCAGTTAGTCAGCCCCATACCGAATATACCCATGGTTGGCAACAATGAATTTAAAAATCGCGCCTTTGATTACGTAACTAAAAGTTTAATTGGTATTGCTTAAGCTTCATTGAGAATCTTGCAATTAGAGGAATAAATTAGTGGTTTCAATTAGCGTAGAAGTTTATACCTTTAATTTCAATGTAAGCACTCAGAACGTCAAAATTAGTGGTAGACATTTTCAATTAGAACAAAAGTTATCAAACTTTTAACTTTTCCACTAATTAAACTTCATACTTTGCGAGAAATGTCATTTTGGCCTTTGATTATCTTCCGTCAAGAGAAATTGTGGTTAGAAATCAAAAGTTGACTGTTTTGTAAGATAAATATTAAGCCGGAGTCTCATGCATCCGAAATCCGATAGTACGACATCCGAAATTTGAAGTTATCCTGTGAAATAAAAAAGCCTGTCACATACATACGAAAGTTCGTTCCGAAATTTGACAGTTTTGGCATTTCTCTGCTGCACTGAATAGAGATTCATGTCATGTTTTATTGGAGAAACACTTATAAAAATAACTTCCTCGCCAAATATCCCGAAATTGCCCACTTCCCACTAAACTTGTTTTTAAAAACAAATGTTTTCAAAAAATGTGAGGTTAAAAAACACACGATATCGTACAAAAGTTAAACAAAATTTAACTTTATACGACGTCGGACGATTAGTTAAAATTATCGGATAAAAATTGGTGTCAAAATATTTCGACCAATAGGAGCACCGTCGGATCGTCGTGTCATCGGATTTCGGATGCATGAGACTCCGGCTTTAGGCTTTCGCTACGGATACAACTGACTAACGCCAGCTGTTGCTAGGATGTTCTATTAATTTTAATTGTGTTTTTTAAACATTGTGAATGATCGTAAACTAAAGAGTACAGTGTCTATGAAAGGAATGCGGGCAAAAAAACATTTAAATAAACAGCAATATATTTTATACGTCGATTTGACGAGTGCGTCACCGCAAATCGCTCCGCCCACTCACTTTATTGGCTACTTGCAAATTTGTCGAATTTTTATTGATGGGACGCGTCGTCTAATTTTTTACGAAAAACATCGAGAAAATATCGTTTCCCCTCTCACGGATACCCCGGAGCTACTGAACGGACAGACGTACTGTATAAAGTGGAATTGAAACCCCTAATTTATTCCAGTAATTGCGAGGTTCTGAATGAAGCTTTATAGTTCAATTATATACAGGGTGACCCAGAAATAAGTGCAAGTATTTTAAGAGGTGGTAGATCTCGATAAAAGAAATCTATTCTCTTTTTATCGTTTTTCAAATAAGTCAAAAATAACGCAGTTATTTTACTTTGAAAATTTCAAAAAAAAAATGATTTTTAGCTACTGACTGGATCTTTTCTGGATTTTCTTTTTTGTAAATTTAATCTAATACCTATGTTGCCATATTATCAAGAAATTATGTTTTTTAACTAAAAACTAAAAAAAACCCAAAACATTTTTCAAAAAATTTCGAATTTTCAAAAAAAAAATTTCGCTAAAAAAACCTCATAGGCATGTTTCTGGGGTTGAACTATACTACCAGTTAAAATACTTGCACTTATTTCTGGGACACCTGTATATATCGTAGATAACTCCGTATTACACTTACTGGTTTGCATAACTGCTAGACTGAGGTACGTCGATAGGCTTAGACGAAGGAGGCGGTCCAAATATCTCCATCACCGTCGGTCTACCGTCTTTATCACCCTGTTTCTGTGACGTAATCGTGTTCTGCTCGTCCACTTCTTCGATAATCTCGTGCTTGATGTCTTTGGTACTGGTGCCGAACTTTTTTTCGTCGCTCAAGATCAGGTTGTTCATCTCTTGACCGGCCTCAATGTTGTTCTCGCCTCTCGAATCGGCCTTGCTTTCGTCACGACTGAAGAACCGCTTCAGTTTGTTGGTTAGGGAAACGACAGATGCCACCCTGGGTATTGAGTCTAGAACGATTTTTTAACAAAAATTAATATACCTGAGTTATTCACCTCATTCTATATAGAGATGAGCAAAACTGCGATTGCGATTTTTAAATCGCAACGTCTTTAACCTGCGATTGCGATTTTAATATTTACCAAACCAAATTATATTATCGTAAAAAATGCTTTTCCTAAATATGCCAATGAGCCACCTTGAGCCACCAATTGAGCATTTTTTAAATGGCCAGGACAAGACGCGAAAAACAATAGCAAGGCATCTTGATTACAAATTAGTGTTTTTAACACAGTCACGACATTCTAGATTAAAATTTAAAAGAAGATTTGATTCTTAATGGCAAGTGTGTGGTATCAAATTATTCGTAAAAAAATTCGTCCTTTTTCCAAATATGCTAATGAGCCACCCTCGTCCATTTGAAAAAATTGGATATGATTAAAAATTGAATTTTAAAATACGATTTTTTAAGCGAAAATGTCAAAATTTGCCATATGATTTGCCATTCTATTCAAAATGTCATTTTCTATCGAATAAAATAAAAAAAATAAAAAGTATTTCCGGTGAAACAGGAAGTAACTAAAAACAATTGAATACATCAATCAATCCTAATTTATGTCATATACTAACATACCGAATCTCGTTTTTTTTTATCAGAAAAATAAAAAAAATGTATAGGGAAGAACCACTCTTGAAAAATATACGGTATATTATGATCGTGGCCCTAGAAAAATAATACCTTCTCTATAAACAATAAATAATATCCGAGAGAAAATTCAATCGCAGTTTACTGTAAAAAGCTTCAATAGACTACAAAATTACATTCGCAACAATATCTCAAATCACAAGTCTAAACTAAAATTCAAACTTGCAGATAAAAATCGCGGTCCCAGTTTACAAAATCACAATTGCAGCAAAATCGCAAATCGCAACAAAGTCGCAAATCGCAACTGTGGTAATACTGTTTACCTAAATTTAAATTCAATTAATTAATTTTTAATTTGTTGGTTTAATAAAGATTTGTTCTTAAAATTCGCAAATAAAAGAAATCTCAATCGCAGTTTCCTACGAGAGCCAATCGCAGGTTGCGATTGCGATTTTAAAATCGCTGCGATTGAATCGCAATTTGCGATTTCTTGCTCATCTCTAATTGTAGCCACACAATTAGATTTTTAGACATTGTGAGTGATGTGATCGTTGAAGGCCTACTAAAACTACAATGTAAAATTATTTTCAAAAGGTACAGAGCGTCCCAAATAAATAAAATATATCAAAGTTCTATTTTTTTAAATGGAACACCCTGTATATTATTGCATTTTTAGCTTCTACGATTAAAATAAAAGTAAATTTAATTAAGGGTTACCGTACTTTAATCTTACCGTTTTTTAAATATTTACGTTTTTGTGAAAATACAATACCAATTTAAATGCTGCATTTCTCTAGGCGTATTTAAGTTTTTAAAACCAAATAGTGTACTGAAGTTTTTTTATTTACTAAATTTTGTGTTGCAATAATAAAAATAATACTACCTTATACAGAGTGTTTAAAAATTTATTTTAAATAATTACTAGCTTTAAACGGCAATAACTTGTTTAACTTAAATGGAACACTCTATATATTTTACGAGAATCAGATGCACAATTTAGTTGTTTTTCAAATTGTATTATACAATTTTTTACCTATCTCTTCAAGTTTTCGTAGAAAATGCATTTACTTATAATTTAGACCTCATTTATCACTATACCCATGGAATATTGACGTTTTAGATTATTTTTAAAGATGTAACAAATTTTCAAAGAGTAAAAATACTAATATTGCCGATATAGTTCGCTTATTTCATTAAAAAATAAAAAAATTCTGTTTAAATATTTGTAAAAGAGGATCAAAATAGTATTTCTATAATTCTTATGGGCACCTTTCAATCTAAACTTGTTTCATTTATCTATGGTCTAATCTACCATTAATGCGAATCACACTTCTGCATAGATCTACCTCACGGTGGTTAGCCTTTTATGTACAGGGTTTGTTCAAAAAATAAGAATTATATTTCTTTTAACTCACCTGGAACTGAGGCACCCATGGCTAAGCTACTAGAAGAATTTTTCCTGCTTTTGAAACTGGGTTGTTTATTAGCTGAAAACGTTATAGGGCCACCTTGCATATTATCGCCTATGTACGTAGGATCTAATTTTAAAGACGAAGACATAAGCTCTACAAAAAAAAATCATTATTTAATACATGATTTAAAAAACAGTAAAGTCCGCTCTAGACATAATGTTTTACCTGTTAGGTAAAAGTTTTACCTGTATCGTAATACACTGCGTGTTTTAACTGCTATTTTAGCATTGTGTTAGTGAATTTGAAAAAAAAACATTGAGTTTTACTACAAAAGTGTAGGTTGTAAACACGCAAAGTTCATTCTGGAAATAGTATTGTTTGATAATACATATTCATTAAATATCCCTAAACAATTTTGTAAAACTACATTATTTTGTGAAACAATTTAAAACTATTAAATTTAAAATAAAAAATCTACCTGCTGAGCCTTTTATCCAGGGTCAGAACTCCAATGTAAGGATACAACTCGAGGGAGGAGGGTCATGACCAGATCCTCACAATAGGAATTGACCTCAAATCCAAGAAAGCAATAGAGAAAGAGGGATATATCCTCTATTACAGATTCAGGACAACACCGGTATCAGGTCTAAGAAGAGACCAAGTTAAAGAGGTGGAGAAAATGGAGACAAATCTTCCACCTCACGGGTACCTCAGTCGGAGACAAGCTCCTCGACTGGGACGGGCACGAAGGGTTAAACCCTTGTCAGAGGAGGATGGGAAATACTCTGTGCCTCCTAATCCGAACAGGTAAGATCGTTATGTGTAGAGTGGGCTTAAAACACTCGATTTTCAAGGCAGACATAAAAAATATAATATTCAAAATCAAAACCATAAATTTTCAGAGAAATAAAATCATCAGAGAGACTTTTATTAGATTTGTGCAAAGTAATTAAGTCTAATGTTAACTATTACTAATTTGTCAAAATATTTACTTATAGCTACCTTGAAATCTTATCAACACCAGTTAAAAAAATCATTTGACGTAAAAAAATTAGTTCGGTTAATTAGAAAATAAATAGAAAACCAAAACAAAAAAAAATAAATACGATGTATTTCAATATTCTAGTTATTGAGGCTCATGCTATCTTAGTTACCTGAATATACTAAGCAATATTATACAGGGTTGTTCACCACATACGACACGAAGTATTGTAGCTAAACGGTTAGATTTTTACAAATTGTAAGTTTTGGGTTCGTTGAAGGACCATTAGAGCTACAATTTAAAAATAATTTTAAAAGATACAGAGTGTCGCAAATAAGTAAAAAATATTATAGTTTTATTTTTTTAAATGGAATACCCTGTATATTATTCTATTTTTAGATTCTACGATTAAAATAAAGATAAATTTGATTAAGGTTTATCACACTTAAACTTTACCGTTTTTGAAATATTTTCAATTTTGTGAAATTGCAATAAAAAATTTAAGGCTTCATTTCTCCAAGGGTACCAGAGTTTTTTATACTACATATTTATTGAAGATTATTTATTGATCAGATATTGTGTTGCAATAATAAAAATTATACTTCCTTATATAGAGTGTCCAAAAATTTATATTAAATAATTACTAGCTTTAAACGACAATAACTTGTTTAATTGAAATGGAACACCCTGTATATTTTACGTTATTTAGATGCACAATTTAATTGTCTATCAAATTGTACTATAACATTTTTTACCTATCTCTTCAAGTTTTCGAAGAAAATGCATTTTTTATAATTTAGACCTCATTTATCACTATACCCATGGAATATTGACATTTTAGATCTTTTTAAAGTAATATATGTACAAAATACTATTCAAAAATAATAATATTGCAAGCCCATTTGTTACAAACAGAAAACTATTTAAATCTTTGTAAAAGAGTATACCTATTAAATATAATTTCCTTCCAAAAATTAGTTAATTACATACTGTTTTAATTAATAAATTATTCTAAATAAATGTGGATTTGACTCAGAAATCAATATAATAATAAGTTACGAAAATGAACGTCTCTGTTATAAAAATAAGCATTCGTCAAAATTTAAAATAAAATTTATACTGTCTAATACACATAAAAAATTCAGTTTTTTAGTATTTGGAGCAATTATTAATCAACGTAAACAGTCAATTAATGTAGTCTGAATACTAGGAACATATTAATTGGTCCTTTTTAACAAATAATATTTAAACATTTTTTTAAAATTTTTTAATGAAATAATCGAACTATATCGACAATATTAGTATCTGTACTCTTTGAAAATTTGTTACATCTTTAAAAATAATCTAAAATATCAATATTCCATGGGTAATGAGGTCTAAAATATAAGAGGTCAATATAAAGGTCAATATAGAGGTCAATATAGAGGTCAATATAAGAGGTCAATATAAATGAGGTCTAAATTATAACAAAAGGCATTTTCTACGAAAACTTGAAGAGATAGGTAAAAAACGGTATAATATAATTTGATAGACAATTAAATAGTGCATATGAATTAAGTAAAATATACAGGGTGTTCCATTTAAATTAAACAAGTTACAGCCGTTTAAAGCTAGTCATTATTTAACATAAATTTTTGGACACTCTGTATAAGAAAGTATACTTTTTATTATCGCAACACAATATCTGATCAATAAATAATCTTCAGTAAATATGTAGTATTAAAAACTTTGATACCCTTGGAGAAATGAAGCCTTAAATTTTTTACTGCAATTTCACAAAATTGAAAATATTTCAAAAACGGTAAGGTTTAAGTGTGATAAACCTTAATCAAATTTACCTTTATTTCATTCGTAGAATCTAAAAATTGAATAATATATAAGGTGTTCCATTTAAAAAAATAAAACTATAATATTTTTTACATATTTGGGACACTCTGTATCTTGTAAAAATATTTTTAAATTGTAGCTCTAATAGTCCTTCAACGAACCCAAAACTTACAATTTGTAAAAATCTAATCATTTAGATACAATACTCCGTGTCGTATGTGGTGAACAATCCTGTATACATTGCATTGTGTACTCATTTAAATAAAAAAAAACAACTGTTAGAAGAATTAGTTTTTGTCAATCATAAAGTTACCTATAAGTTCATTTTTGGACAGTATGTATACCTTTTTTGGCACGACATCGACCACCTTTAAATAAACAACATTCTTATCTATCTGTTGTAAAACATTTTAAAATCGTTTGATCAACATTCATAAATTTGCATTTTACTTTTCCCAATCTTATCAATCTTTATAAACTTCAGTTTAGCGAATATGAAGATGGGGATAGAAAATTTTACGGTAGGTATAAAAGTATAGTAAAATATTGCTTTTTTTACTGAAAGATAGCTAATTGGCTCTTCTAAAAACTGTCGTCACCGGATTTTTTGTTTTTCATTTAATTAAAAAAAAATAAAAAATATTTTTTTCCCTGATGTCGTGGCGGATGCGCCAGGCTTCAACTAGTATGTAATATTTTACTATAATTTATAATTTATGTAATAAATAAAGGCAAACCGTTCTGATATATTAACCACCGATAACCGCAGTTAGATTTATTTGCCTCGAATCCTCAATAAAAATTGTCTATAATAGCGAAATATATGTCTATATAAGCGATACCAATTAAACTTTTAGTTACGTAATCGAGGGCGCGATTTTTAAATTCATTGTTGCCAACCATGAACATATTGGGAACTGGGCTGGAATATAAATTTCCCGCTGGGAATTCAGGTGGTAGCTGTAAAAAATGTCCTAGTTGCCACATTTATTTTATTTCCTGACATTGTCATTTGTTTCGACACTTTAGTTTTGTATTACGAGTTTTTAGTTTAAATGAATTGTGTTGTGATACTATAAACTTAAAAATTTTTACTAGCAGACCTTGCAGTCGAACATTGTGCCGGTCAAGCTTAATCACGTCACTAAAAATTTATTTGGTATTGGGTATGATCTATACTTAAGCATTATTATACTGCATTATTTTAGACAAGAAAAAATCTACAGTTCTATCTGCCTCCAATAGAGAATTACCGTTTGATGCAGTTATCTTTTATCAGGCACTAATATATAATATACAAATATATGTATTTCCTTTACCTTGCTCCTCGGGTTTGACAGCTATATTAGCTGTTGATGGTAACGGATGAGTATTTCTCATAGACTCGGCTGCTGCAGCCGCAGGAGTATAAGGCAGTTCCTGAGGGAACACTTGGTCCCAATACTGATCTCTGACTAGTTCCGGATGGTCGTGGTGCATCTCGTCTACTATCAAATACGATACCTGGGTAATCAGGTAAAATAAAGGAAATCAGTATTAGAATTTCGATAACAGTGACACAACTTAAAATTATACTCAAAGAACAAGATTTTTGGTTGAACGAGGAAATCATAATTTCATTGTACTTTAATGATGATCATCATTATAATGTACTTTTTTTATGTTTGTTTAAAACCTTTTGGTATAGTTTTATTTAGTACCTGGAGATTCCTGTCCACCATCCAGTTGACTTCGAAATCATCATCGTCATCGCCAAACGGATTGATCAAACTCTCTGCCACTTTGAGCCAGCCAACGTAGAAGAAAAATTGAAGAGTTGTGAAAACGGGGAAATACAAATCGAATCTATACCGGCTGTCTCCCACCCATTGGTGGCCCATTAGTGTCGTTAAGAAGTAACTGTATACTGCCAAAGTTACCACCTATAATGAATGTTCTTTATATATATATATATATATATATATATATATATATATATATATATATATATATATATATATATATATATATATGGTTTTTCATATAACGCGTTCATTTAAAGTCATACTGAATATAGGATGCGTATTCAAAAAGTCACACTGTAAATCAAAAAATTTTCTAACTAAACTCCCCCTTTGTAGTTACAAACAAATCTAAACTAACCTGTGTATACACTAAAGGGACACTAATGGTATCATAACTTAAAAGTAACCCACACTGGCCTCTAAACTTATTTAGCTCATCTATGAGTGTTTTGACAGCAAAATCATCTCTGATGCGGCCTTCTTTTCTTGCTCTTGTTATAATACTCGAGGCCCATACAATAGGGAGCCTAAAATTATGGTAAAATAATATACCATGGCTTGGAAATGAAAATCATTGTCATTTTATTGTACAATTTTTGGGGAAATGCCATTTATTGTTATTAGCCGACCATACCAATAGGTATGGTAGGCTATTAAGATCGGCAAAAAAAAAGTTTTTTTAATTTCACTCAAAATGAGTTATTATTGGGTCATAAATGACCTAAATACAAAATATTTTCGTGGTGTCTGTCCGTCCGTCTGTCTGTCCGTCTGTAACACGATAACTCAAAAACCGCTCAACCGATTTTAACCAAATTTGGCACAAAAATACTGTGGCACCCGAGAATCTGGCCATTAGTTTTTGGTGGGGGTGGGGGGTTGGTAAGGGGGTATGGGAGGGGGTTAAAAATTTTAAAAAATCATAACTTCAAAATTACAGTAGCTAGCGAAACGCGGTTTTCAATTTAAGATTAGGAATAATATTTGCAACAAAATTTGTAATAATATCAAAATCAGTCAAAGTCGCAGTTTAAAAAAAAATTGAAAAGTCCCTTTACTTTGAAACTAAAAGAACTGCCTACCAACTTTTTATTAACATATTTTAGTATGGGCGGCTATACGTGCCTCCCGGCGCCAATTTTTTTCAATACAATTTGATGTCGATTTTTTTTGGATCATACAGTATATGTTTTCATTTCGTGTAACATCTATATATATATTATTTCCCTTGAATTGGCTTGAAAGTAAGTATAGGGGAATAATTAGGTAGAAAATGTTGTTTAACAAATAAATTATTGATCTAGAAAGAAATAAAATACAGAAAGAGAGCATTTTCCCATTAGTTAAGTAACTTTTTATTTTTAGATATATCAACATCAAGTTTTAAACAGAATTTTTTTAATTACATAATCACTACCATACCGACTGCGTGTGTTCATTGATTAAAAAATTGCATGTATCCTTGAACTGTCATTGCAGAATAGTTCTAAGTAGTAATTTGCTACGATAATATGTACTTTTATTGCACCAAATGATACATGTACAGGGTGAGTTAAAGGTAAAGTTTATAATTTCAGAATTGCGCAAAAATGTTAAATAGAAAAGTTTTAGGGTATGTTAAGATATACAATTTAAAATTATTTATGAGTATACAGGGTGCTTAAAAAATTATGGCGGACATAACATAACTTATGTTTGCTTTAAATGTTCTACCCTATTTTTATTTTATTTTTTAAAAAAGTCCATAACTTTTTCATTTTTTCAGATAAAAAATCCAGATTTGGTATGTTAGTATATGACATAAATTAGGATTGATCGTGGCTAACGTCATATTCAAGGCCTGACTGTTTTGACAGTTCTATCGAAGTGGTTGAGAATTAGTAGTCGTAAACAAACCTATTGTTTTCATTAGTTTCGCATAGGGTTCCCAACTTGAGCATCGGCGATTCCGGGACAATTATTTTTAAGTTTTTAAATAATTGAAACAAAACATTAAATATTAGAAATTCAAATATATTATATGTAAATGTGATTTTTTTGGTCCCGGCCAAGGCAAAATTTTCGCCGGGACAAACTTTCTGATTCCTGGTTAATCCCGGTCAAACCGGGACGGTTGGGAACCCTAGTTTCGCAACAAATCTGTGTTTTTACGCGTTTCTATGCTAATAAAATTATACTAAAATGATTTTGAGTGTCCTCTGAGTGAATAGTGAACTATCTAGATCCGATTCATAACATCGTACCCGCGAAAAAAAAAAACATACTTTCGGTAAAAATTATAGTAACACCGGCGATGCGGGCTGTGTGTCCGGGCTAGGAAAAAGTTGGGGAATTTATATAAAAACATAATTATAGCGTTAGTGTTAGTGTATAGTGTTAAACCAACGTAAGTGACGTGTATTTTTAGGTAAAACAGTTTTCGTTTCTTTATTTTTTCTTTGTGAAATAAAAATGCCGCGACATTGTTCTGTGCCAGTAAAAAAATGCTTTTTCCAAATAGGCTAATGAGCCACCCTAGTTCCATTTGAAAAAAAATTGAGATTAGAAAAATACGATTTGGGCACCTCTTAACTGGCCAAGGCCAAAAATTAGTGTTTTAACACAGTCACGTCACGATTGAAATTTAAAATACAATTTTGTTTTTTGAGGGAAAATGTTTTTTTTCATTTCATTTTTGTGCAATTTTGAAAACAAATAAAATAATGAACTTTATCGTTGATTGACCCTGTAGAATGTTGTATACATTCATAAAATATGAGATTATTGATTTATACAGATAATAGCATAATCAATTTTTTAAAATAAAATTTAAGCTGTTCAAATGTTATAATCCAATATTAATAAAATGATTGAATTGTTAAAATACTGTGTTATCATTATTAGATTAAAAAAAAACTAATATTATATCCATTCCTTTTTAGATTTTAATAAATATATCCATAAAATTCAAGGTTATTGGTAAATAGTAGTTATATCTTTAAAATTAAAAGATATGTAACTATATTTTTTAAATATTTAGTACAAAAACTATCTATGACATAAAAATTGCTTTTGGAAAAATACTGAAGCTTAAATTTACTAATTACTATCCTATCAAATATAATACATCTGTACTGCCTATCGTTTTTATAGCATGAATATCATTATGACTAATGTGTTATAGTGTAAATTTAAATAAATAAAATACTTTAATATACTGTAGAATCAAAAAGTATTAAATAACTATTTTCATTTATCATATACGGCCAGAAACGGGCGTTACTCTTCCCATTTTTATACTACGATTTGCTTATTATTCTTTAAAAAAAAAAACAATAAAATTTTCAAACTGAGGGAAATAACTGGAATATCTTACAAAAGGCTCTGGCAAAGCTGATTAACAATGTTTTTAAAGCTTTTCTAATCTGTGGACAGGAATTTTACCTTTTATTTTATGAAAGCTGTTTTACTTGCCCATGCCTATCCGTAGCACACTTCCGTATAAAAATATTATTATAGCATTTTACATACCAATGTTTAGAATATTTTGGGAATTTCTTGTTTAAATCAAGCATGATATCCTTTTCACTTTCATGTAACAAGCCAGCTTCGACAAAATGATCCAAAGTGGGAAACCTCTTTTTAACTCTTGGAGCTATCATTGTGAAAGTCATTGTTACTGAAAGACACACATAGCGCATTATTGTTCTACGCATTACTCTACCCCTTTCATCCTGCAGAAAACAGTATAAGTTTGATATTAATAATTGAAAAAATGTCAATGTCAATATAGACTTACTTGCCCATGGACAGTGGCACTAACAAACACAGCCAATGGATCAGGAAATGGTATTGTGGTATACTGATTCCACCACCTTGTCATAACTACAGAAACATAGAAACCCAATACAAAAGAAAGCGGTATTAAACTACCATAATCATAACAATATTTGACTATTGTTTCAAATAATCTGAAACAGTTTTATTAACTAATTTATAAACTTTCTAATATTCGTACTACTTACGCTTTGCCTGTTTCATCTAATAACAGTCTGTATGTTAAATTTAAGCCATAATATATCAGTAAAAACACTATAAGATCGATCCATACAAGCTTGTAGATACTTCCCCTCCACCTGTAATTAAATATATTATGTTATTTACAGTGTAATTTAACTGCTACTATTTAGCATACCTTGCAAGCAATTTTAAAAAGCATCCTAGGCCCCTACAAGTAGCAACTTCCCCAGTATAAGTTACTGTCATATTAGAAAATTATATTTATTAAAATTGCATAGATAAAATGAGATCAGTTTAATTCAGTATTGCTTCAAAAATTAATATTAACTAGATGCTGTGTAAAATATACAGAATACAGAGTTTTGATGATATCTATTAATGTAGTATGATCAGAGGACGTCCGCGAATAATGATTCATAAGTCTAAATTTAAAATCATCACTAACTTTTGTCGGTTTTTAATTTTATAGTTATGACATAACAATTGCAAAAAGCAACTTTTTAACTATATTATTTATATTGTAAAACTAGCACGGGAAATGCTCAGTTAAAAAGTTATGCTTGATAATTAAATAAGACACATCATTTACACTCAACATTAACGTAGAAATAAACACATCACACTGCACTTTAAAGGTGGATAATTCTTTTAAATATTCAGAATCAACATAATTATTGGTTAGGACTGACATCACACATCACACGCCATTCTCTTTTGTTTATTCTTTGCTTTGCGATTCGAGATTCGATGTCTGATTCGATGGCGATTCGCAACTTAGTTGTCAGCAGTGTTGTCAGATTATCAAATGTCAGATGTCAGCAATGTCAGTTTATAAAAAACAAAAAAATGTAGGCTTGAATGTAGGATATAAGTTTGGATATAAGAAAGAGGAGGATAGATATTACTTTCTTTGTCAGATGTTAAAAATAGAGACATCAAGTTTGACGGCTAGAAATAAATTATTTGAACTTGTTATTGTCACCGGGTCTTTTACAGTTTCTATATTTCAAAAGTTTAGATAAATCTTAGAACATTTTTCTTTAGACTAATAACTATTGTTTTATTAATATTTTTTTAATTCTCCCGCCAAACCTAACATTGCGCGCCATTTCTTGCGTTGAGCGACGAGAGTGGCGTCCTCTTCCATAGTTGCCGTACCTTTGTCGGTTTTAATTCGGGTTCTTTAAAGAAGAAATCAAATTTTAAGAAATTTGACAATTTATTCACTGATTTTTTGTTCATAAGTTCATAAAGAATAATTATTTTGGAGTTATTAAATTTTAGGACAAAAATTTCAGAAATAAGTACTTAATTCGAATTGTAATGACGCGTCAGTAGGCCGCATCATATCGCGAGTGAGGTTGTAACGAGAAATTCCAGAAATGCTGCATAAAACTGAAAAATTCATGTGAAACGTTGTTTTTCTACCGTAAAATTTTTGAAAATGGAAGGTAAAGACGCTCAAAATGATAAATATCAGCCGGAAGGTAAAACGGAGGTGGAAAAAACCGTGGAAAAAGATAAAGAAACTGAGAGTTCAGGTGATACAAAAACAGACGCGAAGGAAGAAAGTCCAAATAAACCTACCCAAAATGGGGATGCCACTAACAAATCATGCGGGGAGTTAAATAATAGCGTAGAAGAATCGAATAAAAAGGTTGAAAAAGCGGATACCACTAACAAACCAACCCAGGATTTAAATAATAGCGAAGAAGAACCGAATGAAAAGGTTGCAAAAGCGAATGTAAATGTTGACAAGGAGGATAAAGACGTTGAAAAAGAGATTGAAAAAGGTGAAAAAGAGATTGAAAAGGGTGAAAAGGACATTGAAAAAGGTGAAAAGGACATTGAAAAAGGTGAAAAAGTTACTCGAGGTGTAAAGCGTAAAGCAAACGTTATTGAGAAAGATGAGCCTAAAGATACACTTGTGAATGATGAAACTGTAGAACAGAAGGAAAAGGAAAACGTCAATTTGAAGAATAATGATAACGTTTTAGAAGAAAATCAATCCCAAGGTTTGTTCAGGCATGAAATAAATTTTTTTCTCGTAGTTAGTTAAAATGGGAGATTGTCTAAAGAGCTGATGGGAGTTTTGTTGACAGTTTTCCATCTTAGCCTTGTCTACACATATCATTATTTATTGCACTACCAGGTAAGATGCAGTAAAGACCAGTGTACACACTGAAAGTTTTACCTGTGGTTTAGACCTGTCAGTTCTCTAGATGGTGTTCCATCTTAAGTTAGTTCAAGTAATACGCTCTGTTTCTTCATGTACACACAACATTTTACTCGATACATTTTGCGTGAACAAGAAAACGTTATGTGTACTTATGTGACATTATAAAATATATTTTTCTTATTATATAAAAACGTTTTTTTATGATAACTTTTAGACGATTCATCGGTAAGAGTTTCAGAAAGAGATGATACGATGGGAAAAGGCAAACGTGCAAGAATACCTAATAAAAGGTACAGCGATATATTGCTAACGCCGAACAACCGTAAGTCTATGGGTCAGAGTAAATTGCCATCTGATAGCTCGGATCCAGAACCGATAGTGGTGGTAAAAGAGGAACCGGTTGATACAACAGGATCTCGAGTTGATAGTCCGACGTTGCCACTTAAAAAGAATAGAGTACCTGGAGTAAGGGAAAATTTACAGGTAATTTTTACTTTTAGCTTTATTTTTTAACTCAATGTTAGTTATGTAATAATGTGTAACCCAGCTTTCTGAAAATACCTGCATCACGTGTTTTATTTGGGAATTTCTACTCCTAAACTAGATATCTGTGGTACTAAGGCAGAACCTGATATATGTCAACATTATTTCACATATCGTCGGTGAATATACAGAAAAGTCCACAGACTTCGAGACATAGGAAAATCAAGTCCATTTAGCGTGTGTCCAAATTTTGACAAATTTTCAAAAATGACAGTTTTGTTTAGACTGACGTTTAATTTCACCTGGCCTCTTAGTGAATGATTTCTTTTTATGGGGGTACATGAAATCTAAAATTTACGGCCATGAAGAAATTCAAAACTTGGAGCAGTTAAGGCAGAAAATATTTAATGCCTTTGACACTGTTACCTCTGATATGTTATCCAATGTGAGGAGGGGATTTTATGATCGTTTGGGTTATTGCTTTGAATAAGAAGACTAAGGAAGGAGCATAATGCTATCCATGTATTCATGCATGGTGGGCGGAAAAGCCACCATAAAAGCTCCCTAGGGTGGGGATCATTGACATTGTTTGACGATTCATTTGACACATTTGAATTTGATTTGAAATTTTGTGGATTTGTCAGTCTTTACGGAGCTTATTTTATGTTATTTATTATTTATTCTACTACTGATAGTTGTATAAAGGTAGTAAATCTAGATGGAAATTGTGGCAGAACTTAAATTAACAGTGACACTATCGCGATTTATCGAAAAAGACTCTAAAATAGTTGGTTGTGTAGCGTGCGGTAGATCTCGGCAAAAATTGAGTGAAATAATGGAACAACTTTTCGCTATTAAGTGACTATATAATATACATACGTGTAGTAAACCGATCATTTATGAAATTCACTTAAATTAACTAAATTATATATTTTTCTTGCATTTTAGCTTTTATTTATTACTTGTCAAAGATTAGATGTCAAAGAATTTAGATACGTTAATTTGACTTACCTGCTTCAGTAGCGTATCGGATGTTTGTGTTAATAAATACTTATTATAACTTATCTATTTTTATTAGAATCATATATTTTTATAGCAATTTTAATAACTACCAACATTTATTCACAACGTAAAATAAAACAACAAATTATTGAGTCTGCCTCACGTCTACCCTACATCATAGTTTTACATTTTTTAAATAAAATTAGAACGACACTGATAAACCGGAATTTAAGTCGGCCATATTTGAGGCCCATCACGGTGTACCTAAGATTTTTGATATGCTCCTTCCTTAGTCTTCTTATTCAAAGGGTTATTGTTTAAATTGTAAGAGGGGGGCATTTTTGAACAATTTTTGTAATTTTTTAAATTCCATTATCCTATTTTTTTTATCGTTTACCCATTACCTACTTTGACGAACATGGAAAAACAAAGGTCCTTTTCAGGACCACAAATATTTTGATTGAGAAATTTGTTACTTTTGTTTTTTTTGGATTAAAAAAACAAAAGTTAATATAATATCAATTTAAAAGTGTTTTAGTAGTTTTAATACACACTATGATATAAAATTAACAATTTATTTAATATTAATAGAAATCCAAAAGGTTTGAAACCTCTTTTAGCGATTTATAACATTCTCAAATGAATTACAGGTGCCCTTATTTTCTATGAAAACTACACAGCTTTTTTCATAGTCGCTGCAGTTGCTATAGCTATAAAAAACTAATTTTTTAAGGTGTGAAAATTGCGACACACGCTAAATGGACTTGATTTTTCCTATGTCTCGAAGTCTGTGGACCTTTCTGTATATTCCTAATTTTACTGGAGTGAAAAGAATCGGTACAAAAAATATGTACAGGGTAGGCCAAATTGGACGCTTTTCAAGGGAAACACCTTTTCTATAGGAAATAGACGAAAACTAATATCGGTGTCTGGAGCTCAATTTTCATCAAAAACACGATGGTGAAAACCACACATCAATATCTGTTACCATTTCGGAGTTACGGAGTATGTGCATTTTTAACAAATCGCTGTAACTTTTTTCCTATGGAAAATTTTGTATTTTTATGAAAATCATTTCCAAAGCACCTTTTTACGTAGAAGTTAATGGTTTAAGTTAATTATATTTAAGTAATTATATTTTTTTTTAAATTAATAATTTAAGAGTTATCAACAGAAAAATTAATTTTTTATTTGGGACACCCTGTATATTTCTAATTAACTGAAAATAACTTAAAATTACCTTTCCAAAAATATAACACACTTAATATTTTGTAATAGTCCTATTTGAAATACAAAATTTTTAAAAGTTCGCCACTTTTAACTAGTAGGGTTTGGACCCCTTATTGATGCTCTACCCCTAATGGAACTCGAAAACATATTTTTCCAGCAAGACGAGGCGCCGCCTCGTAACGCTGAAGTGATCAGTAAATTTTTGTAATCAATTTCGAGAATAATTGAATCCACCAAAATCCCAGCCGTTGGCCTTTGAGGCCGCCGGACTTAGCGCCTATGGATTTTTATCTTTGCAGAAGAATAAAGGTTTTTATTTTTAAATTGCCCGTATAATCTAAAGAATTAGAAGTACCTAGCGGTTATGCGAGGGTATCTTTCACCCCCACTGAGTTAATGAATTCCGCGAGAAATGTTCACAAACGGTCCTGTCTGTCCATAACAGAAGACGGTCGACATGTCAACACCTGTAGAAAAATCTCATGTGGTTTGCTATCTATTTTTATTGTTATTAGATATATTTTATATGTTAATGTTGTTAAATATAGTTTAAATTGTTATAAAATTCTGCATCTTTCATTGCAAATATTATTATCGTTTTAATTGCTGCTTACAGGTAGAATTTTTTTGCATTACAGCCGGCGCCGTTCAAAGTCTACTTATTCAAAGTGAGGGAATTATTAAAAACTCTAAATCTCGAAGAGGAATGGAGCGAAATATCAAATTTACTATTTACTTTTTGGAAAGGCGATTTTAAATTCTTTTCAATGAAATAAAAATATACAGGGTATCTCATATCAAAAGTCAAGTTTTCTGTTGATAATTCTTAAATTATTAAGTTTAAAAAAAATATACTTAAACCATTAAATTCTACGTAAAAAAGTGCTTTGGAAATGATTTCATAAAAATACATAATTTTCCATAGTAAAAAAGTTACAGCTATTTGTTAAAAATGTACATTTTTGAAAAACACCCCGTAACTCTGAAACGGAAAAAGATATCGATGTGCGGTTTTCACGATCATGTTTTTGATAAAAATTGAGCTCCAGACACTGATATTAGTTTTCGTCTCTTTTCTATAGAAAAAGGTGTTTCATTTTATAAGCGTCAAATTTGGCCCACTCTGTACGCTTGTAGCAAGTATATTCAATTTGAAGTAGGAACAATAAAACTCGTAAAACAATAAATATTTCCTTATAAAGGACTTAACGTAAAATTATGTATTAAACGTATTATTTTATTAAAGTCAAAAATGCAGGTAGCAGGTGAAGAGTCTATTACGTTGTACTTTCGGGTCGCTCTCAGGGGTCGGGTAAAGCGGAAACGGGGTCGGGTTTGTGGAAAGGAAATATATATTTCAGAAATCTGCCTAAAGCTTAGCTTGAACCTGTTGTGTTAAGCCTCACCCAAAATTCTAAACACACGTGCTTTGATTAAGGCCTGATTAAGGTTTGCAGAGCCGCAGCATTTGCCATAAAATAGCGAGCAATTTGTTATAAAACCACATAAATTATAATATATCAGATCACTGTAATCACAAAACTTCAATCTATTTCCGTATTGTAACGGAATTTTAAATTGTCTTTATTTTCGAGAACATTTAGTCCAAACATAAGGAATATTTTGTTGATGTTTGACCATCAAAATCTAAAAAATAAAGTTGTCTAAAAATGTGCTACAATAGGGGTATAGTATAATCCTTTATCTTTAATTTCTTTCTTCATTTACCTAGCCAGTTTTACATAAAACGTTAAATGCCGAACGCTTATTTTGCTACTTTTTCGGACTAGTGAAATGGACTCCTAACACATTTCACAGACGATATATATATATATATATATATATATATATATATATATATATATATATATATATATATATATATATATATATATATATATATATATATATATATATGTATATATCGGATTTTGCCTTAGTAACGCAGACATATTTTTTTCTAGGAACCGAAATTTTTGAAACCATTCAAGTTTGGTTGGAAACGAGAATTAGTATGGCGCTCGACAAGCACCACGTCCAAACCAGTAGGCGATATTTATTACTACACGCCGACTGGGAAAAAAGTGCGTTCCTTTAGAGAACTCGCCGACTATTTGCAATCAGTACCCAGTAAAAATCTCACAGTGGAGAACTTCTCCTTTACCAAAGAACCGATCGGTCTGGATAATCCGGAAAAGGAAATTATCAGGGATGCAAAAATTAAATCGTCGGAAAATGCTATCGAGAGCCCTGTGGTCAAGCCCGTGGAATCTATTAAGAAATCGAAGAGGGTGTTAAGCCCTAAAGCTACGCCCAAATTCATTACAGAATCAACAAAGGCTGATGTTACTCCGACAAAGAATAGGGTTGAATTGACTTCGGCCAAATCTACGCCGATCAGTGCTAGTAAAAAGGTATGTATGTTTTTTTGTAGAGAGATACTTTACCGTATATACAGGGTGGTCCGAACTGTATTCCCGAAACTTCGGCAGCATATTCTGCAGATAAAAATAAGTAAAAAAGTTCGGATAAATGTATGTCCTAAGATGCTTAGTTTCAGAGCTATAGGGTTTTTTCAAAATCATTTCTGAAGTAACGTCAATATTTGGATGAAAATTGGCGTCTGGGAGTTTTTTGGCATGAGAAGTTTGATTTTGATGTCAATATGACTCCTACTAGTAGAGGGCGCCACCTACATATTTTTTAACTGGTATGAAGAGTAATAACTTTTCATCCGTACCTGTATAAAACTAACGAGTAAAAAAATATACATTTACAACGTTTTTTAAGTGAAAAAGGTCTCTTGGTAAAAACCGCTACGAGTAATGGTTTTCGAGATATTTGGAATAGAAATTATCAATACTGTCATGATTGACATAAATTAAACATGTTGACTAAATAGTTATTAAGCCACAATAGGCCTTCGCGGCTGCAGTGGAGGTAAGTGCGGCTTAGTCAATACAAATAGTTATTAGACTGAAGACTGAGGGCCTACAAAGACTTCTTGATAGACTGTCCTCGGTGGGCGACTCAATGGGTCTCAGGGTAAATACAAACAAAAGTCATGGTGATAGAGATGCAAGACAGGCAACGGAGGTAGTCATAGGTGGGACACCAATAGTAAGAGTCTCAAAGTTTAGATATTTGGGCAGTTGGATTAGTGAAGACCTAAACCCAGACATTGAGATCAGAGCTCGAATTGAGATGGCTAGATCAAACTTCCTAAAATTGTGGAACCTAGTGTGCGATACAAGTCTCAACATCCATATAAAAGACAACTTCGTCAAGTGCTACGTACTTTTCACACTTCTCTACGGGGCTGAGTCGTGGACACTCAAAGTAAGCGCAATGAATAAGTTGGAAGCATTTGAGATGTGGGTATATCGCAGAATGCTGAGAATACCATGGACTGACCGTGTCTCGAATGAACGAGTTCTAAACCAAATGAACAAGGACCGAGAACTCCTCGACATAATAAAAAAGAGGAAAGCAGCCTATTTGGGCCATATCATGAGACATAGCAAGTATGAATTCCTTCAGCTCATCATCGAGGGTAAAATTGAGGGAAAGGCCGGACCCGGACGACGGCAATGCTCCTGGCTGAAGAGCATCAGAGATTGGACAGGCCTGGACTCACATACTTTGCTGAGAAGAGCGAAAAATAGAGAGGAATTTGCCATGGTTGTTGCCGATCTTCACTGAATGGAGAAGGCACTTTAAGAAGAAGATTAGACTGAAATCATAAATTTGAAATGTTTTTGTGCCGAATGTTCAACAGAAACTGTTTTATCATCATTTTTGCAGAAAAAAATTATGATTAATTTAAACAAATAAAAATTTCACAAATTTATATAGTTATTTCAGTGAAATAACTATCTATTCAACGAGTATATTTTTCGTAAATAATGACATGTATTTACTATTCCCATTCGAAATATCTTAAGAACGGTTGCTCATAGCAATTTTTACAAAGAGATATTTTTTACGTAAAAAAACATAGAGATGTATATTTTTTCACTCGGTAGTTTTATACAGGTACGGACAAAAAGTTATTGCGCTTCAAAACAGTTAAAACGCATGTAGGTGGCGCCCTCTACTAGTAGGAGTCATATTGACATCAAAATCAAATTTCTCATGCCAAAAAACTCCCAGACACCAATTTTCGAGTTAAGTAAATCAGTTTAGCGTCTGACTATTCGCGCATTTACTTTATTTAAATTTAATCTCTGACATATTTAAACAAAAACAAGAAACGGATATGATGAATATCTAAAATAACAGGTCGAAATAATGCCATTACCAATAAAAAAATAGTAGAATGTAGAATGTTTAGGAGGGGAGTTAATCACCGCGACCTTATAGATCTATTGTGTGTTCCCCTTTCTTGAGTTATAACGAGTTATAACTCATCATACAGTCTCAGGGCTTTAACAAAAGCCAGTATCTGAGACGGCTCCACAGAGGCCAGCTCTCCATCCTCGACATCAGACGTACCAAGGTTCATGGCACGAATGGTCGTCGTCTCGACGCACTCAGTGATAAGGTGTTCTGGTGTTTCCCCATTTTCCCCACAAAATCTGCATTCGCCGTTGTTTCTCAGTTTCAGCCTACTGAGGTTCGTTGAGGAGACAGTGTCCTGTTAGAAACCCCGTGACAATCCGAAGATTGTTTTTACTTAAATCAAGGAAAACCTTTGATTTTTCTCGGTCATAAGTTATGAGGAACTTTTTCGAGTGTCTTTGACCTTTGGAGGACACCCATTCCAAGTTACGGATGGAGTCTTCCAGATTCTTCAGTTCCGCTTTCAGTTGGTTCCCGTTTGGAAAACAGAACGGTTCTGGTCCAGTTAGTGGAGTGTTCGCTCCCTTTCTAGCTAGCTCCTTTTCATTGCCTTCTATCCCTTGGTGAGCAGGCATCCAGAGTAGGAGGACTTTATTTTCTTTGCCTAATTTGTTGAGCTTCTCTAGGCATTCTTTTTCATTCGTTCAAAAAATAGTATATTGTACGTTATTAATATTTACAGTTTAAAATAGTGCGCGGGCAGGTGACAGCGTTCAGCGATGAAGTAGACGAATCAGATCGTTTTATTTAGAATGGAATATCATAGGGCAACTTTTGACATTTTCACTTAAAAAAATCGTATTTTAAATTTTAATCTAGAATGCCATGGCTGTGTTAAAAACAGTAATTTTAATTAAGATGCCTTGGAAAAATAGGTTTGATCGTCTATTGGTTTTTGCGTCTTGTCCTGGCCAGTTAAAAGGTGCCCAAATCCTATTTTTAATCATATCTCAGTTTTTTCCAATGGAACAAGGGTTAATTGTTGGCATATTTAGAAAAAGCATTTTTTATGAATAATTTTGTACGGTAAATATTAAAATCGCAATCCCAGGTTATAGTCGCTGCGATTTAAAAATTGTATATAACCATAAAAAACATAATTTCTGGATAATATGGCAACATAGTAGATTAAATTTACAAGAAAGAAAACCCATATGTTAAAAGATCCAGTATCTCCAGTAAAATTTAAGCTAAAAATGTTTTTTTTTGAAATTTTCAAAGTAAAATAACTCGGTTATTTTGGACTTATTTGAAAAACGGTAAAGGGAAAATATGTTTTTTTATCGAGATCTACCAACCCTGAAAATATTTGCACTTATTTAAGACTCACCCTATACTTATAGTAGTTTTACAGGTAGTATTTGGTACTTGCTGGTCATTTGTCAGTTGGTTGATGAATTGTCAAATATATTATTACCTAGGTTTAAAAAATATAACTTTTGTTGTAGACGAAAATGCCTGCTAAGAAAGGCAGAGGTCCTGCCCCAAAACGAGCAAGATTATCAACTACCAAAAACGCAGAACCTGCTAAGGTTGAGAGTACTCCTGTAAGACCCAGTCCCACAAAAACCAGGTAATTTTTATTTTGTTTTTGGGCTAAAACTATGTATTTTTATTTGCAGTTGATATACTTTTTTTCAGTATGTACTAAATAACTTGTTTCTCTTAATTTATTTACTTATTGGCTAATATTTTATACAGATTTTTCTATTTAGTGTCGTTAGGAGTTTTATTGTTGTAAGTTTCTGTATTGGTGGATCATTGAATGTGTCTTTAGTCATATAAGAAGGAGTTTATACATACATATAGAAAAATCTAAGGTTTTTCTTGTTTTCTAATATACAAACAATATCTAAGTAGCACACACACAAGTTGATCTAAAATGTTTGAAATAATTAGCTATTCTCATTTTGCTTATAAATAATAATAAATTAAGAAAATATTTATATTTTATATATTACATATTAAAAAAAATACGTTTTCAATCTCCAGACACGAATTTTTCAGTGATTTTTTTATCTAACCAACACAAACACTTTAATTTTCAAGTATACGACGTGCAAATGATTGAGTGCAATATATTTCTCAGCCAAATGCTTTAAAATTCTCAGGTGAATGCAAAAAATTAAGTTGGTTTTCATACAGGGTGTGATAAAAAGTTTGCAACAAATGGATTTTTTTTTTACTATTTAATTTTTTAAAAGAAGTTTGTTTTTAGTAATTTCTTCAACATGCCTAGCAATAACAAAAAATATTTTGACACTTGTCATGTGATAGTTGTCAATTACGAAAATCTTCTTTTAGTATGCTAAAACTGGCTTTAGGTTAGGTAACAAAATATCCACAAAAAGTTATATAGAAATTGATTTTACATCTACTTTTTTACAAAAAATATTAGTTTTTGCTATTCCTTTTTTTGTAGGATATCCAAACAACCGTTGGTTTTTTTAAATTACATAAAACATAATAAATCCAACAAGAATAATATTTGTTCTTGCATGGCAGTAAAATTAAATTAATGCTTTACAAACAAACAAAAATCAAATGTAATAAAAATATTTTTATTAGATTTTCTTTGTCTCATGTTAGTTAAAGGTATTTGCATTTCTTTCAATAGTTCAAAACTGATATTTTTTTGAAAGTCCCTGTATATTTATGAAACTTGGTACACATACATATAAAGGTGGGTATTCACTTGCAACAAAACACTCCGAACGAACCAAACGCGCCGCGCACTCCAAACAATCTGAAAGAAAACATTTTCCGGGCGCGCTCTGAACGACCTGCAACAAAACATTTTGCGCGGAGCGTTCCGCCTGTTTACGGTGTTCGCTGCGTTCCCACCAGTAATCAGTGTTAGTGTGTTTGTCGACATGGATGCATCTGATATTACCATAGCAGCTGGTGCTTTTTTAATTATAGAGGCATTAGCGGGTAACAAAAAAGAGAAAAAAAGGAAAGAACGAAAAATGTGAGTAAGACGCTTCTTTTTGCGCCGTCAAAATATGGCCTTACTTAGTGACCTAGATTGTATGCATATGAAACATTTTACAAGGATGGCTGCAGAAGATTTTGATAATCTAATATGCTTAGTAGGTCCTAATTGCGGTGCACCCTATATTATTAGCAATTGCCACCCAAGCATCATGTTTCTTTACTTTGTTATAATATGTCTCATTTGTCGGGTCCCATAAAATAGGCTGCTTCTCAAACTCATCAATTAACTCTAAACACTTTTCTCTGTTCCACTCCATAGCTAGGCACAGTTTAAAAGCACCACAAACACAACGAACGTTCAAAACTGCCGTATCCACTGAACACCGGCCAACGAACAAATTCTTTTGAGCAAATCCCGTTTCCTGACAAGCTTCGGAAAATATTTGGCGCGTTCGGTTCGGTTCGGCGCAACGTATTGACTACACTAATTCGTTACAGCGCGCGCGGAGCGTTTGGTTCGTTCGGAGTGTTTTGTTGCAAGTGAATACCCACCTTAAAATTAAATTCTTTCAAACAAGCTTTGAATAAAAAGATTAATGAAGGGGTATAATGCTATACATGCATGGCAGATGGAGGTGGGACCCTAGGGTAGGGATCCTGGACAGTTCTGTTTGACAATTAATTTGACACACTTGAATTTGCTTTGAAATTTTGTGGATTTGACAGTCTTTACTGAACTTATTTTATGTTATTTATTATTTATTCTACAACTGGTAGTTGTTTAGAGGTAGTAAATCTAGAAGCATTTTTTTTGTGGTGGAACTTAAATTAACAGTGTCACTATTGCGATTTATCGAAAAAAGAAACTGTAAAATAGTTGGATGTCTAGCGTGCCGTAGATCTCGGTCCAAAATCTAGGGAAATAATGGAATAACTTTTCACTAGTAAGCGACTATACCGCGTGCGTCTCAAAAGTGGCTCACCCCTATAACTTTTTTATTTTTTCAGATAAAAGAACGATATTTGGTATGGTTTGGTTTGGTTTGGACGTATTCAGTTATTTTCGGTCATTTCCTGTTTCACCGGAAATGACTACAACTTTTGATTTTTAAATGGCATCCTCGGTATTTTTTTACTTTATTCGATAGAAAATAACACTCTGAATAGAATGACATATCATATGTCAACTTCTGACATTTTTTGTATATATTTTATTTGAATTTATAACTGGCGGTTCGTAACGAAAATTTGACTCGAAATACCAAGTAAGTGTATGGTATCAAATTATTCGTAAAAAAATGCTTTTTCCAAATATGCTAATGAGCCACCCTCGTTCCATTTGAAAAAATTGAGATATGATTAAAAATACGATTTGGGCATTTTCTAACTGGCCAGGACGAGACACCAAAAACATTAGACGATCAAATCTATTTTTCCAAGGTTCTTTGATTAAGAATTAGTGTTTTTAACGTGGCCATGACACTCTAGATTGAATTTTAAAATACAATTTTTTATTAAGCGAGAATATCAAAAGTTGACATATGATATATCATTCTATTCAGAATGTCATTTTCTATCGAATAAAGTAAAAAAATACCGAGGGTGCCATTTAAAAATCAAAAGTTGTAGTCATTTCCGGTGAAACAGGAAGTGACCGAAAACAACTGAATACGTCATTCAATCCTAATTTATGTCATATACTAACATACCAAATCTCGTTTTTTTATCTGAAAAAATAAAAAAGTTATAGGGGGTGGGCCACTTTTGAGACGCACCCTGTATAATGTACATACGTGTAGTAAACCGATCATTTATGAAATTACTTGTGTCTAGCCCCAGCAAGGCAACTATTAAGCTTGACCAATCACGTTAGAGTTTTGAGTTAGAGCGGATGCAGAACAGCTGTGGCGCACTATATAATTTATTACAAACAAATAAAGAAAATCAATGAATATCTAAAAAAACAAATATAAATTAGTAAAAACCAACCAACCCCACCAGATAACCAACTAACCAATGAATTAACACTCTCCAAATAACCCCGCTAACCAAAACTTAATAGTTGTCTTGCTGGGGCTAGACGCAAATCTGAAATTAATTTAAAATTAACTAATTATATATTTTCACTACTTGTCAAAGAATTTAGATAGTTGATTTAGATACGTTAATTTGACTTACTGCTTCAGTAGCGTATCGGATGTTTGTGTTCATCAATAATTATTATAACTTATCTATTTTTATTAGAATTGTATATTTTCATAACAATTTTAATAACTACCAACATTTATTGACAACGTAAAATAAAACAACAAATTATTGAGTCTACCCTACATCATATTTTTACACGTTTTGAATAAAATTATAACGGCACTGATAAACCCGATAAACTGGAATTTAAATCGGCCATTTTTGGTCCCCATCGCACTCGAACTAATTTTTTTGATATGCTGCTTTCTTAATCTTTTTGTTCAAAGCAAAGAACATTCAAAATTCTAACAATAACAATTTTTCTCTTGGAAATATTTCAATATTTTATCATTTCGGTTTTTGCATATGGATAACAACGAGGATTTTGTAATTTATCGCCATAACAGAGGCTTCATGACATGTCAATTATTTTGTTTTTGAGCATGCTGACGAAATTCTGCATAGACTTTTTCAATAAACCAATGAAAAAAATATCCTATTTATTGCGAATTTTTTACTCGCTCTATATTGACCTAAAACAATGTTCTACATATTATTGGGTTTTAAAGATTACGCATCATACTTTTATTTGTTCCCAAATCCTATTCCTTAATACATATTGTAAATCTTCTTTTTTTATCCCACATCCTTTATCTTTTCCCCGCTTTTATTGATTTGATATTAGGCAAATTATTTTTATTGGAATGTTCTAGCTAAAATTGACTTACTGACTAAAATGTTAGTCGTAAGTAAGTATACGTAATATATTAAAAACCTTATTTTTGTCGTGTTATTTAAATGTGACAAGAACGAAAAATTCTCAGGCATAAATTATCCATAAAAAATTCCAGCAAACCATTTCTGGAACCTTGCTCTATACAATGTGCCGGATGCGAATGGGTAGTTCCGACACTCCAATGTAAGCTGTGCTTGTGCTTATACCATCATGCTTGTGTGGGATTGACCGGTAACGTGTCATATCCATACGTTTGCAAGGTAAGAATACTGTCACCCTATGGGCATAACCACAGCGCAGAATATTTTAGCAATACAGAAGCGACAGTAAGCGGCGCTTTTTTTGATGTGTGTGTCTTAATTTTTTTGTCCTTGAACTAAATATGTAAGTTACTTGTACAGTGACAAATAGTTATTTTTTATACAAGACGATAAAATGGTAAATTACTAATTTCGGGAGACGATAATGCAATTTTATCGTCGTGTATAAAACAATATTTTTTTCCATAGCGAGTTACGTTTTAAAAAATATTCAGAAATTATTATTTCAAGGAATTTATTACGCGTAGAAAAAATATTGTGCTGGGTTGGCGTTGGTTTCTATGTATATATATAAAACAGGGTTCATAGCGTCCTACGCCTTCCGGTACCCAGTTGCCAGCCTTTCCTATTCTCTCAATCCCCTGGATGGAGGTTTCTCTCCGACATAGCTTTATGTATCTTCTTAGGTTTCTATGTAATTTGACAAATAAATAAAGCTATCTCTTTAGTTGTCGGTTTTGAGTCAATATTTTTTAATTCTCTTTCTCGTGTCGATTACTGATTGAATGGACATTGGTTCAAAACGAAATAAGTAAATTACCAACAGATATTCAGGCTGAGGCGACAAACGCCAATTTTAACAGTTGCTATGGAAAAAAAGTTATTTCTTTATATAGGCTATGTGCATTTCAACGGATTTTTAAAATTCACGACGCAGCGCTCGGTACGGCAGAAGTCAGAACTATCCGACTTAGTTTATTTCACGCCGTCTCTGTTACCGTTCATGTTGATCGCAAAAATCGTAAAAAGAGTACTCCTGCGATTTTTTGCTCCAGTTATCCCATCACTAATTATAATACACGTTAAACATTCTGAAGGTATCAAAAGATTTATATTTTTATTATTTTTTTAGGATGTTTGCAATTACTAGTTTACATTGCGGTTTTTTCACGATTACTTTTCATATAACAATCCGCTAATACAAATTTGATTAACGGCGTCATTAAAATTGTGGCTTAAAAATTTATCAAATAAACTCACTTAAAATTTAGTCCATGAATAAATCTCCCGTGTCGCTTCTGTATTATTATGTAATTCTGTGATTGGGATCCAAGATCTTTATTCTGTAGTATTAGCGCTGTTTTACATGGAGCTTGCCAACTTGAATTAACCAACAGACGGACGATCCCCTTCATGTGAAACTGGACAAAAGGGACGATCAGAGCGGACTGTCCGCCCCATGTGAAATGGCACTCGCAGACAAGTAAAAATCATGTGGACGCGAGTTCTGCTGAGTGGCTCAAATATTTTATTATTTGATGGATATTTCAAACTCATACCTAGCATGTGGGGGATTCCATTTTTACTGCTATTTATGATGTATACTCTTTTAGTTTTGTCTGTTTGTTTTATAAAATTTAAACCATTATTGAAATGCGCATACCAGTCAGAGCACGTGTTCCCGTGATATTTACCGTAGCCGATTTATAATTTCCGAATTTCTATGTTTTAAACAGAACTGTCAAGTCGAACACGGCGAGAGTTCCGAAGATGCGATTTCAAACACTGTTCCCCCTCCACTCACACCGATAAATACACTAAAGTCCGTCACCGCACCGATTTCTAGTTCTTTACCGAAACTTCAAAGAATTCCCAGGGTAGAAACGTCAGAACCCTTACCTCCACTTCCTCCATTATCTTATATCACCACTCCGCCACTTCTCAGTCCTGTCAGGACAGAACTACCCAAACTGATATCCAAACCCACCCAAGAAAAAGTCCAGGAAGGTACGAAATCGTCTTTGGTGGGTGCCGTTACTACTTGGCTACCCCATAACGTCAAGCTGATTAATAGTAGCGAAGAACCTACCGAAGTCCTTAGGCCACAGTATTTGGAGTTTTTGGGCGGTAGGAAGTACTTGGTGATTCCGAAACATAATTTTATGTCCGTGTCCTCCGCGACTTCTTCGACTTTGAGATCTGAACAGACTGTAACTCCTGCGAATTCTTCGATTCCCGAAGCCCTTCAGCCCGCGGAAATTTCCGCTTCGTGTGCTAGTTTGGGTTTAGACACGACAAACAATAATAAAGCCGAACCTTTGGAGGAAATTAAGGAAGAGCCGTTGTCGCCTTCGAAAGTTGACGAGAAAAGTCAACAAGATGATGCTATGGAGGTAGATACTACTCTGGTTCCAAGCGATACTAATGCAACAGAATCTAAGGAGCTTGGAGATGATGGAGTGGGTGAAATAGATGACGAGTGAGTTTTGAGTATTTTCCTACGCTCCACGATAAATGATCGATTTGTAAACATGTTTTCTAATAGTGCTGCGTTCCTATGTACAAACCTAGTAATTCTAAATCTGTTGTGTGGATTTTACTGTGTAAGATAACGGTAACGATATCTTAATGGAAAAAATATAATATATTCCAAAGAGGTAAAACACGAGCTGGTTCATCTTTTCTATGCGCTGTTGCCTGATTCTACACTAAAAATTCGCAACGTTCTTATTAGGCTTCATCAATATACCAACGATCAATTAGTTGCTTTACAGTTAAATTAAAGTCATACCAATTAAACTTTTAGTCACGTGATTAAGCTTGACCTGCACAACGTTGCCCACTTTTACATAATTTCTTTTAATCAAAATATTTTAGGGAACAAAAGTAAATTAATTATAATTATATAAACAGTTATTATTTACATCAACAAAACTCACCTCCGTAACAGTACTTAAGGGACATAAAGGGCCATTACTACCGCATTCCCGTTCAAAATATTTTAATAAGGTTGCGATGAGTTTTTTTGCAATGGTTGCTGTCTTGTACACTTTGCATTAAAAGAGGTGCTAAAAAGAACAATGTTCGACTGCATGGTCTGCTAAAAAATTTTAAGCTTAAAGTATCACAACATAATTCAGTTGAACTTCGTAATACAATAGTAAAGTGTCAAAACGAATGACTATGTCAGGAAATAAAGAAATAAACGTGGCAACTTGACATTTTTTACAGCAGAGCTACCACCTGAATCCCCAGCGGGAAATTTAAATTCCAGTTAGTCAGCTCGGCGCCGAATATGTTCATGGTTGGCAACAATGAATTTAAAAATCGCGCCCTCGATTACATAACTAAAAGCAATTGGTATCGCTTGTATCTTATATAATACTCCAAATTCTACTGGTTTATCTGCTTAATGCAATTTCATTTCTACCTGTTTTATTATAGATTATGGTCTTTCGCATGTAGGATCGGTGAACCGTGCATTTCTTTGTGTCTTTGTCTATTAACTGGTTATGATGTTGGTAAACTATCTTTATCTTTGTCTTATACGTTAAAATACAGACTACGGATTTATAATCGGACTGGCATATGATCTAGGTTCTCAATATGTGATCTGAGGTAGTATACAGTGGTGATCCACTGTATTCAGTGGTGATCCACTGTATACAGTGATGATTTACTGTTACCTAAAGCTTCATTTCAAGTTGTCTTTTTTTTGTTTCATTTTTTTTAATGATATACATATACCAAAAAGAATTTGCACTGTTTTTATTAACGAATTTGTGATAAATGTAATTTGAATTAGCGATGGGAAAATCGGTTCGACATGAACCGCATTAAAATAGCGACCGTTCCAGAAAACTACCGCGATTTTGGAACCGAGGTTCCAACTTCCAAAGTGTTGCTTTCTTTTATCGGCCACTCATTTTCCAAATATCGAGTTTATAATTGTGTATAGCCAATCTATCTAATTTTTAGAAAAACGATGACATTCCTTGTATTTTTTTTCTTTATCAATTTTCGTTTAAATAAAATAAACAGCTCATATTTATGTGTATTGCAATATAATATATTTAATGTTAAAATCAAGAACAAAGTCCAAACCACTGTCAAAAAAAAGTGTTTATTGGTCTAACCTAACCTTAAAAATAGATATAAACAATAAAACTTACATAAATGTATAAAAGCAAATAAAATATTTTTATTTTATTTGCTTTCGCGTTTCATCTTTCAAACAACACTATTTTATACCATGCCTAGTACATACCAAAAATCGCTATTTCGAAAGTAACGTAGCGACGGGAGCACCAACGCCAATAGTAACCGACCAAATCGCGACAGGCAAAACCGAAACCCTAGAAGCGCTCTAGCGACTGCTGGGAGTACGTGGCCGCCGAGGTCGAGGGTCGATAATCAGTTACAGCAGTTACTTCTGTTCGCGACAGGGAACTAAAAATCTAGGAGCGCGACGGCTGGAGCGAATTAGGTCGCCGCCGAGGTCGAGTGTCGATGCTCAATTACAGCAGTTACTTCCAAATTGAGACAGGCAAAACCGAAACCCTAGAAGCGCTCCAGCGACTGCTGGGAGTACGTGGCCGCCGAGGTCGAGGGTCGATAATCAGTTACAGCAGTTACTTCTGTTCGCGACAGGGACCTACAACTCTAGGAACGCGACGGCTGGAGCGAACACGTCCCGATCGAGATCGCGCGGCGCTACGGACATACCAGTTCCAGATACTACTGTTGGCGACCGACGAAATCGCGACGGCTGGAGTCGCTGGAATCGCGACACGTCGCTATGCGGTGACTACGGTTCGAGCTAACTTCAAGTGCGATTATAAATAATTTATAATTTTGCCGTAATTATGATCGTCGTTCTTCGGTAACAGGTTCCTGATTCGTTGTGGAGCGCGACACGACGTTACAAAAAATAGCGCTCCAAAAACGCGTTACTCAAATACCCACACATGACTAATTTGAATCATCATTAACAGTAACAAAATGTGTGCAAAAAATATTAAGCTTTAAATTGTTAACTGAAGAAGCTTTTTCAGAATAGTAATGGGTCACTCTTTATATCACCTAGATCAGTCATATGGAAAGCAGTCTTAAAAGTCTGAGTGTCTTATTATCAATTAAAAAAGTGTTAGGTGTTGAGTAATATAATTTTGTTTAAATTTTCAGGCTTTTATTATTATTTCCCTCAAACCATCGATCCTATTTTTGCGTAATCTAACCCAAAATCAAATATGTTTGTTACTTATTTAAATTATTTTTTTTACTTTTTGTTTGTAGGTGCGTAATCTTTTATTTATTAGACTATAATATACTCTGGTGTATTGTTGTATTACGTAGAATTTAATTTCTTTATTTGTTGGTTTCTACTAGATAATTTGTTTAACAAATCGTGTTGGCATGTGCTTTTAATGGTGAGTTATATTATTGTATTTCTAAACACTTTTATTTAAGAGTGTGTGTTTATGCAATTTAAGCCTGAAAATTATAACAAATATTATATTATCCACTAATATCTAGTAGGAACCATGTATCTGCAGGATTTTTTCGGAAACTTTTTTGTAAACTATTTTAGGGGATGCATTTTAATGATCATCGAGGGGCAAACCGCTGCAAAAATGGTGTACAATAAATACCAATTTTGGGAAAAAAGTACTAAAAATACGAAATTATTTCCAAAAAAATACCAAATTAGTATTATTCTTTTTAGTATTTAAAGTATTTAAGATATTGGGCCTATGCATGTCAAACTACGATAATTAGGTCAGAAAAACATATAAGCTTAATTCGAGTTCCAAAAAAGTACGGTTCTAGGACGGTTTAAAACAATCGCACAGTCTAATTACGACAATCATCATGTCAAAGTTGCAAAAAATTATATTGTGCCAGTGTTTTGAACCGTTCTAGAACCGTAATTTTGGGAACTCGAATAAAGCTACTGTCACACGTTTAAAAAGTCATTTTAACGGTTCCATTAACATCGATACTTCGCACATCGCACAAGAAAATTAAGAAAAGGTCCATATTATGTTTCCATGATGCGAGTTCTTTAATTTCTTGACATTTTTTCGTATGACGCTATGTACCGTTTTTGTGTAAAAAACATTTTTATGCATTGAAAAATTGCAAGCTTGGCAATTAATATCGGGTAAAAATAACCTATTTTTCAAATAGGCCGGCAACCTAACCTCGAAGCACAAGTGATTATTCTTAAGTATGTATATTACGAGGTATATTTTATTGCTAAGTAGGTACTTTACCTTGGAAACTTTAAAATACTTCATATAAAATAGGTCAACACCAAAAATTTTAGAAATGATGCAATCAGGTTCCCAGCCGTCGCCACGTGCGTCTAATCCAGCGTTGCCAGATGTCCAACAAAATACCTGTTTAATACCAGTTTTAATACCAAATAAAACCAGTTTATTACCACATAATACCAGTTTATTACCAAATAATACCAGTTTATTACCAAATTAGTACCAAAAATACCAAATTAGTACCAGAAGTACCAAAAAAATACCGCCAGTGGTTTGCCCCTCGATGATCATAAAAGTCAGGAATCACTCTCCGAAATATACTTTATTTTTGAAACATTCTGTATAGGGTGTTTTATGTTCGAGGATGGCCATTGAGATCTTGGCAAGCATAAGAGATGCGAAAGATGTCAAATTACCGAAAAGTTGACCATTTTATGACTAATAAAATGCACGTGAAGTAGCATTTATTTAAAGTAAAATCAAATAAAATTAGGAAAAAAAAGTTTTATACAATATGTTCCGCATTTTACCCGCATGTCATTTGAAATATTCGAAATGGTAAAATCTTGAAAATAGCATTTTATCGGACGTAAAATTTAACTTCGTACCTCTTATAGTTTTCGAGATCTTAATGGCCACACTCCAATTTAGGACATTCTGTACACATTTCAAAAGCTGCAAACTTAAAATTAATTTATTCTTTCATCTGTTATTCCAGAGCGAATCAGAGTCCTGCTAGTAAGTTGAAAAAACGCAATTTGAAATTGCGGAGTATCACCAATTCCAACACGGGTGCCGAAGATAAAGGTGAAACGAAATTTATGGAAAATTACTTGCAGAACTTGTCGTTTGGGTATAACACCCTACTCTACGTGTTTCAATATCTTAAAGTTCAAGATCTTCTAAGAGCAGGTAGGTTTAAAAATTTTGCTTCATAAATAGTAATATTGTATAATAAATTAGTAGTTTCAATTAGTTGTAGAAGTTTGTTCACCTAATTTTAATGTAAGCATTCAGAACGTCATAATTAGTGGTAGTAATTTTCAATTAGTGGAAAAAGTTAACACACTTTTGACTTTTCCACTAATTATACTTCAAAATTTGCGAGGAATTTCATTTTGGCCTTTGATTATCACCCGTCAAGAAAAATTTTGGTTTTTGAAATCAAAAGTTTATTGTTTTATAAGCTAAATATTAAGCTTTCTCCATGGATACAACAGACTACCGCAAGCTGTTGCTAGGATATTTTATTAATTTTAATTGTGTTTTTTAGACATTGTGAAATAGGAATTGAATGAAGTGGAATAAATTAGTGGTTTCAAGTACACTTTATACTTTTTATTTTACGATCATTAACAATGTTTAAAAAACACAATTAAAATTAATAGGGTATCCTAGCAACAGCTTGCGTTAGTCAGTTGCGTTAGTCATAGAGAAAGCCTAATATTTAGCTTATAACACAATCAACTTGATTTCTAACCACGATTTTTCTTGACGGAAGATAATCAAAGACCAAAATGATATTTTTCGCAAATTTTGAAATATAATTAGTGGAAAAGTCAAAAGTTTGATAACTTTTTCTACTAATTGAAAATGTCTACCACTAATTTTGACGTTCTGAATGTTTACATTGAAATTAAAGGAACAAACTTCTACGCTAATTGACAGCACTAATTTATTCCACTAATTGCTAGGTTCCGAATGAAGCTTAACAAACAAAAAATTATAAAATACAGAAGGTCACTTATATAACTTTTTAAAGTTAAACTTTTGTTTTAAAAGGTTGAACGTTATGTCACGGCACAAAACAATCGGTACGACAACTCTGCTCAGATTCCATTGTTCAAAATTTCTATAAAATTTGACCTTGACGGCGCCATTAGCGTTTCCAAGTCAGGGCCGGATTAAAACGTATCAAAAAATTTCTCAGATAGTAAACTATTGATAGACAGGGTCGTATTAAAAAAACTGTAATTAACTGAAACTGAATTTTATTTACACAATACTTTTGTCCAAACAAATGAATCGTTAACCGCGCATACTCCTCGAAAATCGTGCATTTTTTTTTAAATTTCCCTGTATATTTTTCGCAAACTTTTTAGAACTGCCTGTTCACCGCAAATTTTCCGATGGTATAATTTCTTAATCTCTGAGGGTGCATCCATACTGTCCTAGAAACAGTGTAACGGCGTATCGGCATTACGACTTTGAATAGATTTCCAGTAATTCTATTGGCTGAAATTTTTGACAGATGAATTTGACAGACAAAATTTCTGACAGATGAATTTTTCAGCCAATAGAATTGCTGGAAATCGATTCAAGGTCGTTACGCCGATACGCCGATCCGCCTTTTCGAGGATAATGTGGATGCATCCTGATATTACCATAGTTATAGCTATGGTTACGGCAATAAAAGGCATACAAATACAGAAAACAACATTTTCAAAAAAAAACATTTTTTTTTCAATTTTCAAACTTAAATAACTCGGTTATTTTGGACTTATCTGAAAAATGGTAAGGAGAAAATATGTTTCTTTTATCGAGATCTGCCCGCCCTGAAAAAATTAGCCTGCCGATTGATTTATATGCCGTGGTTATGTCATATATTGTCGAACTCTGTCAATCACTTGACAACCGGATGAAAGAGATTGGTGATGTCATTACGGCATTTCATAAATTACTGCATATTCTTTTTAGTAATTATGAATGTAATTTGATTTGGGGTTATAATTTTATTGACAGACGTCGCTCAATGTCAGAATAATAATCTGTTGTTGCTGTCAAACAAAATTCGTTTTTTTTTATTGGAAAAATGCCTCGAAGATTTAACTAAAATGTACAAGAGCTCATTGCTAAGCTTATAAATTATATTTCTTGAGAAAGAGACGCCGCGCGCCGGTAGAACACTCTTGCCCGTGGACGCCGTATATGAAGTAGGTACAATGCAAAGGTGTAATATTCTTATGCAAAATACATATTGATAGCGTTTTTAAATAATATAGCGAGTTACTGATACTTTAGAAATATGAATTTCAACAGTCCAAAGGATTGGAACTAAAGAAAATAACTAAAGCGGAAATCGCTCAATCAAAAATATAGGAACGTACTTAAAATTTTCTAAACAATATGAACTGATCTCAGACACACCGAAAAACTCACATTTGGCAAATAATGATGACGTCACGTTGAACGACGGCTGAACAATAGGGTGTCCGTTATTTCCCAAGTTGATATTTTTTTTGATGCCGCCCTCTGAAGTTTTAGTTTTTGGTCTAAAAAAAATTATCCAACGTAAACAAGCTCTAAATTTTTAATTTAAACCGTGCCGGAATCATGATATAGTCTGTCCAACGAGAAGATCCTTGACAGCGATAGATCTGTCTGTCATTTTAATTTCAAAGTAGTTTATTTTATTTTACAAAGAAATAAGTTGGTACAACTGGAACGCATAGCAGGAAATATTTAAAATTTGATTGACAAAATGAAAAGTGATTACTTCAAAATATTGAGAAAAAAACTCTATAAAACTGAAAAAATGTAATCGAGTTATTTTATTTAATAAAAACGGTATGTGTTAATACAAAACAAACAAGAACAAGACACTACATACCAAAAAAATATAAAAAAGAACTATTATTTACTTTCAAGCTTTATGAAAATACCCGCATTTATGATTATATTTATCAATATAACTTATGTACAAATACAAATTTGTAATATTCCACAGGAATAAATAAAACAACATAGGTAAATAAAACAAACTATTTTATTAATAATAACACCTACCAAATTTTATACCTTAAAGGTTGACTAATTAACTTTAATCTTAATTTTTTTAAACCAATACCTTTTGACATTATTTTTCTGCAGTACTAAAATCCATTATTTACCTATCGTGTGATGTCGATATTTTACAGCTACTCCAGTTTTTAGTACGTGTTTAGTTTGATCCTTCTACCATATACGAGATGCACTTATCTACGACGAAATGGTATACAAACTTTATCGATGGCAACTTCATTGGTGTATAAGACTTTCTGCCTGGACAGCAAGTATTAACCATAAACTGTGCTCTGGGTCTACAGTTAATTTTCACTCGATTTTTCCTCCACTTAACTTCAAAAGACACAAAACACACGTAATAATACGAATCAAAATGCATCATCTTCCAAAACGCAGGGTATTTAACAAAAGTTGACACAAAATTATAACCTATAATTTGGCAAGACTTTGACAAGCGTCAAAAAATGACAAAAATCTAAAGGCGAGTTCATACGCATCGGCGTCCGTTTGTCATTCATCGTTCCGTCAAACCAATAAAATTGAAATACGATCTGTCATTTTTTAAATAAACCAATAAAACTGGTTAAAAACAACAAGACACGAAGTATGACGGATTTATATTTAAACCCATCCATAGATAACTTAAAAATTATTAGAAACTTTTTTTAGTAAAATAAATAGATTGGTATGGGACGTCATCTGCTTTTCTTCTGTCATCGTCTGTCGAAATCTTACCTGAGAAAAAAAACAGAGTATACCTTTCCCGTATAAATAACATGGGATTTTCTGACCTTTTGACTTTTTTTTTAGACCAAAAACTAAAACTTCAGAGGGCGACACCAAAAAAAATATCAACTTGGGAAATAAAGGACACCCTACTGAACAGTCTTTACATATTTATATTTTTATATTTCAGGTTGCGTTTGTACCATGTGGAGGGACATAGCAAGCCATCCGATTTTGTGGCGGACCGTGCGAATGAAGAACTCCCAAGTGCACAGTTTCGACGGCCTGGCCAATACCTTAAAGAAACACGGTACCACGCATTTGGATTTGCGAAAAATGCTGCTTCCCAGTAGCGGCGACGAGATCTGGCCGGAATTTTCAAAAGCAATCGCCAAAGTTGACACGCTCAGAAAAATCGAACTTTGCAGGTAAATAACAATTAGATAAAATTATTCTCGAGGAACCACACAAAACGCCTCCCAGGGTTGTTTTGTTTTAAACATTTTGTTTAAAAATAAGAACTTTAAACTTGCTTAATAGTGTTTAAAACGATGTTTTAACTGTATAAAACAGAGTAATCACTTTAGAGTCCAGGTGGCAGTGAATTTTTCTGTACTTATTTTCCTAGTCGGTGAATATGAAATAGTTTGTTTGGATAGTGACATAAAATGACAACTTGTGAGTCTGGCTAAAATTTCCGGAAGGATTCGATTACCGAACGAATTACGTCTTGTGATACTTTATTTGTTTATTTATTAACGAGTCGCTGTAATTGTCCCTATAGCTTGTAAATTTTTAAGTGCAAGTTAGGAACACTTGCACTTTTGGTAAAAATAAGCGAAATTGAGTTGGTGTTCGACAGTGGTCGCACTATTAGAACTCGAAGTCGATATCTCGAAATCCATTAGAAATAATAGATAGTACTTTTTTCAAAAACTTTCTTGATATTTCTGCTATATTTTCTTTGCAGACAGTATTTGAAAATCTTTATAAATAAAAAAGTTACACGATTGCTGAAAATTGCTATGCATTAAAAGTAAATGGATGGGATGTTTAAAATTTTTGAATGGAAAAAAACAAACCTATCGAATTTTTCTTATTTAAACATCGTGTAAAAGATCCGAACTTCAAAATAAAAAAAAGTTTCAATATCTAAAGTGGTTCTTGAGTTATCGCGTATTATGTGTTAAAAGTTGAGTTTTTAAATTATCGCGATTACTGACGTTTTCTCATTATACAAAAATGAGCAAAAAAGTCTTTTAAAAATAAGCGGTTTGCGATCGTCATTTTACTTTACTTGATAGCGAAAGGCGTACCGGAGAAATGTGGCAACACCGCATCAGCATACCGTCGCATTTCTCTCGACTTAATAATATCCCTATGCGATTTTCTTCCACACGTGTAAATACCGACCCAAAAGTAACAGTTGCCAGCACGGTATATGAAATTTCCTTAGAATAACATATTGAATAATTCTATCGGTTTTTGCTGACTGGGAAAGTAAGTCCGAAAATCTTCACTGCCTCCTGGACTAATACCCCCTACTCAAATCATTATTAAGTTTTCTAAAAATCGTTTCTTAAAAAACAGAATTTAAAACAACGGTTTTAAACAAGTTTTAAATATAATCCCGACTTTGTAGTTCAAAACCTTTAAAACAAGAACATGTTTATTTTCAATCCTGCTTATTTCAGATGTCCTGCAAGCGTGGTAGAAAACCTAGCGCTATCCAACCCACATTTAGAGGTTATAAACGCTGTTACGATAAAGTGCGAGAGCATGAACTTAGGTCCCCTAAAATCCTTAACCTGCATCAAAGAGCTACGATTAAAATCGACCTCCGGACTGAACATAACCTCAATAGATTCGTTAAAAGAGTTAAAATCCTTAAGGCATCTATCTTTGACGTCTGTCAACGATTTGCACAAGCTGAATTTGAACGTCATAGCCGAATTGAAGAATTTGGAGTCGCTGGACCTGGGCGAATGTACGGACTTCCCGAAAAATTTTGGAGTGGACATTTTGAGTCGTTTGGACAAGTTGGAGAAGCTGAGATTGGAGAAGGGACAGGGGAACTGTCACGTGTTCGAGATTTTGGAGGCGGCGAAGGGTATGAAGAAGCTTGAGCAGCTGGAACTGGTGAATTTTGACGTAAAGTCCGGGTTTGATAAAGCTTTGGGGGCCTGTATCAATATTAAGAAGTTGATGATTATTCCGACGTATATATCGCAGAGTGCCACGACGAATAATATGGTACTGTCTGGCGTCTTGAGATTGCAAGGTAAGGTTCAATTTTTATTATACAGGGTGCTTATTTGATTTTAATGTGATGATTACTATTAAGTAAATATTTTATTATTACTGTTTTCAATATTGTTATGTTTATATGCAAAAATGTGTTTTTGATATGACATAATATAAAATATGTTAACGACTCGTTCATTATTAATTCTAAGTATATATTATCACTTACTTGTATTAGTTGACGTTACACAAACATTTATAAGCCACTACTAATATAAATCTAATTGCATTATTGATAAATAGTAATGTACAGTAGATTATCTTATCTTTTTATTAATACTATTTTTTATAAATATAAAAATACATAGATATTTAGTAGTAGATGCATATATTATCAAGTATTTTAGTTTCGTTGATTTTATTAAATTGGAATTGATATTGACAAAGCGATAAAAAAATATATAGGGTGAGTCTTTAAAATTATAAAAAAGTAAAACATACTTTTTAGTTAAAAATCAGTCAATCATTCTTTAGCAAAAAAATGCCTTGCAGTGTCATAGATGAACTCCATTGCAATTAAATTTTCAGCTTTAGTTAAATTTTCGCCACATAGATTTGGTTATAATACGTAGGCAGAAAAATGAGCAGGTCATAAACATTTACTTGCCCGTTTTTCCATTATTGCACACATTTTATTGTTTTCCGACTTAGCAACGGATGAATCTGATACTTTGATACATAATATAGAGCTTATTTCAAAAAAGCAGTTAAAACCTTTTGAGATTGTTGGGCCGTTAGCTTCAAAAATAGTTATCCACTTAGAGATTGGCTTAAACAAGTCATAAGTTGCTTGTATTTGTAGCCAAAATTCGTGTCAAAGCAGAAGGCTTACTGTGTTTGGTGAGACAAGAACATCAGAAATATCTGGGCTATATACAGGGTGGTCTGAACTATATTCTGAAAACTTCCGCAGCATATTCTGCAGATAAAATTAAGTAAAAAAATCGTATAAATGTATGTCCTAAAATACTTAGTTTCGGAGATACAGGGTGCAGAAGTTTCATTTTTATCTCGATTTTTTTCAAATAATTTCTGAAGTGACGTCAATATTTGGATGGAAATTTCACACCTGTAATTTTTTTGAGAGTCTGGTTTATATTTGTTTACATGATAATTTTGATACATTTCAATTACAAATTTGAGATGAAAGTTTGTAAACTGCTTCCACACGCTTGACTTCGATTTCCTATTATTCGGGGGTGTCAACTGCTTAATCTTCTGGCGAATATTTTCTTTGCTTTCATGACCGAAGTGAAACATTTTTTTAAGCCGTGCCGCTTGACAGTTTCAAAACTGAAATAGTTTTTAGGTTTGAGTGTCACTTAGTTGTCATAGTAACTAAATAATCATTTCGGCCAAAAATCGAAAAATACATTTTAATTATTTGATTATTTTCAAACACAATTTGGTGTGAAATTTTCTTACCGAATACCACACGAGGTCAAATTAAATCCGGACATTTTTTCTCGCTCATGAATATTTATATAGATTAGATAAATTATCCTTCATCTTCGACTCGGGATAATTTTCAAAATATTCATGAGCTCGAAAAAATTTCCGGAAATAATTTGACCTCTAGTGGTATTACTAATGAAAATTGATGTCTGGGAGGCATGAGAAATTTGATTTTGACGTCAACGTGACCCCTACTTATAGAGAGCGCCGCCTATATATTTTTTAACTGGTTTGGAGAGTAATAACTTTTAGTTTGTACCTGTATATAACTACTGAGTAAAAATGCATCCATTTACGACGTTTTTTTACCAAAAAACATCTCTTGTTAAAAATCGATACGGGTAATGGTTCTCGAGATATTTGGAATCGAAATTATCAATACCTGTCATCATTGACATAAATTAAACATGTTGACTAAATAATTATTAGACTGAAATCATAAATTTTAAATGTTTCTGTGTCAAAAGTTCAACAGAAACTGTTTTATCAACATTTTTTTGCAGAAAAATTTATGATTAAAAAAAAATAAAAGAAAATCCCAAATTTATTATTTCAGTCAAACAACTATCTAAAGTACGTCTGCTGGATCTGTGTCTATGAAAGGAATGCGGCCAAAAAACATTTAAAAAAATAGCAATATATTTTATACGTGGATTGACGAGTACGTCACAGCAAATCGCTCCGCCTCATTTTATTGGCTACTTGCAAATTTGTCGAATTTTTATTGATTGGACGCGTCGTCTAATTTTTTACGAAAAACATCGAGAGAGTTTCCCCTCTCACGGATACCCCGTAGCTACAGAACGGACAGGCGTAGTGTACTAAACGTGTATATTTTTTGTCAATAATGGCATGTATTGATTATTTCCGTTCTAAATATCTTCAGAACGGTTGCTCGTCGCGACTTTTGTCAAGAGACATTTTTTACATAAAAAGTCACGGAAATGTACTTTTTTTCACTCAGTAGTTTTATACAGGTACGGACGAAAAGTAATTACTCTTTAAAACAGTTAAACACATGTAGGTGGCGTCCCTTACAATTTGGAGTCATATTGATATCAAAATCAAATTTCTCATGTCAAAAAACTCGCAGACATCAATTTTCATCCAAATATTGACGTTACATCTACACCCTGTATCTCCGAAACTAAGCATTTTAGGACATACATTTATACAAACTTTTTTGCTTACTTTTATCTGCAGAATATGCTGCCGAAGTTTCCGGTATACAGTTCGGACTACCCTGTATAACTGCTTTCTTGTCCCAAAAAGCTTTTGGGACAAGAAACAAAGCAGCATCATCTTGCTTGCTCACAAAAAAAAGTAAAAGAGTAGACCGGGAAAATATCAATATTTCCAATGTTACAGATTTGCGGTAATATTACGTAATATTACTAAAATTACCGGTAATATTACCGCGGTAATATTATCATTTACATCACTAGTTAAGTTAAACAGTCAAATCATCGAAGAGACTAAAGCGAGGGGTAACTTTCAGCAAACTCTAATTTTTATACCTGTTAATTCTAGAAGTAGTAATTTTTGCGAGTGTTATTTTTAACTAAACAACTTGATTCCATTATGAATGTTTTTTTTGCAGGAAGCTTGACCCATTTCGTGTGGGGAGTGACCCTGGAGCTGCTCCGCGTCACCGAGCTCTTCGTCGACCAGTGCGAAGAGCCCAAAGACAAGAAGGACAAGAAACCGGCCGGCAACGGCGACAGCATTCCCGTTCTCAAACCCGTACCTGACCTATCGCACGGCGACGTCATCCAGGCGGCCAGCAATCCCCCACAAGTGGAGATCCTACCGCTGCCTAACCTACAAAAGTTGCTGTTGAACAGCCTGCCGACGACCAGAGTTAAGATTCTAAAGATACCGTTCCACGCGACGTGGCGACAAACCCTTACGGATTCTGTATAATTTTATTTGCTGTTTTTTTTTATTATTTTTACAAAAAATGTAAAATATTTGCTACAAAGTAGGGAAGAACGAGAGAAACAGAAGACGTGTAATAAGATGATGAATCGTGTGACATTTTTTTTATGTAAAAATATACTTTATTTACTCGCGATGAGTTGAAGTGACTGTTATTTTGGTAGCATAGAATATGCGGGGACATGAGAAAAGAGCAAAATAAAACACTAATTCACCACAATACCCCAAAACAGTTTTATTTTTCCAGTGGATGATGCTAACATGGTTAGCGAAACGCGCGTTCAGTGCAAGAACATAGATAAGATACTATAATATAAAATAGATAGGAAACTCGATACATTTCGTCCGGACCGAGCGGTGGCGCCAGCTCGTGGGTCTAGTAACGAAATAAAACATAAATTTAAAATGGATGGTTTCTATTTTTTTCAGATTTTTCCATTTATTCAAGTAAATTGATTCAAGAAAGAACCAATTTACTCGAATAAATGGATTTAAGTTTAAACGACAAAGGGGATATAACAAAAACACAAAAAAAAACTATAAGAAACCATCTTTATTGAACTGAATATAATAACAAAAACAATACAAAAGGTTATAATAAAAAAACTATCTAGATCTATAACAATTAGGGTAACCTATTTTACAATTAATTAACAATCTCAAAGGAAGGGAAACTATCCGGTTGTCGGTTTATACTACCGTATGATCGAAAAAAATGGCGTCCAGTTGGCTGGGAAATGACGATCGATGACATTTCCCATATAAATTTACATATAAAATGACAGCGATCTTCATTTCCCAGCCAACTGGACGCCGTTTTTTCTCGATCATACGGTATGTGTCTCGATACACGTGTTAATACTTACTATTTGATCCTTCGGAAACATATGCATTTGGGCATCTTTTTGGTAATTCTTACAGCCAGTAACACAACACTTAAAAAACATTGTCTACGGTTAAAAATTTTTGAAAAAAACACAAGAACAGAGCGGTATACAAATCAAAAACAAATTTAAAACACGATCTACGGATAACGAGCAGAATAAAATATTAATTGAGAACTGTTTACATTTGTCGGTAAAAACCAGGTAAAAATTTAAATTTTGTAAAATTTTGTTGCTGATTGCGCCCCCCTCGTGCTTATAGTAATGGACTATCGGCTACAACCTGTCACTTCCATAAGAGTTTCCTAGGCATGGTGCAAGAATAAGAGCGTTTTGGTGTATTGTGTTGAATTGGTGTTTTATTTTGCTATTGTAACACCAAAGGTTCCAACCCCTCAACTCGAATGAGAAAAGTGAATGTGGTTTAAGAATCGTTCAACAGTTATAATGTGGCATGATCTTATTTTTTTTCTCAATACTGATTTGAACTTAAAACTTTCTTATACCGTTTATACTTTTGATTTTTTTGTACATTTTGAACAAGACTTCACAAGATCACATGCCACCAAATGTTATTATACATATAATAGAATGCAATATATTTATTTAATGCTCTAATCTATATTTACACCTTCTTTACGTACAACTATAACTTTATGGATTATAAAGAAATAGTAACATAACCTAAGATTTTCCCTATGGTACGACAGGTGGTATTACACAAAAGTAAGGTTAGTATGTTGTGTCTGTCATCAAATCAAATTTTGGTTTCATAATTTTCATGTTCTAGATACCTTCATTAATTTTTTGTCAAGTTTTGTAAAATATTCATAAATAAATAAAACTTCTAACCTTATTTTTTATGTTAGAAAATTAAATACTTCTGAAAAAAATAATAAAATCGCATAAAATATTGTTTTTAGCTGTCATACTTAAATGAAATTTCCCTAAATGTTGGTTAATACAAGTTTATTGGAAAATGTCATTTTGTTACCTTCTTGACTTGTGTTATATAGAATATGATATGTTATTTTTTATTTTATCAGAAACCAAAAAATTTCTTATGAAAATACTGTATGATCGAACGAAAACGTCTTAGTAGGTGGTAGAAGTAACATTTCAATTCTTTCAATCTTTGCTATGGCAAGTTCTTGAGCGACAAATGAAATGGGGTTTAGAGTTCTTCTTAGAACTATTAGGATAAAAAAATACCAAGGAAGAAATAACTTTGGGCGCAAAAAACGCCGTCAAGTTGGCTTGGATATGGCACTTCTCATATAATTTTACATACCTACAATATGACAGTGATCATATTCAACATAAAAGGTCCGCCATTGAAAAACCGAAACCGGAAATAATTGAAACTGTTATGTCAATTTGTCAATCGGAAAATTACTTCTTCGGACGACTACCATGGCTCATCGAGTTTCTCCGATTTAATTATTATTAACCAAATCCAAAATAACAGCGTTATTTTACTTTGAAAATTAAAATAAAATGATTTTTTGCTTAAATTTTGAGAACATCTGGATCTTTTCTGAGTTTTCTTTCTTTTATTACCATATTATCAAGATATTTTGTTTTAGCTAAAAATTAAAAAATTCCAAATTTTCAAAAAAAAATTGGGAAAAAAATTTCATAGGCGTGTTTCTGGGGTCGAAGTATAATATTATAGTATAAGAGCTATAGCAACGGTTTCGAGAAAGTATTTTAAGAAAGCTGGCTCTTTAATATATCTTCTATCTATGCTCTCTGGAACACCGTGCGAGTCGTCTGGCTGCCGATAGACGTTGCGTTCACTACTGCCCATTACTTTTTTTTAATTTTATTTTCGTTTATATTCTGATAGTAAAGTATTAAATAATTGTTTTTTTTAATCACCAGAATTATTTAATACTTTACTATCAGAATATAAATGAAAATAAAATAAAAAAAAACCCGAGCCGGTATTGAACTCGGGATTTCTCGTTTTATAGGCGGAATGTTTTCGCGCCGCGCTATTAAGACTTGTTCGATTTATATTCAATACTAGAATTTAAAGAACTAAATAAAAATATCGGAACTTCTTTCAATGCGCAGTAGTGAACGCAATGTCCATGGGCAGCCAGACGGCCTGACCGATGTTCCAGAGAGCATAATAAAAGATATATCAGCTTTCTTAAAATACTTGTTTTCCAGACGTTGCTAGCTCTCGTTCTAATACTACTCTTAAAAATATTTGCACTTATTGAAGGCTCACCCTGTATATAACTACAAGTTTTTATTATTTCTTATGTTTAAGACAGGGAACAATAATTTCCCGCTGTTCAATTAATTATTTTTGAAGTTTCTACCTAAGAGGTTTTTTTCGCGATTTTTTTTTGTTGAAAATTTGGATTTTTTTTAGTTTTTAGTTGAAAAAACATAATTTCTTGATAATCTGGCAACATAGGTAGTAAATTAAATTTACAAGAAAAAAAAACAGAAAAGATCCAGTGATTCTCAAAATTTAAGTAAAAAATATATATTTTTTTCTAAATTTTCAAAGTTATAAAAAAATAAAAGTAAATAATTCGGTGATTTTGGACTTATTTGAAAAACGGTAAAGGGAAAATATGTTTCTTTTATCGAGATCTACCAGCCCTGAAAATATTTGCACGTATTTATGACTCACCCTGTATAGTAAACAGAAAATAATTAAGAATGGATATAGAAAACAAAATGGCTACAGTGATATCTGAATTTGAAAAAGTCATTGCCATTTTGCATGTAAAATTATCGCTATCATTTTATACTTGAAATTATATGGGGAATATCATTGTTCGTCATTTCCAAGCCAGCTACACGCCGTTTTTTTTTTCGATCATACGGTATTTGACTTATTTCTTTGGAGGATTGTGTCTGACAGGTGAGGACCTTCATTACACTTGTTAGGAACTTCATTATGTCTCGACTAAAACGTAATTTCTCTGCTTACTACGACATCGATTTTATTCGATTATACGTTTTACCTTAATTATATATATTATATAAAAAATACTACATACCTTATTACCTATATTTCTTCCCGTTGTTAAGTCTTTACAGGCTTTTAAATGAGACGCTCTATATATTGCACTGTAGATTCTCTGGATGTAACTAGATTTTCGATATGACTAATTAATAGATTAATGTTTGTAGAGCATAGAATATCCCTAATACTAAGAGAAAAAATAGTGTTACGGCGCAAAGTAGCCGTAAAATTTACATTTTTATTCTGTATATAATGTAGTTAGTTCCCTTTATTTTCTAAATATTTTCTCCTTGCCGGTGTTTAGAGACGACCGTTTACAAATTTTAGTTTGTTTTGTTCTTTTTATTTTGATGTACCAAATGAAAGATTTCAATAAATATTTTTTAAGAAGTACATTATTACTCGCTTTTTATTGATTTTCGTGTGGAAATTTGCCTGACTAGGGTTTTATAGAAAGAAAATAAAAAAATAGTGGTATTTAATATTGACTATACCGAACTACCATCTAATCGAAAAAAAACGGCGTCAGCGATGGCTATGAAATGGAGATCGCTGTCATTTTATATGTAAATTTATATGGGAAATGTCATTGATCGTCATTTCTCAGCCAACTGGACTCCGTTTTTTTTCGATCATACGTTACATTAATACATTTGTTTCATAGATTCATCGTATGATCGAAAAAAAAACGGCGTCTAGTTGGCTTGGAAATGAAGATCGATGACATTTCCCATATAATATCAAGGATACTATCTGTGATACTATAGAGATAGTGACAGTTATTTTTGCGTTTGACGGACAAGCGCACAGTGCGGCGGAAGATAAATCTAGCGGGACAAAACCATTTGGTTAGAAATAAGTCAAAAATGTGTACTGAAAAGAATAAATAGTAGACATTCCAATTGATATAAAAATGCATGAATTATTTTTTGGTCGTATATATTCTTTGTATTTCGATACATTTTTATCAACCAACCATATATAAACTCCTGAGATTTTGTCCCGCTAGAATAACCATCCGCCGCACTGTGAAGCGCTGGTCCTTGCGTGACGTAAGTGACGTAAGCATCCAGGGTGACTACGATAGCGGCGATTTGACGCGATCGAACAGTCCTTTAGAATATATACAGTCCTTGATATAATATAACGTAAAATGACAGTAGATTCATTTCATAACCATCGCTGACGCTTTTTGCCTCCATAGCTCATCGGTAGCTGATCTCGGCGCGCAGCGTGGCGCCCAGTTTAAGTCTGTGTTTAATTGGTTGCCTACTATATCATATACTTTTAACATGTCAGTATATTTTATTCCAGATTAAAAATTGATTTAATGAGAATTAATTAATTAATTGTTATAAATATAACATATAAAAGTACTGTAAAGATGGTCCTCTGTAAGATATTATTCTTTGAATTGGCAATTGATGAAAACTTTTGCTCAGGCAATCCCTATATATGTCCTATGTGTGATATATCAAAAAATAACTTAAAAATTTGTCAAAAATAACAAAATATCTATATCTTTGTGGCAAATAGATCTCTTTAAAAAAACTCTATGGGTATTTGCGAGGGGTGTCTCACTACTGGAATTACATGTAGGTACATTTTCTTGGCAGTCGCTGGCAGTCATAGGCAGTATTCTTCGCAGTCATTGGCAGTCCCTTGTTTGTAAAATGATATTTTGGCAGTACATGTACATTTTTTACCCAAGTGAGACACCCCTCGGGTATTTGCCACTTGCGTTATTAGAAAATCTACAAAATAAAATAGTTATTTTTTTGTTAACACTGCTGCGTTTAATCCAACGAAGACCAACTTGTCATCAGTGATTTATTAACAAGGAAAATATTAACAAGTAAAAATTAAAAACAAATAAAAAATAAATTGTGTGGGCATTTAAAGTGAAACTTCTTACTAACAGCTATTAAATAAATTGATGGATTTGAAGGACGCATGTTTGAAGAAGTAATGAATTAAAAAAATCTTATTTTTTTACGCGTAAAAAATATTTTTTTGAAATGTAACAAATAGTTTTTACGCAGAAAAAATAGTTTTTTTACACGGAAAATAGTTTTTTAAAGGTAACAAATAGTTTTATACGTGTATAAAACATGTCGTGTGACTACGTCATTTCTAAGTCGTATGGTGTGTCTCGCTAGCTCGTGTGAGACGGCTTTGAATTTTTACTCCCAGCGCGCGTTTTACCACTTTATGTCGCGCGTGTCGTCTCGCTGGCTCGTGTGTCACGGCCTTGAATTTTTACTCCCATCGCGCGTAAAGAAGTTCTTTTCAGAAGAATTTTTCACTTCAAAAAAAATCAGACATGCTCTCAGGATTAAGCTTTTGGGGAGGACTATAACAAGTATAGAAAGATTAGAATTATTTTGGTAAAAAATATGTAATTATAATTTAATACGTAATAATAAAATTATATAAGGATTCTTGCCACTTAACTGCTTATATAGAAATTTACTTCTACGCTGGGTTTGTCCTGCTTTCACTACCTACTATCTACCTGTTTTCACTACCTACTATCTACTATCTCTGCGCTGTGGTTGTCATTTTGTGGATCTGCCCAAGCTCATCTGATGATGGAGTAGGGCTCCGAAACCGGTAGTGAGAGCAGGTTGATCCACATTATGACAAATACAGCGTAGAATTAAATTTCTATATAAGCAGTTAAGTGGCAAGAATCCTTATATAATTTTATTATATACCTATACTGCAAGAAATTTGTTTTCTATTTTATAATTTGGCTTGCTTGATAAAAAGCCTTTTACCATCCTTTTACTATCGATAGTTGCGCCCCGGTGGTACGAAAGTACTACCATTGCACGCAGGCCGCTATCTCCCGTTCGGGACTTAATATCTAACCGACACTTTCCGACAAGTCGGAATTAACTATCTCTGCGCTGTGGTTGTCATTTTGTGGATCTGCCCAAGCTCACCTGATGATGGAGTAGGGCTCCGAAACCGGTAGTGAGAGCAGGTTGATCCACGTTATAACAAACACAGCGTAGAATTAAATTTCTATATAAGCAGTTAAGTGGCAAGAATCCTTATATAATTTTATTATATACCTATACTGCAAGAAATTTGTTTTCTATTAATACGTAATGTTAATATATACAATAAACTAATGAATTATTATTAATAAACAAATATTTTGAA